ACGTGGCATACAACAAGGAAGTCGATCTACATTTCCCTCATCTGACAGTCGGCCAGACCCTCTCGTTTGCTGCTCACGCCCGTGCGCCTCATCAACGTATCGAAGACTTGTCCCGAGACGAGTACGTAGAGACTCTGACTCAAGTCGTGATGTCCGTCTTTGGGTTGTCCCATACCTACAATACCAAGGTTGGCAGCGAATTTGTTCGGGGTGTTAGTGGTGGTGAACGCAAGCGTGTCAGCATCGCGGAGATGTTTCTTTCGCGCTGTCGTATCGGCGCCTGGGATAACAGCACCCGAGGACTAGACGCCGCTTCTGCCTTGAAGTTTGTCCGGGCTCTGCGTCTTGCATCCGACATGGGCCAGTCTTGCCATGCAGTCGCCGCCTACCAAGCATCCCAATCCATGTACGACCTGTTCGACAAAGTGGTGGTGCTCTACGAGGGCTATCAAATCTACTACGGCCCACGAGATCGAGCAGTGGCTTACTTCCAGGATATGGGATGGGCTAGACCGGAGCGTCAAGTGAGCGGCGACTTTTTGACTGCCATTACCAACCCCAATGAACGCAAGGCAATTCCAGAAAAGGAAAAAGAGGTGCCTCGCACCGCGAAGGAATTTGCCGAGTATTGGAAGCGCAGCCCAGAATATCAGAGTCTGCGCACAAAAATCATCGAATTCGACCAACAACATCCCCCTAACGGCGAGGATGCCAGGAAATTCAAGGAGAGCCATGTTCACCAACAGGCTGAACACACTCGCTCTCGCAGCCCGTATATCCTGTCCATTCCGATGCAGATCCGACTATGTACTCGAAGAGCCCACCAGCGTATGCTCAACGATCTGCCTACCGCCCTATCCCCTTTAATAGTTCAACTAATCCTGTCCTTGATCATCGGATCCGTCTTTTACAACACCCCTGATACCTCTTCATACTTCTTCCAAAAGGGTGCTGTTTGTTACTTTGCTGTGCTAATGAACGCCCTTCTCACTATCAATGAGATCATGCAACTTTATAGCCAACGACCGGTTGTCGAGAAACAACGTGGTTATGCCTTTGTCCACCCGTTCACAGAGGCATTAGCTAGTATAATTGTGGACTTCCCGATCAAAATCGCGCGAATCTCCATCTTCAGCATTGTCTTGTATTTCATGGCAAATCTTCGCCGGGAGCCCGCACAGTTCTTCATTTTCTACTTGTTCCTTATCTTCGCCGTCCTGACCATGTCTGGTCTATTCCGCAGTCTCGGAGCGTTGACGAAGTCCGTCGGCCAGGCCATGGCACTCGCGGGTATCCTGGTTCTGTGCATCGTTGTATACACTGGATTCACGCTGCCAGAGCCTTACATGCATCCGTGGTTGTCCTGGATTCGCTGGATCAATCCAGTCTATTATACCTTCGAGGCCCTCATTGCGAATGAATTCCACGGCAAGGACTACCCCTGCACCTCGATAGTTCCGAGCTATGCAACTGGCACGTCTTTCATTTGCTCTTCAGTCGGTGCCAAACCTGGCGAGAGATTCGTCTCCGGAGATGCGTTCATCGAACAGAACTATTACTACTACTACTCCCACCTGTGGCGAAACTTTGGTACGTACCTAGCAAATCCAACTCTACTGGGTCGTCACAATTTACATCCTTTCTATATTTGGTCATGCACATACTAAACTTGTCTATAGGTATTCTTATCGCATTTATGATTTTCTTCAATGTGGTTTATTTGGTTGCTACCGAGTTTATCTCCAGCGATAAGTCCAAGGCCGAGGCTCTGGTCTTCCGTCCCGGTCATGCCCCAGCACACCTCCAAACTAAAGATGACTCAGAAGGCGGCCATATCATCGTCAACAGGCTGGAACCGACACCAACCAACGATACAATCCACCTGCCTGAACAAAAAGACGTCTTTTCGTGGAAGGCTGTCAACTATGACATCCCAGTAAAAGAAGGAACCCGACGCCTTCTGGATAATGTCAACGGCTGGGTCAAACCTGGTAGCCTGACTGCACTGATGGGCGTGTCTGGTGCGGGTAAGACAACTTTGTTGGATGTTCTTGCCCAGCGGGTGTCTATTGGTGTCGTATCCGGGGATATCTTGGTCAATGGTCAGCCGTTGCTGCCAAATTTCCCCCGTCGCACTGGATATGTCCAGCAGCAAGACCTTCATCTTGAGACAACCACCGTCCGTGAAGCGCTTCGCTTCAGCGCCATGCTTCGTCAGCCGAAGAGTGTCTCCAAGGAGGAAAAATATAAATATGTGGAAGAGGTGGTCAAGCTCCTCGGCATGGAAGACTTTGCCGAAGCGGTGGTTGGATCTCTCGGCGAGGGTCTGAATGTTGAACAACGCAAGCTTTTGAGCATTGGCGTCGAACTTGCCGCGAAGCCCACTCTTCTGATATTCCTCGATGAACCCACGAGTGGATTGGACTCACAGAGTTCATGGACCATCTGCCAATTCCTTCGAAGACTCGCAGACCATGGCCAAGCCGTTTTGGCAACAATTCATCAGCCTAGTGCGACTTTGTTTCAGACATTCGATCGTCTGCTCTTCCTGGCTAAAGGTGGAAAGACGGTGTATTTCGGCGACATCGGCGAACAATCTTCTACACTCTTAAAGTACTTTGAGCACAAGGGAGCTCGACCTTGCGAGGAACTGGAGAACCCCGCAGAATACATTCTCGACATGGTCGCTGGAGAAGGCTGCCCCGATGTTGACTGGCCCCAGGCGTGGAACTCGAGCCAGGAATACCAATATGTTGTTGCCGAAATCGACCGAATCCATTCCATGCGCAAGGGCTCTATCCCCGACCAAGTCTTGGATGACGATAATTCTGAATTCGCTATGCCGCTATCCACCCAGCTCGCGGTCGTCCTCGGCCGTTGCTTCCGGGGCTACTACCGTCAGCCCGACTACATCTATGCCAAGTTTATTCTCGGTATCGCATCCGGTCTCTTCATTGGATTTTCTTTCTGGAAAGCCGACAATACCCAACAAGGCTTCCAGAATGTGCTCTTCAGTATTTTTCTTTTGTGTACCATCTTCAACACCCTCGTTAACCAGATCATGCCTCGCTTCGTCACTCAGCGCTCGTTATACGAAGTCCGCGAGCGCCCATCTCGAATTTACTCGTGGAAAGTTTTTATCATCTCACAGATCCTGGTGGAAGTTCCCTGGCAAGTTTGCCTGGGTGTCTGCTCCTGGGCCTCTTTCTACTGGTCTGTCATTGGCACCGGTCAAGACGCCGAGAGCCGTGGATTGATTATGTTGTTCATCGTACAATTCTACATCTACGCGGCCAGCATGGCTCAATTCGTGGTGTCCGCCATTCCAGAGCCTACCCTCGGCGCCATGCTCGCGACTCTCATGTTTGGTCTGTCTTTCATTTTCAATGGCGTTCTACAACCGCCTAGCTCTCTTCCCAGTAAGTTGTCCTCCACGCATGATATGTATCCTTTTCTTGCGATATCTAACTTCTTTTGCGAACAGGGTTCTGGATCTTCATGTACCGTGTCTCGCCTTTCACGTACTACGTCAGCGGCATTGCCGGCACTGCCTTGCATGGTCGTAAGGTAGAATGCAACGCAGCCGAGCTGAGTATCTTCAATCCTCCCTCTGGTCAAACATGCTGGGAATACATGGAGAGATACGTCGACATGGCGGGCGGCTCCATATACAACAAGAATGCCACGTCCGACTGCCAATACTGCAGCATGAGCTCCGCAGACCAGTATCTGGCTGCTCGGGAGATCTACTACGGTGACCGATGGCGCAACTACGGTATTTTCTGGTGTTACTTTATTTTCAACATCTTCGGAGCAATTACTTTGTATTACTTGTTCCGAGTGAGGACCTCGAAGTCGATGATGGGGAAGGCGAAGAAATGAGCGTGAGCGACTCACATTGAAGGAGCTCCTTGAAAGGCAGTCGGCCAATGTAGAGTACGTCGTGTAAATCCAGTATATAATATAATTGAATAAAATGAGAGTTATAATTGCACAAGAGTTGAGATTGGGTGGTTCTGAATCTATCAACGTATTTGAAAGTCTTAATGCTGTGCGCTATGCCCTTTACGTGGGGATCTTCCGCTTTACGACATGATACTCGTCAGATCAAATCGATCCAAGCGCGCAGTTGCTTTATGTACTTCGGAGACTGATCTTGTGATATTTGAAGCCATTTGAGAGCATGTTGGATCGGATACCGCAATTCTTTGGCCGTTTTAGTGATCAGATCACGACACACCAAGCCTTTAAGAGAACTGACTGGAGAAAACTAGGTGGTCCTTGATGGATTCCTCTCCGAATACGATACCGGCCTTGTTGGTGTTGCAACTCCTTATGTTGGAACCGATTCTAGGTATGCACTCTCCTACTTTCAACAGGATATTGCCACAGCATGTACTGCCGTTGGTGGACGGCGTGTCAGCACAGATGGCTTTTGCATCCCTTCTGGTACACAGTCTATAGAAGTGCTGAATTTGGAAGATCGCCAGACTAATTGGCGAAGCCCTCCAGTACTCTCTCCTATAGATTCATGTTACTCCACCACGCTGTCTCTGGAAAGGTGATGGTAGGGGATAGTTAGAGGTCGAGAGCTTAAATTAAGATGGGAGGGGTACAATTCTGCCCGCTGATTGGTCAATCAGCATCGTCTATTTGGTGCAACTCAGCACGTCATGAATTTGTCGTGAGTTTTGCTATGCTCCTTGGTTATTAGGCTTCATAACATAAGCTCGAGGATCCAATGTTACCCGTGACCTAACGTTTCTCTCCCAAACAATGAGCTTTATCCAAGATAGTTCGGCTATCTCTTAAGATTTAGACGGGGTTTGTCAGACTCTGGTCATCCATATGCCTATTCCATAGTTAGTGTGCGGGTCCATCTGCTAGAGTGGTACCGTCTACCGGGTTCTGCTGTCAGCCCGATGACGCCGAGACCGGAGGACTTCAGCTAGTCAAAACGAATAAGCAAAGAAAGAATACCGAAACACTGTCTGCTTGGGATCCCACGGCACACTATCAATTGACCTGTCTGTCCTCAATACTGATTGCTGATTCCTCCATCCAGTCACCGCCATTTGGAGCTCCGTCCGGCCCGAAGTATAAAAAGCCCAAGAAGCCCCTCCTCCCCCGCAGATCGTCGAATCCACACTCTTCTTCCACCTTTCACAACTCCCCCACCTTCACCATGTACCCTCCTCCCCCAGCAGCCCTCGACTGGAACGACATTGGCTTCAAAGTGCGCGATGGTAAGTTAATCCTAAAACCTTCAATTGCATCACCAATCCAACTAACAATTCCCAGTCAATGGCCATGTCGAATGCCACTACTCGCAATCGGGCAACGGCCAATGGTCGGCCCCTCGCTTTGTGCACTCTCCCTACCTCTCCATTCACGGCATGGCACCGGGTCTAAACTACGGCCAACAAGTCTACGAGGGCCTCAAAGCGTTCCGGCACGCCGAGAATAGTAAAATCACCGTTTTCCGACCGGATCGAAACGCGAAGCGCATGCAGAAATCCGCCGAGGTCGTCTCGATCCCGCCCGTTCCGGAGGAGTTATTCCTTGATTGTGTGCGATTGGCCGTCGGCGCGAATGCAGAGTTTGTGCCTCCGTTTGAATCCGGGGCAGCGATGTATGTTCGGCCGTTGTTGTTCGGGTCGTCCGCGCAGTTGGGATTGAGTCCCCCAGATGGATATACGTTGGCTGTTTTTGTGATGCCGACGGGTGTGTATCATGGCGCTAGTGCTGTGGATGCGTTGATTTTGGAAGACTTTGATCGTTCGGCGCCCTTTGGAACGGGGAATGCCAAGGTCGGAGGGAACTATGCCCCCGTCTTGCGACACAGTGATCGAGCGCGTCAAGATGGGTTCGGAATTACCTTGCATCTGGATAGTGCGACGCGAAGTGAGATTGACGAGTTCTCCACCTCTGCCTTTATCGGTGTGAAGCGAGATGGGGATAATATTACCGTCGTGCTGCCCGATAGTCGCAACGCTATTGATTCAGTGACGGCATCCTCAGTCGGTGATATCGCCCGCTATCTGGGTTACAAAGTCGAGAAACGGCGGGTTGCCTACGAGGAATTGAACCAATTCGATGAAGTGGTAGCCGCAGGAACGGCAGCTGCACTTGTCCCCGTTCGGAGTATCACGATGCGATCCAAGGGTGACAAGTTTGAGTATCGCTGTGGAGCCCAGGCCCAGGGCGGCGAGGTCTGTGTCAAGCTTCTACAGACTCTTCGGGGAATTCAGTCTGGATCAATTGAGGATTCAATGGGCTGGAACTACGAAGTGACGGCTCCTCCCAAGGAATGGATCGAAGAGGGTTCTACAGAGAAGGTCGATCAGAGTGGAAATACGGTACCCTGAAGCTGTTAATGGGGTTCTCATTCGGCTAGCTTGCGAGAATTAAAACAAAGACTCCCCTTGCATGGTACTGCAGAGTATTGGCTGAAACACGGATAAAGGGTTGTAAGACAGAGCGTAGCGAGACAATCGAAACATATCAAGTCTCCAACTTATCGCATCCAGCTGCAGGAGACAGGAGACATTGGAACTCACACAGCTCTACCGGTCTCCATGTGGAGAGTGCGTGAAATGCCATCACCTCACACTCTGTCACCAACCACGACTCCCGGGCTATCGCCCTCGGAAGTCTCCTCATCCGAAGACTCGCAGGGCTCTTCGTTCCTCGGCCGATTCTTTGGGGACGAGGAAAGCTTGGCCAACACCTTCTGCTTGAGAAGCATTTGTAGAGTAGGAAAGACTGAGCGTTGCCGTCTAGGGACTTCCTCGACACTAGACACACGTAACATTGTTTCACGTGGTTCAAGAGATTTGTTTCTACCCATGAGCACGGGTCATCATTAGCAAAAAGTATGCAGTGGGAACTTACTTTGGATTAGAATCAACCCCACTGGCACCATTTGTCTCTTCAGCAGGCCCATGACCAAGGGTAGGTGTCCTTCGCGGTGAAGCTCCTTGGGAAGCAGTATGATTGCGGAAGGGAGAATTCTGCGAAGCTTCGAGACCCTCATCCTCGAACTCCACATCACCGCCATCACTATCCGTTGGGCTATCGTCGTCGTCATCGTCCTGATTCTCGTCTAGTGCCGGACGCTCTTCCGGTTCAGCATCCCCAGAACGAGCACCATTCAACTGGGAGTCACTTGCACCGGGACTCTTGTTTAGCGAAGTCTTGTTGCTTGCAAGGTCCTTTATCACAACTTGGATACCCTGGACGTCTGATAGTCTGTCTTTACGGCGTTGCGTGTGGGCACGAAGAGATAAAATCCTCTGGGCAATACCAGATTCCGCCGCTCGATCCCGCCGCTCGATCCTGCGACGTTTCGGTCTCCCCTTGAGCGATTCTTTCTCGCTGCTCTCATCACGGTCTCTGTGGACACCCTCGTTTGTGGGGCCCTCACCCGTGTTAGTGTCCGCATCACTCTCCTTATACAACTCCCCGCTCCTCTTGAGCTTCTCAAGCTTCTCACGCCGTCGACCAAGTTTTCTGCGGTTCATACCTAGAAGTCGTACTCGCTCGTGTGCATCGGTGTAGGAGTTTGCTTTGATTTCTAATTTCTCTTCATGGAGATGACATATCTCGTCAAGAAGTGGAAAACACTCCGGGTTTGTCCCGGATGATCTGAGCAACATCCTGGCCTCCTCGAGCTCTTTTCTGTCCCTCTCCACATAGTCTGGGGTAATGTAGGGAGTTAAGGCGCCCTTAGAGACACTCAAAGACCTGGGATGATGTGATCGCTGACCAGACCCTGGAGTTTTCAGACTTGCCCTAGTCCGGGGGCCGCTGTAGCGTGTAGCCCCCCAAGGGACTGAACTGGCATTAGATTCTGCCTGCTTCATATTACCCAAAGGAGAATTGTCCTGTGAGCTAGACTCCAGCGGAGATGAATTGGTCGGCGGCCGCAGCGAGTAACGCGGGCGTGGTGGTGGAGGCATAGAACTTGGACCGGGCATCCCATCAGCTATGACTTGAGAATTAGAAGTCGTAGCCCTGAGAGGACTAGCCGTGATACCCAACCCGAGTCCCTTCTTAGGAGAGCTATTCGAATGGTTGGGGAGATGACCTCGGTGGCCATGTGGCTGTGCGAAGCTCGGAACCCGTCTGTTATGATAAAACAGCGGGGAGGAGACCGTCTCACGCGGTATTCCAGCAGGACTAGGAGACGGGGGATCGGTCCGTTCGCTCGGCCTGAGTCTCTTAGATTGACGTTTCCGCGGGTCTGGTTGTTCTTCCTCTCGGGATGGGGTTCTAATGGTTGTTTCCCTCGCTCCGACCAGCGAGTCATTTGCACTGATGGCGGCGTCAAGAAACTTGCGCTTTGCCTCGCGCGCCGCACCTTCAACGTCTTGGAAAACAGATCCTTCTCGCTGGTATCTGTGTGAAAGAGAGGGGGTAGACGAAACGGGAATTTGAATCACACGGACGGTACCGCGCTGATCGAAGCCCTCTCTCTCGCAGCGGCCATTGTCCACCCAGATATCCGCAACGGAGCAGTGGACGCTAAATACGGCATCGGGATATGCGTTGTCGAGCAGTCTCTTGATTTGTAGTGGCCTGTTACATGTTAACGTTAGTATGGCATGCGCGGATTCGAAACCGGGTCTTGTAGGGGGTGAGCTCACTCCTCAGATGGCCATAGCTCCCGCCATTGATCTTTAATCTGATTTGCCAGGTCTCCAAGAGACACCTTTTCGGGATCCTTGATAATCAGGAGGAGCTGACGCGGTTTGACAGGTTGTGATTGGTTCTGATTATCATGGAGGACGGGCCCCGAGAGACTGGCCTGCTCCCGGGGATAGACCAGGACAGTCAACCGGAGCTTAGGCGCAGTGAACATAATTGAATGACGGGTGTGGGAGCCGGGGCGGAATCGTAGGACGGTGGAAGAATGGAAGAGTGAAAGGAGGAAGTTCTGAGCGGATGAGACTGTCAAGTGGAAGGATGGTGAGATGGGAAGGGAAAGAGAGCGTGTTATGGCGAGGGGAAAAAAAAGAAAGTCAAGACGTGGCGCGGGTAAAGGAGAAGGAGAAAAGAAAGCTGTGCAGAAGCAGTGGGCGAAGAAGGGACGACGCTGGGAGTGGGCAAGATACAAACGCCGCCAGCTGCAAACAAAGGAAAGCAGTGGCTTCTTCGCATCCAACCTCGACCGGGACAATAAAAGAACTCGGCGAGTCACACAGGAACTACAACAAGGAACTTAGTACCAGAAGAAAATTATATCAGTTAGATTCAATTCTATAGATACGACAATGTACCAGATACTGTGCCCCACAGATCAATCTACTGAGGAGGCGTAAAATATCGCTGGAACCGGTCGATCTCCGTAAGGCCCAGCTCCACAATCACCCAATGACAGCTCATCAACAGACTGGGGAAGCGCACGGTCCAAAAGTTCAAGTAACCCTCAGGCAGTCCGCCAATATGCGCCTTCAAGTACTCGGGCATGTCGTTGTAGTGATTGCGCTTATTACGCAGTGCACGCAGAAGATCCAGCATGCGGTCACCGGTGTACTTGCGCTGCTTCCCCAAGTTATCCTTGAAGTCGCGAGGAAGCAGACGCAAAAAGTCCATATCAGGACCCATCACTCGCTCAGCAACCGACTCCAAGCAGAGCAGGGCATCCGAGGGCGGATCCCGCGGCTCGAACTCGAAATGATCGGAGACATCGCAGAGGAAGCTGAGTCGGTCGGAAGGAGGCCAGAAGAAAGGGTGCATGAGCACTTGACTGGCATCGGGGCTGGAGGGGAAATGGAGTCAGTAAAGGAAGGTCATAGTCAGCAAAGTTAAAGTGAGCAAACATACCGCTGTCGAGGATCAAGGGAGAGCATCGAGCGGATAAGATCATCCGCCTCGAAGGCATAATCGCCCAGGCGATTCAACTCCTCCAGGTCAAATTGACCCTTGACAATGTTGGCCTCCCGCATGAACTTGCCATTTTTATCAAAAGGATGGCTACCACGAGTCAACACGTAATAGAACACGCAGCCCAAAGAGAAAATATCAATGGCGCGGGTGGCGCGGCGGTTGGTCTGCGGGTCCACGACGGCGGGCTCTGACGATTCGGTATGCTGCGACTCGGAGCTCATTCCCACATTGTCGTCGTCCACCAACAGCTCGGGAGCCCGCCATCCAGACGTACCGGCGGCGTGGGCGGTAGTGGCTCGGAAAGAACTCTGGTTGTCCTCGAGTTTCTTGCAAAGTCCGAAATCAGAGATGAGCAGCCGCAAAGTCCGGACGGAAGTTCGACCGCGAGACATGGCCACCAGAATATTCTGAGGTTTCAAGTCACGATGAACGATCTTAAGGGAATGCAGGTAACGTACACCCTGGGTGATTTGCTTCAGGATATCCGGCATGTCAAGGCCGCCTTGAACCAGCTCCGGATGTTGAGAGGGACGTTCAATGACATCTTGCAGCGAGCCAGGGCAAAGTTCCAACCCAATGTATAAGAACCCAGCTGCCTGTTCACGGCAGAAGTACCGGATCACGTTGTGGTGGTCATCACTCTCTTGTAGCAGTCCAACTTCGTGAGAAGCAATGTCATAGAATTCCATCAGCATTCGCTTGACAGCCACGTTGCGACCATCAAACACGCCCCGATACACCACGGTGCCGTGACTACCGTGCCCCAAGACGACATCGGTGAAGACTTCCAATCGGCCAATCCGAATCACACCGTCCATCTCCACAATCTCGTTGGAGACGGTACGAGTCATTTGCACATCGGGCTCCAAACGAGACTGGGGAGCCATGTTATTCACTTGCTCGACAACCCGGTCGGCCTGGTTACTATCTGCTTCGGTGCCCGGCTTCTTGCCCTTGCGGTGTGATTTTCCACCGCGAGTACCACGCTTGCGAGGTTTCTTTTTCGGCTTATCAGGGTCTTGAGAACCGTCTTCTGCTTCACCATCATCGGGTTCCCGAGAAGGCTCACGGATCTGCACACGAGGCGTCGAAAGTGGCGGTACACTGTTGTCCCGCGAGGGTCGAGGGGTGATTTCACCCTCCGCAGTGCTATCTCCAAGGTCGACATCCACAGTGACGCCGGGGACTTGTCGAGCCGCGGTAGATGGTCGACGGATATCCGGGGCCGAGCCAACGATAGGAGTGCCAGGAGCCGAAAGGGAGGACTTGTCGTTGGAGTTGATTATGTTCTTAATATCCAGCTTCTGCTTGGCGAGATCCCGAATATGATGCGAGTTGAAGTAGATAAACGTGCCAATGAACAACAAAATCAAGGTGACAACGATATCCAATGCGTTATCCCAGCTTTTGCGGATGATGGCGCTGTGCCGAAGGGCGGGGGGTAGAGCTAGCTCGGATGGACTACGAAGGACGTCCCGGGGTGTGTCGTTGGACAATTCCGTTGTCGAGGAACTACCCAATCGGGGGATAGATGGAGTGATCCGTGGTCCATTCAACGAGTGAACACCAGCCAACGCATCCCGTTGTTGACTGGGAGTCAAACTCATGAGCGATTGGCCCTTGCGGAAAAAGTCCTTGTCGTAACATTGGGCCATGGGGGCCCGGCCAGTGACGAGAGGGTACGTCTGTTCAGACAAGGCATACCAACCACCCGCACTGGTCGAGTCGATAAACACACGAGTGTCTCGATCATCCAATGTGCCATAGTCAGGGTCTGGAGGTTGGAGAGGTTGGGACAGGAGTACCAGCGGTGTCGTTGCATCCGGTGCATCCTTATTCGCAGGTCGAACCACGTCAAAGACGCGGGCCACGGGAGATGGAAAGCGTTGCGTGTATCGAGGCCGGTCCATGCGGGAATGATCAAATCCCAGCACCACGCCATCATGCATACTATAAATATGACTCTGATCCATGGTGCGGTAGTACTGACTTTGAAGATCAATGTCCCGATTATTCGGAGCCCACTCGGAATATTTTAACGTGCAGATCGGGTCCCCCGTCTCGGTGTTTTGAATAGCCACGGCATACTCGACACGGCCGAGCACGAGAGTACCGGAAGTCGTTTCACACTCATCAGAGTCTGTTTCGAGACCACCTACCTTCCGGCATTCCTGTCCTGCCGTAAATGGACCCCGAGAACTAAACACCCGGAGGATGGTACCAGTCCGGGCATCGATCGTATACAACGTGGTCTCCTTGCGAGCGGTATACGTCACAGCAGGCTGAATACCGGAGTAAGGAGTTTGGTCAACCAATTGCTTGACCGTCAATCCGAGCTTTTGTAGCCCAGCCTCGGGGCCGGGGCTGTAGACGTACAAGCTGCCATCCTGGCTAGGCTCGACAATCCACAAAAAGTCATCCTCGGGCTGTGTCTCATCAAAGCTCGAGCGATTGGCACGATGATAGATACTCTCTACGAGAGGACTGCTGGGCACCTCGAGGGCCCAGCGAGAAGAGCCGGTCTTGCGGTCTCTCGCGTGAATGGTTCCGTCGACGGTCGCCAACAGCACAAAGTCCTCAACCTCCCAGTCCTGCAGGGACCGCGCGTGAAGCTGCGAAGCCAGGCCAGCAGCGGTACTGCTAGCCCGGACGGGAGGGGCTCGAACGGCGCGGCCGGAGCCCGCCAGAGCCAGAGTTGCTAGGGCGCTCGCATCGTTGGATTTCACGATGGGGGGCACGGCTAGGGTTGCCGCACTGGTATGAAGTGAATCTGCTCCGGCCGGCGCTGACGGCACGGAGACTTGAGGGATAGAGACATCATGAGATTCTGGATGCTGCTGCGGAACAACCAGGACCGGAAGGAGGAGGAGGGCGACGCTGGCGGGGAGGGTCGAACGGGCGCCCGGCAGCCGCCACCGCATGTTGGAAACTTCAGCACCGTGCGACGGGATTCGGAGATAGAGAGGTCAATGGTGAGGCCGTAACCAGCTCATGGGCCGGGTCGGATGGGAAGGGTTCGAGTTGGGTCGAGTGTCGAGTGTCGTGTGTATATGTGGACGGCGGATGGCCTAGTGTGGAGCGAGTCGAGAATCCGGATCGCGGATCATTCCCCCACCTGCTACGAAGTGGATGGGCTTAAGTGATGCAAAGAGTCGCTATACAAAGGAGAGTTGGTAGGAACAAATAGCCCAGTGATGGGATGCAGTATCAATGATCGAAATTCGAGAATCCCGGATGAAACGAGGAGCGAAGATGGGAAAAGCAAACGGAAAGGGGAGGAAGCTGAAAGGCCTGGGAAGGCCACAGGATTGTGTGTAATATTACACACGTATAGTTGGTGTAAGATACGCGGAGTGCCCAGCCCCTTCCAGCCTTCCAGCCTTCGCCCCCAGCAAAGTGGCCGTACCGGCACGGTATGGAACAAGACGGGGGCCACGCACGTCAGCCCCTGGACTTTTGCATGTGGAGAACGGAGACAAAGAAGACAGTCACTGGACGGGAGTAACTAGTTCCTCTTAGGTTGGTTACAAACAACGGAGTAATTGAGAAGAAGAATTACGTGATTCGATAGTAAAAGACAGGAGAGCTCTCGCGCCTGTAATGGGACATGACTCTCATGAAACATTCTCTATTACACCTCAAGATACTGCGTTTTGGCCCCCGAGTGCAAGAGAAGGTAGGCCTCCGGAGAATGGCGCAATTGAACTACAGTCAGCGTACAAGTTACAACGGCAAAGCTTAAGGCGCCCCGCAGAAACAAAAGACGCGTCGATCCTCGTTCAAGCCGAGAAAGTTTCAAATCCATTTAGGTTCCCTGTCCAAGAAGGGGGGCCAAGACATATGTAATAAACGTCCCAAAATCGCAGTCTTGTCTCCAGACGCCGTAGCACCGCCACCACGCCCACGCCGCCGCTAGAGATAATACTGTAGTCGGGCGACCTAGACGAACAAAAAAAAAAAGGAACATAGAAAAGTCAGAAAGGAGGGCCCACATAGATACAGAGAAGAAAAAAAAAAATTCAAAAGGCGGAGAGAAAAAGAGATACAGGGATGGCCAAGTGGAGGGAATATATATGAACAGAAAAAGGCAACCCGCTAGGGGGCCATCGGGCAAGGGGGAGAGACAGAGACACCTGCCGGAGGAAGAGAAACGTCGCGAAATCAATGATGGTAGATGGTAGAAAAAGGAAAAACAAGGGGAACCAGTTTAACCACCGCGGATCATCCAGGTAACGGCGACCGCCCATCCGGTGACGAAGATGACGGTGAGGATGCCAGCGCCTGCACGGTCACCCGTGGTGATGTTGTTGAGAGTGGGCACCTGCTGGTTCGAGCTGTTGGTGCCGGCATTGGGGTTACTCTTCGAGCTACCACCCGTGTCCGCAGTATACGGGGCCTGGCCCTTGAAAGGAACGAGGTTGGCATTCAGCACTCCAAGTACGGCCATCTGCTGCTCCAGACCATTCGTGCTGTCGGAGGCCTGTTTATACCACTTGATGCCGCAGAGAGTGCCATCCGTACCCGCCGTGCAAGTCTTCACGGCGGCCTGCGCCGAGGTCTTCAGCTTGGGCAAGATCATATCCGAGGTTCCGGGGACGATAGTCGTGAGGAAGGCCAGCCAACTGGAAAAGTACGCCTTGAAAGTAATTTGGTTTCGATCGCACTTTTCGACCGACTCGCAAGTGATCTCCACCAGCACATTCCCGGCGGCACCGTTGTACCCCGTGGTGGGATAGAACTGGCTGGAGGTACCTACCAACCCATCAATGCCGTCCTTCCACTTGGAAGCAGTTCCGTTGGTCTAGAATTCAAATCCGGTTAGCCATATGATTCGTCCAGAGAGAGATTGAGAGAACCTCGAGGGTCGGGGACACCGTACGTAGTTGTACATGTAGCCGGCACCGCTGATGTAGGTACCGTAGTTGTAGGTCCACTGCCAATCACCGTGGTCCGTACATTGGGTTTCGCAGGTGGTGGAATCGGCAATATTCCAGTTCTTCTGCTTCAGGAGCGGAGTGGTCGCACTCCAGTCCCAGATACGCTCGGCCCATTCAGCGTAAGTTTCGTTCTTGGTGTAGAGGGCGAGGCGAGCAGCCAGTTGAAAAAGACCTCCGTTGGAGATGGCATTCTTGGTGGTATAACCACTCTGATAGGGCCAGATCTGCCAGCGCATACCACCGTGGCAGCTGCTGGTATCCCAGCGGGGGACCTGGGTGTTGAAGACACCCTGAGCGAGAGAGACCCAGGAGGGCTGGTTAGATTGTTCGGGGAAGTTCAGCTCGGCGGCGGTGATCGCGGCGAGACCCCAGAAGACTTGATCGTCATTACCCAGATACTGACTGTAGTTGGATGGGAAGAAATCGTCGTCGCCTTTCTGCCAGTACATGCCAGCCTGGATGGCATCGTTGAATTGGGAGTCGCCGGTCAACCACCAGTACTGAATGAGAGTCATGAACATTGAACCACCTTCCCACCAAGTGCCGTCGAACTTTCCCGGGATATCTTTGGAATCACGATCATTGTAGAAGTTGATCATGTCGGCGGCGACCGTCTTGGCGGCCGTTTTGAGGGAATCTAGAGCAGCGCATTGTGAGCATACCAGTCGGAGCATACCAGTCGGGGACCCTCCCACGAGCGAGAGAAGTAGCTAGAAGCAAGGCCGGCGGAGTGAGGGAGATCGGAGGGACTGACTTTCATCATCGACATTAAGGGTGATGGCGCCGAGAGCGCCATGGATGGCAAGAGAGCCACCCAACAGGGTGGCTAACCCGTGAGAAAAGATCATGGAGGATTCAAACGAGTGGAACGGTATACGGCATCGAAATCGGGATGCGTGCGCGAGAGAGAGGGAACGAAGCGTGTGGGCGAGCTGGAGAAGCAGGGGGTGCTAGCTTGGGGGCGAAGATAAGTTGACGATCAGGGACGAATCTTCAGGGTGGAGGAGAGTAACGAGAGAGGGTGGGGAAAGGCAAAGAGGGCCAGTGCCGGGGCTGGGCGTGAAGGATGGATTTGAGAGAGGAGTGGAAGAGTTAGGTAGACGAGAGTGCGGAAGAGGCGGAGGAGGAGAAGGAAAGTGGCAGTGGCAGTTGCAGTGGCAGTTGCAGTGGGCAGGGTGTTCGGATGGTTCGTCCTGTCTGACTGGGTGGTCACTGAGGGTGTGCCTCGACGCCGGTTTGGTGCTTTTTTGGGTGGGGGGGACTCCGCCACGGACTTGGTCGATGGAGCCACTCCCTCACAGTTACTTCAGGGTACGCCAGGGTCTACCGTGAGTCGGCCGGATACGACATATGGCCCAGGTCTCTATAGAATAGAAAGACGATTTGACTTATGAAACATAAAAGATCACTTCCAGCCTACACTCATCTTCTGTTCCTTCTCTTCTACCTGTCAGGGGGGAGAGACCCTAAAAATAACCCCCCTCGATGACGGCCACACTGTCGGTGCCTGGCGGCTGAGGGCGGAAGCTATGAACCACCAGACACTCCATGTATCCTTGGCAGTCAGACGCCCCCTCGCCGGGTCTCAGAGAAATCTTCCATCGGCCAATATTAACTGTCAGGTCATGAGATTGTTTCAATCACCCCCCTCTGACGTTCCCAAAAAAAAAAAAAAGAGTCAAAGAGCATTCGTCTGCCCGCATTCCTCGGATCGGTCATTCAGTACAGCCACTAAAAGTCCTGACGGGCCCACGCCGATCTCCATGCGGGCGGACAGGGTTTTTGTCGTCATGTCCGATGATCGCATTTAAACTGGGTTGATTTTTATGTACTCCGTCGGGGTATACATAATCGTGGTGATCTCCATGGTCCATCACGTCTGATCGTATTGCGTTTTATAGGTCAAAAAAAAGCCCACTGGGATCGTCATGGAATAGTGCAAAAGCGACCCTGACGCTTTAGGGAGAGGGTCCCACAGGGTCCAGGGTCTGCGAGGGTCTGCGAGGGTCTGCGAGGGTCTTTGGGGGGGGTGGTTTTGGGGGTCTCACAGGGGTGCTGACTCAGGGCCCGACCCAGCACGCATTAGGTAACTAAGGCAACAAGGCTGAACACGGATGGACTTGAACAGATCACGTGTTAAGGCAACAAGGCTATCAGGCTATCAGGCTATCAGGCCACAAGACCCACTTACATGCAAGGTAAACACGTGATGGCTGGATCGATGGAATGTATTTGGGATATTGGAACAATATGAATAGTCTCTTTTAAATTTTTGCAAAGAACCCCCCTTCTAATCGGGGACAACCCAGCATACAAGTCATTCATCGCCACATCACATCAATCATATTACATCCGCTCCCGTCGGCGAGGGGCAGCCCGGATGATGTTGTCCACCCGCAGGAGTAGCTAAAAGCAGACCAGTTAGTACAAGGAGAACTACAACCGATTGGAAAAGGGGGGGATAATTACCTCAGCAGCCTCGGAGGCCGACGACACGACGGCCTTCTTCAGCTTGTACGCCTCTACCACGCCGAGATCCCGCATGTCCGCAATGCCACCGCCGGGCGTCAACAGGTCCAGTCCCGAGCTGGCCATGCCATTGTTGATGGCCTGACGCAGCCGAGTCACCAGATCACTGGAGTCCAGACCCGCGTTGTCGGCCAGGATGGTCGGCAGCTGCTTCAGGGCGTGCGCAAAGGCGTCCACGGCCAGTTGCTTCTTACCGGTGGTGTTCTGAGCAGCCTGTTCAACGGCCTTGGACATCACCATCTCCGCACAGCCACCACCGAGGGTAACGCGGGGATCCTTGACGGTCTGCGAGAGGACCGCGAGGGCATCGTGCAGCGAACGCTCGGCCTCGTCGAGCAGCTGCTCGGTAGCACCGCGCAGCACAATCGTGCAGGCCTGGCCAGCCGCCACACCCGAGAACTTGATCAGAGTGTCCTCACCAATAATCACCTCCTCGATCAGATCGCAAGAACCCAGCTTGACCTGGTCAGGGTGGTCGAATGTGGAGGCAATCTCACCACCAGTCACCAGCGCGAGGCGCTCAATACCGTCAAAGTCGGCATGCTCAATGGACATGATACCGGCCTCGGTGAAGAGCTGCTCGGGCCAGTTGTAGATCAATTGCCGGTTAACGAAGCAGTTGATTCCGTGAGACTTGATCCGCTCCACCTTGGCCCGCATCTTCTCCCGCTCGGCCTTCTCGAGGTCGGCCAGCTTACCCGTCGACTCGACCTTGACCCGAGCACCGAAGATCTTGACCTTATCCGTGTCCATGGCAGTGTTGGCCACGAGAATCTTGGCATTCTCCAATCGCTTGGGCTGGTTGACACCGATCTTCTTGTCGAGAATGAAACCCTCGTCCAGGTAGGAATCGTTCAACTTGCCGCCGGCCTTCTTGATGATCTGAATGTGGCTCAGATCGGTCGAGCCCTTAAGACGCAGGACGGCCTCACAGGCCAGTCGGGCGAAGTGGTCTCGGTCTTGTGCCAGCACCTTGGAGCTGAGAGTTGTGCGGGCGATGGAGTGCAGGTCTTTGCGGAAGGCCTCGGGGTCCTTGCTGCGATCGACAGCGGAGTTCTCGAGAGCAGTGAGAGCGGCACGGCTAGCTATCCGGTAACCCTCGATGATAGTCTGGGGGTGAATCTTGGAGTTCACCAGCTTCTCGGCCTCACGAAGCAGCTCGGCGGCCAGCACGGTGACGGACGTGGTACCGTCACCAACCTCATCGTCCTGAACCTTGGAAATGTTGACCAGCACCTTTGCCGCGGCGTTATCCAAAGCGATCGATTTCAAAATGGTAGCACCGTCGTTCGTCACGAGGATATCTCCGGTCGAACTGCAGGAGAAGCCGCGTTAGCATATAATTTCAATATGTTTCCCCCGCCAAGAGGATCGAGAACACCCCGCCACGTACGCAGATTGTAGAATCTTATCCATTCCCTTGGGACCCAGTGTGCTCTTCACGAGATCACCGACTGCGATGGCACCGACAAAGGCCGACAGACGGGCATTCTCACCCTTCTCCTCGGTGACATCGTCGGCAAAGATCTGTGTGGGATTGGCAAATGACGCCTACCAGATGGACAGTTAGCGAGTAATCACGGTGATATCGACTTCATCCACTTTGGAAGACATACCATGATGATCAGCCAGAAACGAACAATCGGACTAGTGATCAAAAAAAGGTGTCGACTGCTGAAATATGCAGCTTCGTCAACAGTGGGGGGTGTCCACGGCGAGAAAGGAGAAAAGTTGGGTGGTCCGAGCTTCTGCCCAAGTGGCCGCCCACCGCCCGCCGCTCGCGATGAACCCAAGCTCTTCCTCCTCCTTCATCTATAACACCGACCCTTGTTTTCCTGCTCTTTAGGAGCAATTGTTCAAGAGATGGCTGGTTCCGAAGAGGCTGCAGTGGCTTCTGCTAACAAGCGCCCGCACTCCGAGGTCGACGCCGCCGACAATGGTGAGTTCAAATCTCCCCGCGCTCCCCAAAGCTCCGCAGGCCTTTGCGCGACAGTCAACTCACCACGTATACATGCTTGTGCAGGCGATGATTCCTCCTCGGACGATGACTTTGGCCCCGCACTACCATCCGAGGTAGCTCCAAAGAAGAAGAGACGAAAGCTGCCCTTCGAGAAGGTGTACGTCAACGCGCTGCCGGCCTCGGCGCGGTACTCCAAGTCGCTGATGCACAAGGATCAATTGTCCTTTGTGACGGTCACTCCATTCACGGACTTTGTGATTACCAGCTCAGTGGATGGGTTTGTCAAGTTTTGGAAGAAAATGGCGGACGGGATCGAGTTTGTGAAGGAGTTCCGGGCCCATCCAGGCGAGATCCGCAGTGTCAACGTCAGTGCCGACGGTCGTAGTTTTGCGACGGCGGGTGTGGATAAGACAGTTAAGATTTTTGATGTCATCACTTTTGGTAGGAATAATATCGAATGCTTTCTCTTAGGGTGCGTGCTAACAACGTAACAGATCTACTGTCCATGTATACACTCGAATTCGTACCTCGATGTGTATGCTGGGTGCATCGACGAGGAGCATCCCTACCCTTGCTCGCTGTGACCGATGAGTCTAGCAGCACCTTCCAAGTGTTTGATGGACGCGGCGAGAACCCACAGCCCCTGCACACGGTGAAGTCGGTTCACCGCTCTCCGATCGTCTCGATGGCGTTCAACAATACATTTGACTGTGTCGTCTCGGCCGATGAGTCGGGCATGATCGAGTACTGGCGCGCAGGAGACGGGTCCTTTGAGAAGCCGGACAACGTTTTTGAGCTCAAGTCGTCTACAAACCTGTTTGCCTTTAAGAAGGCCAAGTCCACGGCGACTGCGATCACCATCTCCCCCTCTGGCGAGCAGTTTGCTACCGTGTCTTTCCCCGATCGCCAAATCCGCGTGTTTGAATTTGCAACTGGTAAACTTTACCGCACATACGACGAGTCCCTCTCAACTATCATGGAAATGCAACAAGCGGGTACTGCGCCTTACCAACTGGAGGAGGTTGAGTTCGGGCGCCGACTTGCAGTCGAACGAGAATTGGAAGCTGAGGCGACCCGGGGCAAGGTCAACGTTTCCTTCGACGAGTCCGGGCACTTCTTGCTCTACGGCTCATTGTACGGGATCAAGTGTATCAACACGTATACGAACCGCGTCGTGCGAGTATATGGTCGGGAGGAGCCTTTCCGAGCACTAAACTTGGCGCTATACCAGGGCCAGCCGCAACGCAAAGGCGTGGTCACCGTTTCCATGGCCGCTAGCAGTAACCCTCTCCTGCAAGAAGCCGAAGAGCGGGACGCGATTCTCATCAGCACTGGATTTGCCAAAGTTCGTTTCTACCTATTCACCAACGAAACCGACATCTCCAAGAGTAGCCGTGATGTCATGAACGAGAAGCCCACCCAAGTGGCCGGGGCTTCTGATACGGGCGCAACCAAACCCCAAGAGACTGGTACTGCGGCGGTTCTACACACCACCATGGGCGACATCCACCTTCGTCTATACCCCACCGCTGCGCCCCGTACCGTGGAGAACTTTGTCACTCACGCCCGACAAGGATACTACAACAACACGATCTTCCATCGAGTAATCCGCAAATTCATGATTCAGGGCGGTGACCCTCAAGGCGACGGCACCGGAGGAGAATCCATCTGGGGCGGAGAATTTGCGGACGAATTCTCCAGTCTGCGACACGACAAGCCATATACCCTGTCCATGGCCAACGCCGGACCCAACACGAACGGGAGTCAGTTCTTCATCACGACCGAGAAAACTCCCTGGCTGGACAATAAGCACACGGTCTTCGGCCGCGCCGTGCAAGGTCTGGACGTGGTGCATAAGATTGAAAATGTCAAGACGCATAAGGAAAAGCCCGAGGTGGACGTGAAGATTGTCAGTATTAGCATTTCCTAATGGTGATCTGCACAGCATCGGGCAATGTACATGTACACTACCCCTACCATCCAGTATCTTTTTTTCATCTTCCTTCTATACGAGATCACGAGTTTACCCCCACAGCGAGTTGGCCTTGAATATCAAGATTATACACTGTAATTCTTATCCATGCGCACGGATATAAAAATTCAAAGAGTTTTAAACGAGACCAAGCCACGCCCCGAATGTGTATCAAAATACCAAAACCCACGCAGGTACGGGGAAACATCAGACGTCAGTTAGATTTAACACAATAAGCAAATCCAATCGTGATAAAAGGGATTGGAGGAAGAAAGTCAAGGTCTAGTTGACCACAAACGGCAAGGGAGGAAGTGCCAGACGGCCTCGCGTCCTTCGAAAATAAAAAGAAAAAGGAGAAAAAAGTTATACTCCCACAACTGCTCTAAACGCCGAGACAATGCAAGATGGGGTGTAAAGAAAGACAAGGGACAAGAGAAGTATCTCCACCTCAGATAGACGGAGATTTGTTCACGGTAGACACGGTAACAGATACGGACGAATCACATCCCGAGTCACAGATATCCGAATCATCCAAATAAACCCTCCAAGATATCAAGAAACAAACACGAAACGGGACAATAGAAGCATCGAGAAATGAAAACATCGCAAGAAGACCAGATCAAACGTGGAAAGTCCAATTATTGCCGCAAAGAGACCTGTCGAATCTCGACATCCCCTTCGGCCTGACCTTGCTTTGGTAGACGCGTGCGACTACCGGGCGTGGGGGCATTCCCGCGAGCAGCGGCAATATCCGTCCGCGAGCTACTCGCCAGAGACTGTGCTTGATTAGGCCCCGTGGACGACGCCCAGGCCGGGGGAGGGGGACTCAAGGCGCCCGAATTCGAATTGGAGACGGGATTTCCACTCAGCACGCCCGAACTGCCCGCGGCGCTTCCACCGTGATATAGGCCGGGTCGCTTCGCGTCGTAGCGGCGCTTGAAATAGACACCAGCGGCGGCGATGGCACTAAAGCCGATCGCGAGGACGATCAGCATGATCACCCATTGGTAATGGGTGCTCCACCTGGAAAAACAAATGGGGAGGGGAAAGCGTTAGCCTAGCCGGGGGATGGTGACTGGTGAGGCGTGTGGAAATGTGGATGTCTGAGTTTATGTGGAGGGGTAGAATCTGAGACATACCAAGACTTATTTTCATCCGCGGCGGATGTATTACTCGTGCTTTTCCCGGCCGTCGAAGTGGCCGTTGAAGCGGAATTGGTAGCCGTGGCAGTGTTGGTGCTGGTAGTAGAGCTAGTCGAACTGCTTGTATCCTGGCCACCAGAGTTGCAGTAGTTGTTATACCAGGTCGAGAGCAGGGACTGATCGGAGGACGAGGCACACGAGGTGCATAGACTACCGGACGTCTTGAGAGAGGTGAGGAGGGCAGACTGGCAGAAACAGGAGACCCAGGTGGTTTCGGCGCCCGACTCGCAGCTACTCTGAGCTTGGGTCAGGGCCGTACAGGAGAGACCACATTGGGGGAACGAGGAGGAGGCCGCCGAGGGAAGGATACTGGCGGCGGAGCTGGTAGAAGCGTAAAGCGAGAGGAAGAGGAGGCCTAGCCAACGGCCGTACCCGGCAGAGAGAGTCATGGCTGGTGGGAAAAGTTTGGGGGGGGGGGAAACAAGGTGGTAGAGCGAGCGAGCGAGAGGGCGAGAGAGAGCAAGCGAGCGAGACGAGGGTAGATCCCTGTAAAAGGTGGTGGATTCAAGCGATAGACGGAGGGCGCAATTAAGGTGGGCAGCCCATATTGAAGTCGAATTAGGGCGTGTGGACGGTTGAGAGGGAGAGGGAGAGAGAGAGAGAAGGAAAGAAAGAGTGGGGGGGGGGGAGATGGAAGAAAGAGGAGATGAAAAGTGGAGGAAGCCAATTGACGAGAGGGAACTTGACAGGGACAGGACTAAAAGCACAAGCACAATGGACCAATCCACAAGGGAATCGGACTACGCAACGATGTATTCTTAGTGCCGTGGCTCGCTAGTGACTTTAGTGCTAATTGATCGTGATGAGAATCATCATCGTGTAATAATCACTTGGACGTGGGAAAAACAAAGTTTACCCTTGTCGAGGGTCTGGGCCGGAGCCGGCCACAAACTCCACTCGACAGGGTCCAACAAAGACGACCTCGACTCTGCTGCATTCGGATACTAGGAACGGACAGCAATTGTCATTGAAACGCCCGTTTGCATCGACCGGCGCTCGTTTCGGCAGAGCTCAACCCAACCCGATGGCAGATTAGCTGTCAGATCCACGCTGGAAACGGTAACGATTACCGGTACGGGGACTCGCCAGTTTACCGTGACTAGCTCTTGATAGTCTTTAAGATACTTGCTTATTTCCTGGTATCTGACATATAGCCTCTCTTCTCATCTAGTCTCAAATCGAATACGATCAGATCATAGCACGATGATAACTAGTTAATCTATCCTCGGATGATTCAAGGCCCTTCCTCTCGTTAACCCCAAACGCGGGCCCACCGCCGATCGGCGCGACCGTTGCGGGTGTCAGTCAACAACGGGATGAAAACATGTGGCCGGGAATGAAATCATCCAAGATAAGATGGATCACCAATCAAGAACTATATCTCCCGAAAGGATTGTAAATCCGTATGGTATGCACAGTCCTACACCGTCCCTACCATATGGATGAAGTATGGATCTTATTTTGAGATCGCTTAACAGACCGTCGCCCTACGTGTGGGGGCCCAGATGACTATTTGTCAACGACGAGATCTGATTGGCTCATCACCTTCGCCAGGGTTTCCTTCCGGAAATGAAAGCGCAATGAACTCGCTCCGTTCCCTCCTCCAGTCAAAATCAAGCAGCTCAAGTTCCCACCGGGTCTCGTTGAAAGGATTCCACATATCCAGCTAGAAGTTCAGAACCAACCACATGCTCTGATACTTGGATCTGATGGCTTGATCGGGTTCAGCCTCAACTCCGATTCAGGCACACCCAAGCTTTGATTCGACGGGGCCGAGCTGCCGATCTGCGATCTACAGACTGAAACCCCCCATCCGCCACGTGTGAATGCCCAAAGGGTGGATAGAGTACCCGAATCAAGGGCGGAGAAGGAGTTTAAATCATGCATTTGAGCAATAAATTCCTCATCATAAAGGATAGGAAAGGGAAATAGCTGGGCTCGAATAGAAATTCAATACGAGTACAATGGGTTGTCAATCTTGATCAACTGAACGGCGGATATATATCCCACTCCAGGTTACCCTCGGAACTAAAGGCCCAACATAGATATATATCTCGCGAAGCAACTCTGCTGATCTCGAGTGTACCTTTCATATCGTTTGTATAAATTGGGATACCAGGCATGTTATTTTCAATGCGAAAGAACCCACGATCTATTTCAAAACCGATTCAATGAAATGCATAGAGCAGCTCCACGCTCACCTAGAACTCCATGCCTCCAAACTGCCCAACCGGTTAATTTACATAGCAGAGCGCAAGCACCTAGGAAGAACGACAAGCGCAAGCGATGACACCGACGAGAATCATTACAAATGGAGGAAGGTGCCGTACGATAATACACCGTAGCACAGAGCACGGAAGCAATCAGGCCCATCATTAAGAGATGCCTGCCATCTAAAGCGGATGGGCTGCTGTTCCCGAGTCGGCGGCCGTAGAATGCTGCCCTGACGAAAAAAAAGGGAGGATTCCAATCCGGAGAAATAGATGAGAATCCAACTATCTTCACAATGATAAGATCGTTGGTTTCTTCCTTTGCTTTCGTCCGGTTAGCATGGTAGTTCAATAGAGGCTTAGAATTTCCAATGAGATGGACCTCCTCATTGGTCTCAACTTTGGCCACCTTTTTGGCCTTGACTTGCTGAGAGCTCTTGACTACAAAGTCACTACTTGAACCTAGCAGGTATCGAATCTTCTGATGTGTCTCCGACAAGGCAACTTAATCGCAAACCGGCTCAATAATAACCAGAGGCAGATACACACCCGCCGCACCGGCAAATTCGTGACAATCCATCATATCGACCGTAGACACCGCCGCTCCTAACATAAGGCCATAAGTGGAAGTAACACTAAAATATGAACCTTCCAGAGCTGTCACAGAACTACGCTGATTATAGCCGACCGATGAATAGTGCGGCCAAAGCTTGGAGGAGAGAGAAGAGCGATCCAAGTGACCCACCAAGGAGATAGATGTCGTAACGGGAGTCGATTGGTCATATCAATGAATCCTTGTATCCGTTCCGGTAAGGGAAGGTGCCATTTGGGAGGCCGCTGGGGGAGTCACCTGTGACGAGGGAGCAACTCAGCGCTGAGGGGAAGGGAGGAAGGATGAAGGTGAAGGATATCTATGGTTTGAGAGATGGATTGACGGTCAGCAAGAGATAACAGCAATGCGGAAAGGAAAAGGCAATGATAGTTTGTACTTGAGCATCATACTACCAAGTCGAGAAGTAGTGAGATAAACAAAGTTGTCAAGATCATCCTCCTCACGGCCGTAGGACAGTTGTCGAGCCCATTCAACAAGGCAATAGCAACGGCGGGCGAAACGATAGAAACCGAGCGTCAAGATGATAGAGGCATAGTGTAAGACTATATGAACAAGGCTCTACATACAATTCTATCAGTCCCCTACATCCTGGATGATAGCTCTCACCATCAACAAACAAGTTCCACGACGAACAAAGACAGTAGGGAAAGGAGGAGCATCAATAGCCTCGGTAAGAACCACCCTGGAGTTCATCATTACTGCATTCAATCCCTAGTTTGCACAGCCCCCTCAAGAACCAACCAAGACCTCGGAGAATTTCAAATCCTGAATCTCGTCTTCTTTGAGATAGCTCTTTCTGGTGGCTGGCCGTAGGTTTCGCCAACAGAAGGGATCATATCAAGGAATACCTAGAATTGTATGTTATGTCTTGTAATACGAATACCATACAAATCTGCAGATCCATTGCTGTCAACGGTATCCCGAAGCCCCTCGACCAATCGGATCCTGATCTTTCCGAGCGAGAACGAGAACGATCGAGAACGAGAGTACAAACAAACCGATCTCGATCGCACGGGCCTAATTCCGGAAGGTCGATAGAATATGACAAACTGGCTACACCTATAATCAATCCACGATTTCAAATGAGCAGTAAATGTCCGCTGCCGATCGGCAGGGTCTACAGGTCTCCCCTTCTTGCGCCCGTAATTAGTGAGCTGCAGCAGGCTGTGCGACAGTACTTAGCAGCCCGAGTCGGGATTCCCCAGATTATGACGTAGATAGCAGCTACTGTCCTGGCCCCCCCCCCCCCCCCCCCCAATTCTACTGCAGCGAGTCGATTCAATTTGCGAGACTTTTGTTAAGACATGAGAGAGTTAGCCACATGTGGGAAACTCAACGTCTGGCTCACAAGCAGTACTCAATTACAATGGAGAAGTCAATGAAAGATCCAATTTTCTACAAGGCAGCAACTTAGTTATCAACCATAGTTGAGTCATGGGTGAAGAAGAGAGATCACATAAATAATCACCCCGTAAATTAATTGCCATCGGAAGAAGACATATAGAAGAAAATAATATATTGGCACCCTCGTGTGCTCACCAAGTCAGTACCTGGCCCACACGCCAGGTCCTCTCATAAACATATCTACAGAGCGAGGAAGCCCACGAGCGCGGCAAACACACCGGTAAGCCCTGGAGCGGCGTGCGAGGCGGCGTTGAAGGTAGAACTGGCAGACGAAGCGCCAGAGGCAGTGCCCGAAGCGCCACCAGAGGTAGTGCCAGAAGCACTCGAGGCCGTGCCCGAAGCACTCCCGGACATAGAGGTAGTGGAGGCATTGCGACCCTCACCATCGGCGAGAGTAGCGTTGGCAACAAGGGGCTGAGACATGGAAGGCTGAGCAGCGCAGGTCGCATTATCAGCGAGTGGGCAAGAGTCGTCAGTGCAAATGCTTTGGTACTGCGGACCCTGAGCCTTGATGACGGTGGTCTTGGGAGCACAACGGTAGTTGAAGAGGGAGCCCAGAGCTTGGCCGACAGCCTCGATATCAGAAGTTGCGACTCCGAAGGAGGCAGCGGAAAGAGCGACCTGCTCGATAAAATAGCCCATCTGGAAGGGGTCAAGGACCATGAACCTATTTGCAAGGTGAGGTTAGTCGATGTTCGCATGATGGCTGGGAAGTTCTAGTCTTCAGGGAAAAAGCTTACTTGTGAACCTCGTACATGCTAGAATCTCCAGAGTAAGCCGCGAAACCGGTCATGCCAACTTCAGAACAGCCGAGGAGGCTACCGAAGAACTCGTACAGGTGAGTCAGGAGCTTGCTGTTTCTGTTGTTAGCATTCTAGTTTCGTTTCGAGGGTTAATGAGAGGCATTTACTATTGGTTGGAGGTCTCATCCTCAGCGGGCATGTTCTTCATCAGAGGAGCAGCACCACCACCATCGAGGAAGTTCTTAGCAACTCCCGAGTTGCCACCCTCGTTGGAGGAAGCAAGACCGCCATCGAAGTAGGGAACCAGGTTGACCTTGGTGTTGTTGTACGTGCCATTGGGGTTCAGGATTCCGGGAACCATAACACCCACATTGGGCTGGGTATAATTACCGATGACGGCCGTGTTGACAAGCAGAGTCAAGAGGGTGTACTGGTTGGTAGCGTTGTTCTCCTTCAGCAAGGCCGTGGTATAATAGTCACAGATGGACGTGTTGGCCGGACGCTGAGCAGCGGCAGTGCTAGCAGCGGCCACCGCGAGAAGGGCAGTATTGAAACGCATCGTAGTCGTGATCAAGGATAATCAAACAATTTGAACTGTAATTTTTGAAAGCTACAATCTTTGTAGGTGGGATGGCTTGGGCTTAAATAGTCAAAGTTAGGCAAGGCTGGAAGGTCAGCCCCTGGAATCAGAAAATGGGGGACCTAAGATTTCTGAATATTCCTGATTTTCTGCGATCATCACTAACCGGCTGTTCTACTGCCTGCACTGCCTAGCAAGCCCTTCTGAACCACGCCCGATATCCTAAAGGGGTATCTAGGTATTATATGATATAGTTCGTAATGTAAAGTACCGTATTGAGCCCGTCCATGCAGCCGAATACGGTCACATTCAGGAACTGTCTTCCAAGCTCAATCAGAGCAAGCAGCCATTGACTTTAGTCCGAACCTTCATCACCGCGAATCAAGCTGGACCGATTTCAATAACATCGATCGGTAGTTCTTCGAGAATCGTCATATCCTGTCGAGGGGCGCGTGTCTTAGGTTACACGGCATTTCTCCTCCAGGTTTTTGTGGAGGGCAGCAGTTTGTTTAATTCCGGTAAATGAATAACATGAAGATCCAACCTGTCATCCAGACCCTGCTGTAGACTAGAGAGAGCTGTCAATGGAAAAGAGCGGAGAATAACAAGGGAGCCGAATCGGTATGGCTGCTTACAAATGAGACGAGTCAGGGCATTTATCCGCGATTCATCTCTGAAGCTAGGCAAGGAGTACGGGGACGAGACAATATTTTGTCTTATTGGGTATAACGATGCTTGTATGATTCTCGCCCAGTTTTCTCCCTTTTTCCTAATCGGGAAGTAGTGAAACATCTCAAAGTGGACATGCGCAGATCTTCTGATTTTGAAGATAAAAACATGACCCACAAGAACCCGAATAGTCTAGATCAAGCCTAATGCTTGGTAATGGGGTTAAAACTCAATACGGAATTCCTGCGGGAAATCTACTGTACTCGGAGGGGCCTGTCCTAGAAGTTTCGTGGACATTCGCACCCAAGACCAGGTTATTCTGGTGAAACCCCTCCCAGATACATGGAAAACCTTTGGGTGCCTTTCTCCTGACCTGAATTAGTCAAAGTCAATTAGCCTCTTCTGTTAACGTATCAGCACGATCGCCGTAAGGTTCAATGGTGGCTACGGCCGCAATGATTGCAATGTCGGCTGTGGAGTGCGACGTGGCGCGTCTGCCCCTCAACAATATGACCCATAAATGTGTGTAGTAGTTGGATGTATAACATGGTCTGTTGAATGATGGCAAATTTCAGCTCAAGTTAGCCCCTGGTACTCTTTTAGGCTTTCTCAGGTTGCCTAGCTCAGGCAATTAGTTGCCGGCAAGTAAAAATTTCCGGGCAGTCTAAGCTTTACATTCATAATGGACACTGAAAAGAACGCTAGGAAACACTTGACAAGTTGATCGATTGCTTTGTTGATTCTACATGATGCTATCGTGACTCCGACTCCAACTTGGGGCGCGTTGGGGAACTCGGGGGAAATCTCCGCAATTGCAGCCCCAGCCACAGGCACAGCCACTCCTGCAACTGCTCTCCTCAACGAGACACATTTATTGAACGGTACACGAACCCCGCCAACATCAACCAGTTAATAGACTCAATGCCGCTCCCACGTCAACTCCTACCCCTTCTCAGCTCCTTGGGCAGCACGCGATGGGCCCTCACCCGCACACTCCGTAGCGACAATCCGCTTGACCTGAACGGTGAACTCCGCGGCACAGCGACCTTCCACCCACTTCCCAACACCGCCGACCGCGACTGGCTATACAGTGAAGAGGGCGAGATACCTTCCGCGGTCAGCGGTGGCGCTGCTCAAGCTGGCCTGCGCTGGACGAAGAAGTACATCTGGCGCGATGGCGACGCCGGGCGCATTAGTGTGTGGTTCGTCAAGATTGCTCCTGGACCCGAGGAGGCTGACTACCTCTTTCACAACTTTGATTTCGCCGATGCGACGGTCAAGCCCGAGGGCTCGGGTGAGGGGGTGGAGAGTGGAAAAGAAAGGGAGGAAGAAACTACCGAGTTGATCACTCCACCGACACCCCCCACGATTACCACGAGTGATGTCGAGACGACGGTTCTCATGGCTCGTGGGGATCACCTCTGCATCAACGATATGTACCGCACCGCATACGCGTTTCGAATCCAGTCGGAAACGGGGGAGGTTTTAAGCTGGGCCAGTCGGCATGTCGTTCGGGGTCCGAAGAAAAACCAGGACATTATCAATCGCTACGAGAGGGCGGTATGAGAAGGGAAGACGGAGACTGCACATTCTTCAACACCAAGGAATCTGTGGTAGATAACAGTCGTTCTTGAGATTACTATCTCGTCGTTCGGTCACCCCCTTTGCCTCATTCTGCTACGACATCATGCAATTCAGCCGATTATATACTCGCATTATGATACCACATTATACCACATCAAATCACTCCACACCACCACTTACTGTATCCATGTAACTTTGATGCCCTCAGAAAAAAAACATCACAGAGTGTATATGAAATCGGGGCGTTTATCACCCAGCAACTCAATCTGACTGTGATCCAATCCCTCGACCCACTGATCACGCTCTCCGCGACGGCGCTTGCCATTCTCGCGACGCAGCAGAAGATACTGCACAACGGAACCACCAAAAAGGAACAAGACCAGGTAGCCCAGGACAACACCGTGGCCCGGGTAGTAGCGGGGCTTATCCTTGTCGCGGTAGATATTGGACGAGACGATTCCATTAAGGTTACCCCATCCAATAATAAAGCCGAGGGAGACACCACGCTTGTAGACACCTAGAAAAAGAGAGAGGGGATGTGAGCTGCTGCACCAAGGCAGGGTTGGAACATGCACGGCATACCTTCGATGTTGTTACTGGACCAGGAGATGGTATTTGCAATCGCTGGGTAGATACCCATCGCGCCGAGGAAAACACCAGCATAGCGCGCACCGGGAGACTCGCATCCCAGTAGCATGGCAAAGCCGATCATGCCAAGGAAGGAAACGGCAATATTGCAGAGACCACGCTGGCGTGTGCGGTCCGCAATAAAGCCAATTGTAACAGTCAAGATGGCAGCCGCAGCGTATGGTGGCACACTGAGCAGCTGCGCGCGGATGGAGCTGTAGCCTGTTGGCGGAAGGGACGGTTAGTCATGAATACTTCTAAAATGTTCACTATTGAAGGTTTGTGTTTCTTCGTACCCTGGACAAGAGTTAGTTTGCAAATTGATCCGTCGTTTTGCCAGGGGTACTCACTAATTCGTTGATAATGGTTGGCACAAAGAGCGAGAACGCATACAGCGATCCGTCCGCTCCCATATAGATGATAGCTCCTGTCCAAGTCTTCCAGTCCTTGACACTGGCCCAGAAATAAGACATCTTGAACTCCTCATGTTCTGCACTAGACTGCTGATCGGCTGCAAGCCGACGCAACACTCGCGCACGATCCGCGGGTGACAAGAACGTCGCCCGGTCAGGAAAGTCGTAGACACACCAGAAGGAAATGAAACCGATCACGATGGTAACCAGACCCTCCAGAATGAAGATCCAGGCCCAACCTTGCTTGCCACCGACACCATCCATCTTTGCAATGGCAGCGGCGAGCAAACCACCAAAGGATCCGGCCAGCGCAGCAGCAGAGAAAAAGATAGCCATGCGCACACCGAACTCGGAACGCTTGTACCAGCAAGAAAGGAAGTAGCCGACACCGGGGAAGAGACCAGCCTCGCTGAGACCGAGGAACCAGCGCACAGCCATGAGACCCGAGTAATTTTTGACCAGACCCATGCAGGTCATGCAGATGCCCTATGACCCAGGTTAGAGATATCATGGTCAATATATATCCAAGGATCAGGAGGACACACCCAAGCAATCATAATGGATGGAATGAAAATACTCGGCCGCAGTCGCTTGAGCAAAATATTGGTCAACGGCTCGAAGACGGAGTACGAGACGAAGAAAATGGTCAGGGTCGCATTGTATTGATCAGGGGACATGCCGAGATCTTTCGACAAGCCGTCAATTTTGGCATTGCCGATATTTGTACTATAGACAAATGAAGAGATTAGCTATGAGTGTTTGTTCGACAATATTCCAGTCAAAAGAAACCCTACCGATCGAGAAAAGAAACGAGATAGAGCAGACTCAGCCATGGGACAAGACGCAGGTCAAGTTTCCACAGGAGCTTCCGGTCCTAAGGACACATTGGAATGCAGTCAGCAACCGTAGTGATCAAAATAACGATGAAAATCTGGGGTTCCGATGGATGAAATGCAGGGATGTTGACTCGATGGGCATACAATTCTAGCCTTCTCCTCTTCACTTAATCCAGCATCCGGGTCCTCAAAGCCGGCTAGCTTATCCGGTACCTTCGAGCCGAGTTCCTTCTCGGTATCCGCGAGGCTGACGACAGCGGGTTTCTCATCTGCGGTGACTGCCATCGTCGTCTGTTTGGGGGCCCCGGTAACAAGCAATGAAAGTCTGCAGCTGCGGCTACACAAGTAGAAGAGAAAATCCCCGGAGTCGCACCTGGCAGGAATTACGTAGAGCGGGGTCTCGCATTTTGAAGCGAGCTTATAAATCTGCAGTTATTTGGTGCAGGGGCGAGCTGCATTGAGCCAATGGAGTCGCGCATCGGTCGCATTGGTCTCGCTGGAAGACAGGGATGCTAAAGTAACGCGGGGAGGAGACACGAGCTGATCATTCCTGAACGATCATCGTTGGGGGCGCACGGCAATATTCCCGACGATCGGCATCGCGGGCTGCGCAATTCGGATAGGATCAGCGCGGGGAGAAGAGCGGAGAAGTTTCTATACTTTGGGGTTGAGGGATCCACTTGCCGGGGTAAGGTGTTGCTCGGCATTTTAAGATGTTGATGCTGTATACTTTAAGTAGACACCAGAAATGGCCTATTCTCGCAATTGGTAACATGGGGGTTCCGCTGTAGAGAATACATGGAAGGAGGAGGACAGTAAGATCACGGTATTTCCTGAAAAATCTCACTTTGTACTTCAGTCAGTCAAGAAGCAGTTGCCACAAACAAGTTGGGCAAGTTGGGCCCGATGGACTTGGGATATCCTTGGGTCAAAGCCCGCTAGTTACATTCAGCCTAGTGACCACCGTTGGTCTTTTGAATGATTCAAATAACTTACGCAAGCTGGGTCATTCGTCTCGTAGCTCTTGCCAATTCATCTGCAACTCCCTACCGTCCCTGCTGTATGTCCTGGATCTGTAGAGCCATCTTGTCCCTTTGCTGTTGAAGAGCATTACAATTGACCTGCCGTCTTCGAATCCCAGTACAGTATTGGTGATGTGGGTTGAGATCAAAGCAGAGGGGTAAATGCTTTAGTAAACCGTGGCTTCTCTTTCTCTGCATTCCTGATCATGCTATTGACCAGGCCATCCAAAGTGGTTGCAGATGTGAGACTCACGAGTGCTAGAGAGTCATCAGAAGCCAAGCCACCATAGCCGCAACTCGCCAATACGGTCAACAGTTCCGGTGCGCGTCGCACGAATTAAGTGACGTGATTCGCACCAGATCTCCTAGCATAGGCTTCGCCGAAATAGCCAGGATATCTGCTATGGACGCATTAATAAGGCCCAAAGGAATGTACTCGCGGTCGGTACTGCCCTCGAAGGCACCTTCACCTTCGCTGATAATGGCTTATCCTTTCTGATTTTTGCCGCCATTATGATGTTGCTTCTCTGGCAGGCAGTGACTCAGAGCATTTGGATTGACCTGCCTCGTGAGAAAAGTGTTCCGGGGTATTGCAATGCCATGATCTGTGTCCCCATCAGGGGCGACTGGAATACCGGCAGTAAAGATGTATTCCTCGGGAAAGGGCAGATCTGTCGCTAGAAAATAATCCGGCTGCATGCTCATCGAAGCCTCTTGAACCTGAGGTTTCAAGCTCTGATAGGGCTCCCCCCACTCATGATTTGCATGCATGCGTGAGAAAATAACACACGCAAGTTCATGATTCATCAAAGGTGGGGTTGATTCCGATATCATCTGGGTACTAAGAGATGTTGGAGCTGCCATGCCTCTGGCCGTGGCCGGTCAAGTTGAAAATGCTCTGACTGGTGTCTGAACCAACTATGTAGCCCGATAAGTAGTCGAAAGTCTCCCACTTCATGTTCTGCTCATCACTACTATAGATGACGCTAATTGGTGATTTATCAGTATTGGATGGTTGCGCATTGAGAGTGGCTGTGGGCCTATGTTAAAGGAGCAGGCGTCCATGAAAAACAAAGTCGTTGCCCCTGTTGATTCGACAATACTCTGCAGAGATATCCTAGGGACGTATAGGGCGAATGATGGCCACGTGAAAAGTTACATCACCCCAGCTGTTTCCCGGACCAGTGCGAGAGTGCATTCACCTGGAAAGCAGAAATGAAATGCCTCTGATCTTGTTCTTTGGCCGAGGTACACACTGTATTGTTTAGTGTTTGGCTAATGGATGGTTCAATAAATTAGTGAAGAGCTCTTCATCCTCCAGAGATGGGCGTCCACGAACAGTCAAGAACAATTTTGCCATCATATCATGGCTGAAGATGATGCGTGCTGTGTTTGCGGACGGCAACAGTTTCAGCGATTTGCCCCCTCTGGGGCAAACTGCAAGTCTGTCTGCCCTGATGGCTGTGTCCCATTGTTCGCTGTCGGGTTGATAATCTCCTTGGTCCGTGGAAACTATTACTTGCAAGCTATTGCAAGCAACGTTTTCTGTGGATGAAGGCATGGGAAGAGACATTCCGGCCAATCAGGAAGATATACTTGAATCGCAACGGGTGTCCGAAGCTATAATCACGCGCCTATCCCTCACCTCTGGCGGCCTGGGTGAAGATTGTCTTAGGAGGCTGAGTTTCTCATAGGTTCAACAGGTGTTTGCAAAACCATTCAGTCATTTCCATAATCATGATTTGTAGCATAAGGAAGATGAGATGGGATGCAACTCAAGGATAGTAAAAATTGATCTAAGAAAATGGATATCGTGAGAGAATGTAATACATATATACAGGATGAGAGCATCCACATTGACCCCTCCTTGCTCGCGAAGGCCAGCTATGTTAATCAAGCCGTATGCCGTGCTTCGGCGTCCGGTTTCTTGGTATCGTGAGTGTCCTCTTCCTTGGCCGGTGCATCCATCGCAATGACAATGTTGTCTCGATCATGAGAGTATGCCTTTTGGAGTGGGGGCCAGAAGTACTGAGCCATAACCTCCTTGGCACCGGCTGGAATCATATCTTTGAAGGGCCAATAGTGCGAGATGAACTCGCCCTCGCAATCTCCCGAGTTCGGGTAGCGATTCGCCTCAGTGCACGGGAGGATCTGAATCTCCTCGGGGTAATCGTAGCGGAGGTACTCGTTGACGACGGCCTGTTCATGGGTGTGGGTCAGCTTCCACATACCGCAGCCCGGGTAGCGTGTCTCGTCGGGACAGGTCATCCAGGCTTCGAAGAATTCTTCGCTTCGTGGGGTCTGGTGGGCGATCACGAAGCCGGTGTTCAAGTTGATGTCGAGCCTCTTCACGTTGAGGAAGAAAGGATCACTAGGATCCTCGGCCAAGGCCATGGTGGTGTTGTCGGATACGCCCCAATAATTGAGGAGCCATTCCAGTGGGAGATGGGGGTGTGTGAAGATGGCATCGCCGTCCATGAAGACGACGTATTCGTAGTGCTTGATGGCCTCACGCATCGCAGGGACCTTGTTCCAGGTTCCGTGCAGAGTGGGGTCCACGGGGAGTTGCACAAGTTGATAATCATACCCGTGAAGCTTTGCTGTGGAGGGTCAGAGATTGTGTACACACCATGACACAACGGAGTACTTACCAAACATATAGTGGTTCAGCCGTCCAAGGGTCAGACCTTGCAAGTCATCAGTGCTGGGGGTGCCATCGTCGAGAAGGCCACCTGGGCCACCAATATCTCGGCTCTCGACATCGAGAATCAGGATCTGGTTTCTCATAGGCTTTGTGAATCTAGGGGCCTCGGGAAGCTGGTACACTTTGCCAGTACGGCTAGTAAAGTTTTTGGCCGTGATCGAAGTAACGTGAGGCCGGATGAGCTCAAAGACACCCGGAGGCAAGTCATATGCCGGTGATGATGATGGGTTTGTTTGGGAAGACTTGGTAGAAGATTTCACAGTTTGAAAGAAATTGGAATGTGGTGTATTGTAGAGATCATCGCTAACATCTCATATCAATCCAGGTGTTCTCACAGTCAATGCCCGGGAATACGTACGCGGAGGTTTTCATCGCGATACCTCTCAGGGATATCGAAGGTGCGCGGTAACAAAGGACAAGCAGAATGGTCGCTATCGTCAGACCCACTGCAATCGAGTAGGTCTTTCTCCGGGGCCACCGGGAGGCGAAGGAAGGTGAATGCATTTCGAACGAGTGGACGGGCGAGATCACCCAAAGCAAAATAGACCGATCTGGCAAGAAGCGAAGCGCAAAAAATCACAGGATGTCGAGAAGTGCAAGAGAAGGCATCAGGGGGGGGATTTTGGGGAAGCGTTGTCTCTCGAAGGCCCGACTTTCAGTATTTATGACACGAAGCTTACTTGGGTAAGACTGCAATGAAAGAGTAAGACCTCATTTCTGGACCCTCTTTGGGGGTCCTCCGGGTTGGGGGCTTCTTGGTGGTCATTTATCCGCTCATTTTAGTTCTTGAAGGCGTCCACGTTGACCACTAAAAATAGGCGGTTGCAAGCGCCCCATCTAGAAAATTTCGTATCGGGACAGTGGAGCGAAAAGGGTTACGATATTAACGGGAACGATTGGCTGGCTACTAATTTAACTGACCGGCTTCATAAATTACCATCTAGGGTCCGATTCAACTCTAGCGTCAGGCCTTCCGGGCTTCCTTCGGCTTATGTTGTCTTTGTGATACTGTACTTGCTTCTTTCTCGATTGAATGTTGACTTCCCAACCAATTATTCACTACAATATTGATCCATTATTGGTCGGTCCTCTTTAAAAGATACAAGCCAACAAGCCATGCTGTTTTTCAAAGCAATGGGCTAGGTTTTTGAGTTGTCTTGGAGAAGGTGTTGGTTAGCATATTCCAAGCGATGCATTTGCACTGAGTGGAGGCCAAATCCACCTTTGTTTCCACATTTCAGCGAAGCTTTCGATCATTTTGACTAGACAGCGCGAATGGTGGCTAGTTTAGCTGCCTGGTACAGACTATCGGCTCAAATACCGACAATACCACCGCAAGACGGGCAGATTCGTTCGAGGGACGACGGGACTGGTTCACCGTTTTGGAACAGACAATTAGGCACACCGTCCTACTGAGACATTTGGGGTGAAATGTAGTCCCCAAGAGCCGCTAGCAATTTACGCTAGTCCGGAATCAAACACGTTTCTTGGCAACTCGTGGGGCTTTGACAGAAAGCTAAGCGAAGATGCGGATAGTTAAGATTGGAGCAACGCCCAGGAATTAGGGGGCTGCCGGCGCTGCCGAGAATTGGACCCTGAACAGCCACCGCCGTGTAACATTCGGACTGAGACACTAAAAAGGTGGAAAGTGGATAGCCAGAGAAAATCTAATCTACTTATCACTGGTCGAAGGAAGAGCTATAAGCTATAGCTATCGGTTGGGCAAGTACTGTACGCAGACTGTCGAGATAAAAGGTCAAGATGGACGAGAGAGAGTATTGACAAAACTATCGATTGACAAAGGGCGTGATAGGTGAAGTTTTATGACTCGGTCAAGACGGGGTTTGAGGGCGAAATATTAATGGTCGGATACAATGCTACGCTTACCTTCTGCGTAAACCTAATCGGGGAAATACACACTGTCCGTCCGTTTTTCTTTGTCCATAATGAAATGGGGATCAGCAAAATGAATGCATCCTGTAGCCCCCAAGTGATTACCGTATTGTGCATATATTTCGGACACAATCGCTCACATTATCCCATGTAACTAGTGCTGGGGCCATCCAGTAGTCAAGGCTGCCCCTGTCACTTTTTTTCGGCTCTTCGCCCCCCGATGCAGGGTCCAACGAACGAGGGGCGCTGACTTATATCCAGAAGCCTTGCCCCACTAGTCAGCGTTACTCGTTCGTTGGGACCTGAATCACTGATGTTGGCAGGTGCTGCTTGTTTTGTTTTGTGGTGGATAACAATTGGCTCAGCCCCTCCTAGCTGACCAGATGGCATCAATACGGTAATCTTTCGCACCATCCGTCGTGTGGACGGACCCCATTTCGACTAAAAGTATCCTACTGTAGAAACGTCGTAAAAATAGTAGAAAGCTGACATTGAGAATAAGACACCAATGATGCCCCCTATCACCTTCTTCCTGGTCCGATCCGAGTCTTGCATCACTTTGCTTCGATTGATGCGTCCACTCCTTTGACCCGTCTCACATTCCACGCTCATTATCTCAGCATACCACCTTTGCCATTATACGCGACTCATGAGAACATGAGTTACTCAAAGCAAGAAGATGGGGAAGTGGCAATGAAACTGCTGCCCGAATCCTCCCCTCGGCTGTCAACGTCGTCCACGGTCGCAGACGACCTGGAAGCCAATAACAAAGAAGCCATCGACCATACTGCGGTAGTGCTGGAGTACCAAACCCCTGCCGGCGTCAAGTATGCATGGCTGTGTGCTCTACTGGTCTTTGGGATGCTCTTGACTGTCCATAACAAATTCATTCTTGAAAAGGTGAATAATATACTTGTCTTTGAAGTACACGAGTCCGAAACATGCGCAAAAGCTGACAACAAGATGCAGTTCCCATGCCCGTGGCTCTTAACGGGCATACACAGCATATTCTCCGGAATAGGTACCTTCATTCTCCTAAAACTCGGTTATTTCAAGTTATCGAAACTCTCTCATCGCGACCACTTGGTTTTGATTGCATACTCGGTGCTCTTCAGCGTCAATATTTTCTTTTCCAACTATTCATTGTCCCTCGTCAGCCTGGCATTCTTCCAGATCATCCGGAATACCTCGCCCATCTTTACCGTTCTTCTCGAGCGCCTTCTCTTCTCGCGCTCCTACCATCTAGCTACTTATATTGCTCTTGTGCCGATCGTGCTGGGTGCCGGCCTTACTGCCTCTGGAGATTTCCATTTCACCGTCTTCGGCCTGATCATCTCGGTAATCGGCGTGCTCTTGGGTGTCTTGAAGGTATGTCGAGAATCTCCGCTCTCTCATCCTACTTGCGATCGCCCTCGCGAATTAGTCTCACGAGGAATCTAACAAATCCCTGGATTAGATCATTGTCACCAACCGCCTGATGACTGGATCCCTGGCTCTACCCTCATTGGAGCTCATCTACCGAATGTCGATCTACGCCTCGATCCAGACAATAGTCATCGGAGTATATGCCGGTGAACTTTCCAATCTGGACCCATCCACACTCTGGCGCACCGACGCGAACGATGAATCCACGTTCCCCGTGACGTCAACCGCCTTCTCACTACTAGGAAACGGCCTGTTAGCCCTGCTACTGAACATCTCGTCCTTCCAGGCAAACAAGGTTGCCGGCTCTCTCGCTATCACAGTATGGGGAAACGTCCGACAGACTTTGACTTTGATACTGGGAATTCTGTTCCTCGGAGACTTCAACTTGAACATCCAGACCGTGTCAGGAATCGTGCTTGTGGTGGTTGGATGTGCATTCTATAGTAAAACGGAGTTGGACTCTAAAAGGTGAGAGATAGAAGATAATCACATTTTCAGGCCGCCCTTATTTAGCGACCAGCAAATAATATTTCATTAAGCTTTCATAATTGGGTTGCTTTTTCAGGACACAATAGATCAGTGGCTGAATTATGGGGTATGATTGATCGTGTATTCAATTAGAATAGGCCCCTCTAAGAACGTCATGTCTAATTTAGGTAGTCATCTTTGCCTACACATTTATCAAGCGCGTCTGATTTAGACATTTTCGATCTTCTCCCGAGCTGCGTCCTGCTGCTCGGCAATGATATCGGCGGGGATTCGGTCCGGTGTAGTATTCACGAGCAAAATCATTGGACCCAAAGCCGCAGCAAGTAATCCAAATGTCACGCAGCTGGTACGCAAGTTAGTTCAGAGGCCGTGCCAAGCATATCGAGATATCAAAGAACTTACAAGCCGACCATTGGGTTGCTGGTTGTCTGAGTATTCATGCCGTAAGCAATAGCCTGACCAATAGCCTCGATAGATCTGAATGCTGCGCCATTTCGAACGTTTTCTATTTCGAAGTCAGTCACCGCTTGCATTTTGTTGTATCGCGAGTCACAAAGGCAACTTACCCTGAGCATCCGTTGCAAAAGACGAGATAAGCCAGTACATGTATGACTGAGACAAGGGCCCCGTTGTCTGCACGAAGAAATAAGGCAGGAACGATGATGGGTACAGTGCATCTTCCCAATCGATATGGCCAGGGTTATGGTGGTTGAACTTGGCCTGCATGATGATCGACCAAATATAAACGCAAACATTGAGGGTGACAACGGTCCACAGGCCTATCTGGGCCCGGCGGCGTTGGCTGAGGTGCTTCATGTCAAGGATAAAACCGAGGCCAAAGCATCCGACGCTGTTGTCAAGCGACATTAGCCAATGAAACTGATAAGGGGTAATCGGGAGAACATACATGCAGAAGAAGGGCGAGATGAGGGATGAGAGGGCGCGTGCTCGGACGGAGAAGTAAGTTCCCAAATAAGTCGACCAGGTTCCGCTGTGTTTTCGCTCAGCTTTAGTCCCATCACCATTAACTAGATATGGAATTCATAGGGGTACTGACCCGTAGAAGAACGACCACAGCGCCCATAGTGCAGAGAACATGACAAGCTTAGAACTCATAGTCTTTACGATGCGCCGAAGTTCCATCTTGGTGGAAAGAGTCTCCGCAGTAACAATCTTCGTGCCGTCGGATCGAACGACCCGCTCAAATGGGGTGATCAGCAAAGCAAATGGCAGCCTGAAGAATTGGTCAACGTTTAGCCTCTCTAACCCGGAAGAAACAACCTGACGTCAACTCACGCAAGACACTCGATGATCACAAAGGCAAGATATGTATCGGGAGTCACGCCGCCATCCACTCCCTTGAGGTGGTTCTTAGATAAACTGTACAAATCGAGTAAGTCAGTCACAATCTATCAACTATACATGCTTTGTTGTGAAATGAATGACTCACTTGATAGCACCACCAACTAGCTGTCCCAGATTTCGTGACACAATCCACAGGGCGAGATACTTTCCACGTGCACCAGAGGGCGCCAAAGTCATGATTGCTCCAGCTTCGGCGACATACCAACAAGCTGTTCCGATTCCGCTAATGGCACCACTGAAAATGAGGTACTACCGCAGAAGCATCCCAAGTCAGACATTTCTCGTACTTCCAAGTTGGCATATTGAACCTAGATGGACTGGACTCACCCATTGGTTTCCATATTTGCTGTTGCAGTAGTAAGCCGAGCCCTCAATAGGGAACGTCGCAGCACCAATGACAAGCGCCCACTTGACTCCGATCTTGTTCACGATTGGACCGCCAAAGAAGCAGACTAGATGGTGCCATTGTCTGATTAGCGGACTCCAAGCCGAGAAACTCAATCTAGCGATAAACATACAGGTAGCAAGCATTGCGTACGTGATCGCATTGGTAATATTTGATACTCGTGGAGTTGCAAGACCACCACCGCCCAGACCTGGATATTGATGAGCTGTTGATCTCAAACCGGTACATTCTCCAATCTGCCTCACCAGTAATCGCGTCGGCCATGGCAGGGCCACAAAAGGCCTGGACGCTGAGCAGCATCATTTGCGTCAGACTGTGCTGCCACACTCGCTTCCACCGGGGAACTGTCGCTCGATAATGGTCCATATCTACACCGTGGGCGAGAACTGTGACATTGCTTGGCGAGTCTAGAATGGAGCCCTCGTGGACCTCGTGGGAAGGGAGATCTTTGGGTTTTGATTCGGCCATGGTGAGGGATATTGGAGTTCTCATGCGTTAGAGCGAGGAGAAGACTATGGGACTAGGTTACCTGGGCGGTTGTTTATATAGACTTGCGAGATCCGATACGTGCAATGTCTATCTTTTCCGAACATCTCCACGCTAACCTTATCTCCAGAGTCTCGTGGTCAGTTGAAGGGAGAAGGAGAGGAGGATACCCCCGAGTTCTCCAATGTTCCCCTCCTCACATCCTTGTTGCCATGTAGACATTGGGGTCGATTCATCCCGACGTTGAGGTTGACAGAAGGTCCAGGCGGAAACCGTACGCCAATGCCGGGGTCGAGGCACCCCTTTGGAGCGATAACCTGGAAGGACTAGGCCGTAAAGATAATTCAGCCTGAATTAACCGACAAGGCCATACTTTTCGGTTATCGCGTGGATCCAGAGGTGTGGATTGGCTGGCGGGTCGATTCCCCGCGTTCTCCAAGCCCGAGATGTTCATGTCATTGCGTTATCGAGCACTATCGGGTTCTTGTGGGGACCTCGACAAGCTCGAGTAGTGTCACAAGGTTGACAGAAGGTCCAAGCGAAATCATTCAACGGGTTCGGCATTAGCGTGGCGCCGATCAGCCCCATTCTTGGCAAGACGTGGGGGCATTCACACCAATCGTAGTTGCCGGAGTCTCGACCGGTTTTCTGGCTCTCTGGAATTGATGCCTCTTTGTTCTTCGTCTGGTGTATGGGGGCGGAGAATTGCGAGATCGGAAGTTCAATCCTTGCAGGTCGAGTTGTCAGCGTTGAGAATGGGGTCAATGAACTGACTTGGTGTATCGCGCGCTCCACCAACGACCCCAAGACCTCACATGAGAAGGCTCCCCGAATGTTTCATCGCCGGGTCAATTCAAATTCCCCTAGTCACAGTCCTTCACGCGTAGCTGTTTCTCCCTATACGCTATTGCCCGTTGATAGCGAGCTGGTTCCAAGTACATCACAAACACCCGGTCATCCCCATCAAGGTCACTTGAAAGGACATGGAGAACCTCCGTGCAAGCACCAAGGTCATTGTGGTCGGAGGTGGTGGTACGATGGGCTCATCGACTGCGATGCACCTCATTCGCTTCGGATATACTCCCTCCAACATCACCGTCCTAGATGTGTATCCCCTCCCATCCGCCCAGTCGGCAGGTCATGATCTAAATAAGATCATGAGCATTCGCCTCCGTAATGGACCAGATCTGCAATTGTCACTTGAGGCGTTGGATATGTGGAAGAATGACCCTTTATTCAAACCATTCTTTCATCAAGTCGGCATGGTGAGTTTCGGGCTCGCCTGGCTCTGGGCGAGGATGCTGTGATAGTCCCATATTCTGACATGCGCTATAGATTGACTGCTCGTCATCCGAAGAAGGAATTGCTGGTCTTAGACGAAAGTACCAGTCGCTTATCGATGCGAATATCGGGCTTGAGAAGACAAATACCTGGCTAGACGACGAAGATGAGATCCTGGCAAAAGCGCCACAATTTACCAGGGAGCAGATCAAGGTAAATTTGATTCCAGAATAGATGAGCTTTGGAAGTGACTTATCAAGACTTGCCCTACAGGGATGGAAGGGTTTGTTCTGCGGTGACGGCGGCTGGCTAGCTGCAGCAAAGGCTATTGATGCGATTGGAGAATTTCTCTGCAAACAAGGTGTCAAGTTTGGATTTGGCGGGTACGTACGGGAATTGAGCAAGGCAGTCAAAGTCGTTTGTTTTGCTAAATTGGATCTGCAGAGCTGGAACATTCAAGCGACCATTATTCGCGGCAGATGGTGTTACCTGCGTCGGCGTGGAAACTGCAAACGGGACACAATATCTCGCTGACAAAATAGTCTTGGCTGCAGGCGCTTGGAGTCCGACGTTAATTGATCTAGAAGGCCAGTGTGTTTCGAAGGTATGTCTGCTCAGGTTTCAAATCACTATAAACCACGCATAGAGGGTCTCCAATTACATCGCCTTGAACTCATTCTTCTACCCAGGCCTGGGTATTTGCCCACATCCAACTCACACCACAAGAAGCGGCCAAGTACAAAAATACTCCCGTTGTGTATGATGGTGAATATGGCTTCTTCTTCGAGCCAAACGAGTCAGTCATCACGCAACCCCCACATCCAATGCCTCCAATTGAACGGCAAATGCTAACCTCAATACCTTCCAGGCACGGAGTGATCAAAGTCTGCGACGAATTCCCCGGTTTCTCTCGTTTCAAAGAACACCAGCCCTACGGGGCCTCTTCTCCGATGCTGATTTCAGTCCCGCGGTCCCACGCAAAACATCCTACCGATACCTATCCCGATTCTTCTGAAATCACCATTCGAAAAGCCATCGCAAGATTCCTTCCTCAATTCACAAGCAAGACTCTATTCAATCGAAGCATGTGCTGGTGCACGGATACTGCTGATGCCAACTTGTTGATTTGCGAGCATCCGCGGTGGAAGAATCTGATCGTGGCTACGGGGGACAGTGGGTGAGTGTCTCATCCATGAATGAACCTGATCTTACCAATGAAGCCTGGGCATGGACTTTGCTAACATAGTGCCCACCATTAGTCACAGTTTCAAGCTCCTACCAAATATCGGCAAGCGTATCGTTGAACTACTCGAAGGGTCTCTGTCGGAAGACTTGGCGAGGGAATGGAGATGGAGACCGGGCGGTGATGCACTAAAGTCCCGCCGAGCTGCTCCCGCAAAAGATCTCGTTGATATGCCAGGCTGGAAACATGATGCTAAGCTATGAGCCAAATAATTGCAGCATCCCAGCACTCTCAGGTAGAACAGTCGATTAAACCGCTATCATCATCCACCGTCTCGTAAGGGCTTCGAGGTCCACGTGATGTCTTAGCAACACGCACCGTTAAATCCCCTCCACGTCCACGTCTTCCATGTGCCCCCATATAGTCATGCCTATTCTTGCAAATCGTGATACAGTATCAGCCTGAGAATCTCTCCGCCGATTTGGTAGTTCGAACGAGAAGACGTGGGGTCTTGGCTGCTTCCGACATCGCCTTCTAGGTGTAATGCATTCATGGTCTTGCCGTACGCATCACGGCAAGTGATTTTGTAGTCGACAAGTAAATTGAATCTGCCATTTTGATTGTAATAGTTGCAGGTTGAATTATCCGTTTCTGAGTAGTGTTGTATTCATTCCTATGACGAGAGTGAGCCAAGAAGTCTTGATGCAGTCTTCGGGCGGTCCCGCCTAGCCCCGCGGCCGCGGGGAACATTTCCGAACTATTGAGTGATGCTACTATGTTTACCCCCTATTCGTCTGAAGCTCTACATAATCATACTCCTGACGACGAATGAACAATGATAAAATGAAAACACCTCGTTGAATCTCGTTATTAGATGCTCACCCATGAGGACTTGTCATGTCCGGCGGCAGTTCTGTGTCTGCTCCACAGCGCGGTTGCCGATTGGCATGGATAAAGCCCTCATACGGCGGATCACAACTTGTTCGATCAAAATGCCGCGCACGGGTCCGGTGCGAACTTGATCAACAGTCCCTTGAACTTGGGGTCCTTCATCAGCGCAATGGAGGCTACCGAGGCCATCTTGACCGAGTGAAACCGAACGGTGACTTCGCCCTTCAGCTCCCGTTCTCCGAAACACTCCACGTAAGGGTGAAGGCGTGCCTGGTCCAGTACACGGTGAATGTCTTCCCTAATTTCCTTTCCGTGAGGAGTATGAACCACCAGGCAGCGAGTGTGACCAAGACGGCGGACCTGATTCTCCACGTCAGGGGCCATGCGGTAGGTCGGGGTCGGAACGGGACGCACTTGCGCGGGGCTGAACCCGACGTAGAAGCCCTCTCGCGCAACGCGGTACAGGAAGTTCAATGCCCCTCTTTCATATAAGAAAGTGATCAATACGGTCGGGCAGCCAGAGATGGCTCTGGTGTCCGTCAGAGAGGCCGAGAAGATGGCGCCACCGCGGATTCGAGGCAGGACTTGATCGAGGGTGACGGTGTTGGGGAGATTCTCGATCATAACGGTCCGGAAGACGTTGTCATCGCCGAGATTTGGCATAAACCGCAGACCCCACTGGAAAAAGGCATTGTCGTTGACACCTTTGTAGAGCTCATGGCGGTTTGCTCCGAGCTGGGCGGCCAGGAGTTCCTCTTCCGGGCTGTCAAACACGGAGTGATTAATGGCCCATCTTAGCCACCGGTCGAAAGGATTCAAAACAGGTGGGGTGGGCTTCGCCGGCAGAAGGCTCTCATTGCGTTGGGACAGACCAAAGGACTGTTCAGTCTCAAGGGGATTGACCTGGCTCGAGTCCACAACGATGGTAGAGTCCTTGGAGTCGGCCACATCCACATCAAAGCCAATCGGCGATCCCTATTTGATCTGTCAGTACCATCGAGAGAGCGGCAGAATCGTTTTAGACAGTGACACATACCTCACGAACGATAGGATCGTCAGAGAGGAGCCGGGTGGAAGTGGTTTTCGAGTCACTAACGCGAAGGTTAGAATAAGCCAACTACTTCCCAAATTGAGCACTTCGATGCATTCAGTGATGGCATTGAAGGCTGGAGCATACAAAGCATCACTTTCAGATGCAAGAGCTCGAGTATGACGAATAAACATGTTAATGAACGTACCCGAAGGGCTGGAGCAGCGGGAACTCAAAATCGACCAGCTGGTCTAGGAGGCAAGAAATTACCAAAGGCATGGTGACTTCAGTCGACCGATCTGGCTCGTCCATACTGATGGTAGCCTGTAGTTCTGATGAACTCAAGGCCGAGGAGAGCTTGTTGGGAGTTCGAACTGGAAGAAAGAGATGGCGTTGAGGATGAAAGAGTTGATTGAACGGGGTGGGAGAAAAGAAAAGGACAAATGGACTGCTCAGCAAAAGAAGACTGGTGAGGATACAGAACCTCAATAGCATCAAACAGAAGGGATGGTGCGTGCCGATAGCGATAATCGCTATCACGTGGATGGCCAATCTATCCTTCCAGCATGGCTTCTGCCCTTTTATCTTGTGCTAAGTACGTGCGTCTGAAGAGATGAATGCGATGACATGAAATGATATCAAATGAGATCAGAGGTAAGAGACAATCGAAAGAGGTCAATGCAGCATGGCTAACGGGAAAGAGAGTATATACTTTGAAAGTTCCAGGTACAAAGACAACATATACATGCAGGGTGCGAACACCGACACAATCCATTGGAGAAGTACAGAGGATGCAGCAAAAATGGAGGTTTCAAACTGAGCGCTCAAGGATCATCCATTTTCACCCTTTACCCGAGGAACTCCCCTTCAGCCAGAGCAATCCAAGGCAGATTGTCATCCCAGCAGTGTTGCATCAGCTGCCGAGCATTTTGAATCTAGGTCAAGGTGTCAGACTCCAACATCAAAGCGCAGACAAGGGAACTTGTTGGGGGGGGGGAGGCATACTTGTTTCATTCCGGACTTCTCTAGCACGAAGAAACGGTTGAGCAATTTCATTCGTTGGCTGGAATCGCGCGATTCACACCCAGCGGTGAAGAGGGGAAGCAGTGAGCACACTTCGGTTGAAGCACCAAGGCGCATACGGTCCAGAGCCCCGACGAGCTTGCGCAGGGCATCTTGCACGGGAAATGAATCGGGCGAAGATTCAAGCACCCGTCGGTGAAGATGAAGCAGCCCAGCACAGCGAAAGGCTTCCTCTGTGGCCATCATGTCGTCGGCCTCAGCTCCCAAATGATGGTCCGGGTCAGCATGGACTCTTTCGTTCAGGTCATCGAAATCCCCGAGCACAGCCTGGGCCTCCATCACCATGTCTGCAGAAGGGTGCCATCCCCGTTGGAAGTTACCCATATCGTCGAAACGTTCATTGTCACATTGCTGAACTAGCTGGGCAAGCCGGAGCAGGAAAAACCCCGTACGAGGGCTAAACCCAGTGAAACAATCAACGCAGTATTCGTCATGGCTTTGAGGACGGCAGCACTCTGCTAGAACGGAGTGGTACAACATCAATGGTGGACCTGCTTGACGGCAAGAAAGAGCGCCCATGGTGTCAATATATCCTAGCCAGCGAGCAAAGAAAGCGCCAATTCGATTCCCAGGCATTGCAATGCGATCACTGCGAGCAATGAACAAATCTCTGGCGAGCTTCAAATGACTCTGCCAGGGGATAGGAACTTCAAAGGTCCCAGGACAAACAATCTTCAATGACAAGAGCAGGATCGCCGTAGCCAGATGGCTATCGGTGATTTCTTCTTTAGATGCTTCTAAAGCAACCCGCAACGCTGGAAAAACATCGCTGACCCAATGCGCGATGCGAGTTACCGGCTCCGCATGGCCCAGATAACGTGCTCGATGGCTTGCAGAGTATGCCAATACCAGATTCAGCAAATTCGGGTCGGAAATTGCCACTAGCCAATTAGCACGACAATCCAAGACGGGGAAGCCGCCAGACAAAGAGACGGGCAAACTTACTCGACGGTAGCACGGACACGAAGGGATTGTTGTCGCAATCGTGCGGAACCAGCATTTTGGACGTGTGATTGAGAAAGTGATGGAAATACAACAGGTTGATTGGATTCTTCAGCAATGATGAGGGAAGAGGGGACAAGTATCGAGGAATGTTAATGGGAACTGGAGACGCATAATAACCGCTAAAGTCGGATGTTTGCACGCCAGACAAGCCAGGGAACGACGTAGGTGAGAAAGATTCACGATCTCGACTTTGTGAGTTGACCTTGCCGACCGCGGAGTTAATGTCAATCGCAGCATGGTCATTATTCAAGGTCAGATCCCGGTCTGGACGGCCGCTGTCCAAGCCATAGTTATCGGTCACACTGGTCAGATAGGCCTGCCATTTGCTTTGGGCGGCGTGGGATTCACTTCCAGGATGATCGGTGTCTTTATCCCTGGAATCGGCACTCAAAATTTCGGAATGATGTAATGAATGAAGCGATTCAGGCTTTTGTGCATGGTTTGATCCAGGCGTATGTCTGTCATGACTAGGGGAGAGGGATGCATGGGATCTTGGAAGCAGCATTGTCGAAACTCCACCGTGGCCTGTCATTTCATGAGAAGGGCCATCCTGTCCAACAGGGTCGTTCAATAAGAAACTCAGACCATGGTCATCATGTGGCAAGGAACGACTTGTAGATATCTGGGCATCGATCTGACCCGGCTGGGACGATGCATCAGATGGATGACCGGTCATGTCCACTGAGTTGCGAAGAAAGGAAACAGGCTGCGATACCGAGCTTGAGTGGAATGCAAACGCAGAAAGAGATCGAAGACCGACTCCTTGGTCTGCTGCAGGAGAGAATGAGTTATGGAAGGTCTGACCAAATGAGTACTGTGACATGGACCCCGATGAGGCCGGAGTTGCGGGAGAATGCTCTGCCCATGTTGTGGCAAATTGAACCTCTCCTTGAGATGAAGAAATCGCATGGTCTGAGATCACTTGAGGCTTCGGAGAGTCGAAGACGCCGAAGGCAGCAGCGCTATTAGGCGATAGGGCCCCTGGGGAGCCGAGGTCTCCCGATCTGAAATTGATGAACCCATCTGCAGGGGCCTTGTTCCCTGAAAGTATTGATGCGGGGAGATCGGCCGAGTCAATGGCACTGATCCGCATCGGCTCAGCAAAGCCAATCAGCGTACCTCCATGTCCCCTCGAAGTGGAAGTCGGAGAATCAACGGAAGACCGCTTGGTTCGGCCACCCCAGTTGAGGCGAACACTGTAGTCGCACGGCTCTCCTTGCCTTTGGCAATTGAGACAGGAGGGTTTTTCTTCGCCGCTGATATGGTTCATCTGTTAGTTGGATATACGACAACGACCGGCATATGTTCCATTACCATTTCACTTTGCGAGCTTTGCATGGCCTTAACGAATAGTTAGTCTTATGACACGCAGCATTCTTCCATGCACGCAAACAACTCACCAGCATCCTTTTCGGCTCCGGCGTTTCGGCTCTGGCGCACCAGGTCGTCGAGGGCGAGGCATTGCACCCTCCAAGCCGCTGAGAACCTGGTCTAAATGACAGGCAGCGAGGCGATCAAAGAAAAAAGATAGGCTTGAGTAAGCCACTAGGTTGAAAGTTCTGTCACAAAGCCATGCAGAATACACGTCAAGATTGACTCAAGACCTTCACAGGACAAGCGCGTTGCAATCGATTCGTCTGCGGCGTTTACAACTGTGTTGGCCCCAAGTTGCGACGAAACGATAATCGACGAGACACCCACACCTAGTATACAAGCACATCGAGGTGTGGGAGGGAGATGTGCCCGAGGAAGAAGAGGTTCCGCTTTAGCGATAGCAATAGCAGATGCTTGTTCACCTTATCTGCTGGGAATAATGCAGGGAACAGCTAGGCTAGCGACGATCCGCGGACCAATTCCACGTGGCCAAATTTAGCTGGGATTAGAAATCTGGGGGATAAATATGGCCCACTCGCTCCGACAACTGCAGCCGGAGAGTAGAAAGCAAAGAACGAAGCAACTGAGCACGAATGGCAAGGAAGATTCGTATCTGGAGCGCGCGTGGGAAAGTGTGGGGAAGCGAAAGATAAGGATGAATCAGCCGGGATGCGGGAAAACCTGTCGTCCGAAGCGGCATACCGCGGCTTGCCGGTCACATGGCATGCGTCATAGCGGCGGTCGGATGCCAAGCTGGGCCCGATAGCCTCCGCCTTCCCTAGCGAGGTTGGCCCTGGACCCTGAATTCTCCCAGCGACGCCAATTTTCAAACTCAATTAATTTACCTCATCCGCACAAATCTCCAGGAAAAATGGCTCTCTCACACATGGTCCATCATCCACTGCAGCGATGGCCCAGCCCTTCCAGGGGCATCTCTGCTCTGGTTCATGTCTGTCCACCTGTCCCGTGGTTCTGCTTTCCAATGCATATGTCAGGGTTCCATGGCTAACTTGGGCAGGCAACGGGTCTTGCGAGCTTTCTATGGTCTTTCAAATAGTATGTTAATATGGAATTACTTGAAACATTGCAGGGCTTTTCTTTACGTAAATTCGGCGCTAACCGACCCTCGAAAGCATGCACGAGAACCCCAATCAGGCGTAAGTTCTGCTCGCTTGGAGCGAGAGGCTGATCGATTGCTTCAGATTTTGAATGTAGCTAATCGATTTCAAGGAATGAGGCATATGGATGGCACTTCCAGTACTTGACCGTCATCGGGCTTAGTCTTTCGACGCTGACTTTCATCGTTGCCTTTCTTGCCGACGTGACTCTGTCGCACCGGTTGTTCTTGATCAAGAATCTGCTGTCCGTGTGCTGTGCTCCTATGGAAGTCCTGATTAGTGTGCTCTACTGGGGTCTCCGAGTGGTAAGTGGAGACGAGATCGCTTCACTCTGATTGACCCATCTGACCGAATATGCGGATTTCAGATCGATGAGCGTCTCGTGCTCCCAGAGTGGGCCGTAATCCCTTTACATGCAGGTACGTTGACAGGACTAATTGCATTGATGGCGGCTTCTGCCGAGGACGGTGGGGAACGGACACTAAAACCTGCCGACAGATCTCGGGTTCCATGCTGTCCCGTCCATCGTGATGTTAATAGATCTGCTGCTGCTGTCCCCACCGTGGACAATTTCCGCCTTGCCTGCTCTTGGTTTGTCTGGCGTTATCGCCTTCGCTTACTGGTTCTGGGTGGAGCAATGTTTCTCAAACAACGGATGGTAAGGATGACTACACCATTGACTCACTTTTGCTATGACTGTACTGACTAGCTGAAGGTACCCGTATCCCATCTTCGAACAGTTGTCCACGTCAGGACGAGTTGGCCTGTTTTCGATGAGTGCCGTTGTGATGGCTTTCAGCACCGTCACCTTGAAGTGGCTGCATGGTCGTGTCAATGGCTTTGGTAATGGTTCGTCCCCTCAGTCTCGCCCGGGCGATATCAAAAAGGAGGCACTTTAAATTTATTGCGAGAGCTAAGAGTGATGAGTACGGCGTATTGTTTGGTGATCGTCGATTTAAGCGTGAAGGTATGAGTGTAGATAAAGTCATGAGTATCAAGAGCCATGGCCCGGTGAATTACATTCTGGAGTCGCAGGCCATGTACATACTTCATGGAGCAGGCTCCTTACAAAATACCCAATTACCAACGAAAATCCACCGCTACCACCCTCTCTCTTCTATCAGGCCTGATTGCCTTTTCTTTGTTTCTTGATGTTCCCAATTTTTTAGAAAGGGCGTCTTCGTGTCGGTCTAAAATTACGGATTTGCTTGACATGGCGATGCCTCCAACGAATCTCATGCTCTCTTCATAAATGGTTGGTAGGCAGTGTCTCATTGCCAAGGGTGTGGCCAAGGTCATTGCTAAATATATAACGATTTGGCACTCATCTACGCGCAAAAGTTTTATTCTATCTTTGTATTGGTTTGGTCACACTATAAAGGGAAAAGCACTTTCTTTTAGAAGGATTTACTTCAGATGTATCGCAATAGGAATAATGTGACAAATTTCAAGTTCTATCGCTCTTACCAGATCGTCGATGGGTTTACGGAGTAAAACCGCATTGATTGGATAGGCGTTTCGCTTACGTAACCATTCCAGCTCCCGAGCGGCCAACTTCCCTTGCTAACAACGCAATCTCTGGTTTGCAACGACTCCGCGGCGATCAAGATACACTCCAGTTCCGTCAGTATGTCCGTTCGCTCAATCTCCACCGGCCGTCTGGGCTCTTCTGCGGCCACTGTGCTCGCCCATTCCTCCCCCGTTGCTCGGTTCGGCTCACAAGGAGCTTCGGCGCAACTTGCTCGCCTGCACTCGACCGTCGTTCGTCCGTCGTGTGCCTTCAAGAACCAAGACCTCCGGCCTAATGCTCAACCCTCTACCATCTCACAGAACCGCCCAGCTGGTCTGCGTGCACAGTCGACTGCGGCGCCGAGCAATGATAAGGTGAAGCTGGACTGGGACTCTTTCTTCAAGCTCCGAGCTTCTCGCCGTCGCTACTCTCTGGCATCCTCGATTGTCAGCTCCCTCGTCTCTACCACCGCCGGTGTGCAGGTTCTCTCAGCGCAGGATCTGGAGTCTCTGGGTGCTCAGGTGATGGGTCTCGATCCGTTCGTCGTTCTCGGTATGGCGACTGCCGCCTGCGGTGCCGCTGGCTGGCTGGTTGGACCAGCCGTTGGCAATGGTGTCTGGGGCTTAGTGTACCGCCGGTATAAGCCTTCCGTGGCAACAGTAAGTCATTCAAAAGTATTTCCAAAGCTTCAGTACCCGACTAATACCGTGTCTCCGCTGTGATAGAAAGAGAAGGAGTTCTTCGACCGTATTAAGCGATTCCGTGTGGACCCGTCAACCAACTCGATTGCGAACCCCGTGCCCGACTATTACGGCGAGAAGATTGGCAGTGTGCAGGGCTATCGTCAGTGGCTCAAGGATCAGCGAGCCTACAATCGCAAGCGTCGTAACTTTATCGCCTAGTCGCGCCTTTTCCTTGAATTCATTGGAGGCATCAGGTTTCCCTCCCCCTCTCTGTGTGCATACGATTTGACCTGCCTCCGCCTGGCATACTCTAGCCCAAACAGGGCATTTTTATCTTTTCTATGGAATTGGTGTTTTTGATTTTCAACCTCATTAGCGACGCGGGCGAGCCGGGAGATCACACTGTACTTTCAAAATGACCTTTGGTATCACCATCAACGAGCTCCCATTTCTTTTCTTGAATTTTCTCCGACTCTTCGTGATACTCGAGAGTTCGGTTTGTAGACTTCTGCGGTACACGTGAATTCAGTAAGATTTTTTTGTAAATATTGTATCCGAGCACCAGAGACAAATGTGATATCCTTATATCTGGCTCTTAAGCTTGGAGATCACATTGAATGTGTCTGGTGTTTCATCAAATGCATAACTAGAGCGTTCCTCACAAGAATCTTATCAGCTACAATTTCGACGGAGCCTTTGCTTTCGGGTTACGCCCAGTGTCAACCTCGCTCCACCATGGGACATTAACAGGCGGGTTGTCATCCAGATTTGCACGGAAACTCGGTTTACGCTTTTCAAAGAATGCCTTAACACCCTCTTTCTGGTCCCTGTTCCTTTGTTAGCAAAAAGAAATGGATCCCGATGTAAATAGGCTGCACTAAGATAGTGCCACATACTCTGATCCAAAAGTGTGACAGATGACGGCCGATTCAACCAAATGAGCTTCCTCTGCAGTTCCGGGATTCCGCCACATCAAGGCACGATTGAGATACTGCGAGGTCGGGCTCACATTTTCCGACATTTCCGTGGCCAGCTCGAGGGCTCGCGGCAGAACCTGGGAAGGGTCGGGCAGGATCTCATTGAACAGATCGCCGAAATGCTTTGAGGTTGGTGGAAACACACCTCCCGTGCTGACGAGATAGCTCGCATTCGAGAAACCGATCAGGCGAGGCAGGAAGTACGAAGAACAGGACTCCATGATGATGCCACGGCGACCGAAAACGAAGCCGTATTTTCCTTTCTCATAGGCAATGCTTGTCATGACGGAGTCATTAGTCTCGAAGCACTCGCTTGCTGAAGATGGGGGCTTAGAGATTTACCGAATGACAGCTGGCAGTGTCATGGTCATCCCAACACCGACGGCGGAGCCCTGCATAGCTGCAATAGTTGGTTTGCGGCAGCGATGAATGGCCAACACAACACGTCCACCACTAAGGCCCATCAGCTCCTGAGATCCTCATCGAAGTATGCAGGCGTCAACCTACCCATCGCGGTGATCAGCCGGACGCTCCCGGTTGCTACTAAATCCAATGTCCAAGTCTGCACCCGCACAGAAGATCTTGCCCGCACCAGTCAAGACAATAACCTTGACCCGTTCGTCGACATCGAACATGGGGAAAAACTTTTCGAAATCGTGAACCATGTGCGAAGTAAAGGCATTATGATTGGCGGGCCGATTGAGAGTCACGACTATGACAGGAGTCACTGATGGTGCACCTGCTGGATGATGCGAGACCTTGACATGGCCCGTGGTTGGGACCGTTTCGTACGAGGCTGGAAGCTCGATGGGGGCCGGGTCGAATATCATGGTGTGTAAATGTGAATCTCGTTTCTTGGTAGGAATTGAAAGATAATCTCTTGGTCACTCTTCTACTATTTGTTGATTGGGGATAGGAGAGCTTATTAGATGTTGTTCGGTAAGCGGAGGTTCGACCTCGGCCCCGGCTGGCTTGGAGACCCCGCAAGATCACTCGATCAAACAATAACGATGAGAATAATTGACCATGTGATGGGATTCATTCTCGGGCAGTGATTTCAATATACAGAAGAACTACAATATATGATGCTGCTTTGTAGATCCACCCAGAGGCATGAATTACCTTACCTTGTCGAAAATGTAGCTTCTTGAAGAAGACAAAAACAACTGCGAGTGCACTAATTTTATGCCCAGTTTCCCCGCACAATCGATCGCCTCGACTCTTGCAGAAGGCGACCCACAACGAATCAGAGGTTCAGAAATCGATAATTCATGGGGCCTCTCGAGTCGTTCTGAATTTCATGCTATGTATATGTCGAAACAACAGAAGCCCGTGTACATTAAGAATGCTGCCTATGGAGCATTTTTGGTCTAGCAGTAATATACCCCGGTTTGTTGCGACAGTGTTGCAGTCGTTTAGGGCTGCCCAACTCGGCCATTTGACCCGTTATTCAACCGAAACGAATTACCTATTCCCAAGCCAGAGCGACGCGCAACCTATATCAAAGGGTGTACGGATATAGCAGACGAAACTATGCATTCTACATAATGCTTTTGAGATTTAAACTCCAAATATAAAGACTGATGTACAGCCAGAGGTTACAGCCACCGCAATGAAAAATTCAGAGCCCGGTTCGAGTAGGGCAAAGAATTGATCCAGCCATAGTGGCTTACGACAAGCTCCCAATCGGCCCTACGAACGTATCCTTGAAGACCCCACAATATGATTAACCTTGGGAGGTGTGGGCCTGTCCAATCTAGAGAGATTCGGGTAAGACTCCAGTGGGCGAACTTGAGTCGCAGCCACTGATACAACATGTACGGACTATGGAGGCTATATACTCAGCAGTCGGTTTGCCTTGTCTGCTAAGGTCCAACCGGCTATTCATCCGCCAACGGGAGTATTAAGCGCAGAGTGCTTCCAGAACCACGCAGGTCATTCCACCCACTCGGCATTTACTGATAAATGGCCAGGCAGTAACAGACCTCGTGGCGCATGCCTGCAATCTCCTGGTTCGCTCCGCCTGGAGCGGATCGACAGGCCCCGGGTAGTTCTACTCCGCGGGGAAGTGGAACGTACCTTGCGTGAAGGGACCAGGACCATGCGAGGCCATGCGAGGAGGGAAAGGTGTTATGTATGACCAGCATGCGCTCGAAATAGAATAATATACTCACGGAAAAGGAGACAAAATATCTGAGGTCAATGAGGTTTATCACCAACTTCCAGGTCATCCAGTCACTCTCCCCCCTCATATGGCCTAGTTGGACATACTTTCAGTGGATGGACCATTTGGGTGTGCCCCATGAGGGGGAATAACAATACCGGTCTCCCGTGTCGAGCATGATCTCCACGGGTTACCGGGCACATCCCTAGGCGGGGAGAGTGGGCGGGCGGGATGCGAGCGAGGTGGTTCACCTCGCTCGCGGTACTTCTTTTTTTGTATTATTTATGTATATAGTGTTTCTTATACTAGAGAGACTTTAATATCTCTCGTTTTCATGGAAAAGGAGCATTTGCAAGGTGTTAGGGGGCCACGGTTCCTCGATATGGCCATCGGGTTGGTGCCGGGTAAAGTACTTCGGCATCACGGGGGAGCGAGGGGGCATCGCTGGGAAGTACATAGGGAACACGAGATCGAAGGTTCGATCCATGACAGGGGCAGTCCTTCTTTTCGGCATATTGGATTAGGTGATAGTCACTTTCTGGGCCCATTCCTGGCGATTTCTTTCTCCATTTCCCCGGTCTCCGCGGTCCATTCGCCGTTCTGGGGTTCCTGATGATCCCTGATTAACGGTCACTCGCCCCGCATCAGCCCCTTCGGTAGGTTTTCTCATGCTTTGCGGGGGAGTTGTGTTCGGTTAAATCAGCTTCTTGCCGAACCCTGGAATGCGCCGATTGGCCGACCGTGCATCTGGTGAAGGACTCGAGCTCGGTCCCATCCGCGGGCCACAATCCGGGGAAAGCTGGGAGAAACTCGGTTAAATCAAAGTCCTCTCTCCAGGGATCATGCGGTGCAACGGCTGCACTCTGCCACTTGCAGCTGTTCGCTTCGGATCTTTTCCTCAGCTCGCTTGCATGTTCTCCGCAATTTCGAGTTTCGGTTTTAGTCTTTTGCGCTCTTCATTTACTTTTTTTTTTCTTGCTTAAAAACCGTCGGCCAGGATGTCCCCAGGTTTGCGGGGAATTTGTTTTTTTTTTTCCTTATCATTGCGCGTGCAGATCGCAACGCGTTGAAAGTCTATACTTTTGCGCGAGCTTATCACTTCATTGTCGCTCGTCTTTGGACTGTCTTCCCAGCACTCACTTTGTTTGAGCTTCTCCTAATCTTGAAGCCTGCAAAAAGATTCGCAAGTATGGCCTCTGCGTACGAACTGGAACCCTGGTGCGTGACGGACGCTGTTGGTCAGGAGACGGAGGGTCTGGTACCCATCGTGGCCCACGAGGAGCTCCATCCGAGCTTCATGACCGGAAGTAATGATTTTCCATTTACTGTGCAAGGCGATCTCGATCCGTGGATGGTGGAACAGGTGGGCTGGAATCACAATGCTCATGGCCAATTCGCCAAAGTCGTTGAGCACCAGCGGTATCCGCAATCGTGGGTGGAGGCGGGCTTGACGATCCACTCCGCTGGCGGCAAGTGGGAGAACTGGGAGGACTCGAGGTAAATTCTCAATTCCTTCTTCTTCATGGAGCCCATCGAGTGTTCCATGGTGTGAAGTCGACGGTCTCGTACAATACTAATCTATCCAGCCGTGTCTATGATCAACAACGACTATATCCCGACCCACTAGCTCAAGAGGCCGAGCGAGAACGGTGGAGCTCCCTAATGGCCACTCAACGAGCCCTATTCATGACCCCGCCCGTGCAACCCGCAGCCTTTCCGAACTTCCCAGGGTCTCCTATTTCCGATCCGTGCGGTACGCCGGAGACCAGCAATGCTTCATTCGGCCTCTGGGAGGCCGACCAAGACAGCGAAGACATGCAATCATCTCGGTCCCCCGACTCCCCCCACACACACGCCACCATGCCAGACAGACTTGCCTATGCACACTCATCACATCACTTGGAAGAGGAAGAATACCCGACAACCCTGGAAATGCCAGATGGAAGCACCCGCAGAACCTCCAACTGGCTACCGGTAGATGCAAGTGCCGGTTTCACCATCGGGGCGGACCAGCTTGGTCCGGCTCAAGGAGAACATGAGATGCACAACTTTCATGACATGCAAGGAGCATTTATTCCAGCAGATCCCATCGGTTGGACATACAACCAATGAAGATCACACCACAGTGGAAAGAAATTTCCACGTGCCAAATTTTCTGTTAACCATGCAGCCCCCGCTGCATTCGCCATCACTCCCCCCACTTATTCTCGATAGCGGGCGGCACTACACTCAGAAGACCAGCAATCTCCGAGGATCGGAGCATTGCATAGGCGCCTGAACCAGGCAGCTGGTCTAGCACGAGTAGCCGTTGATTCTGATGCTATGCCTATCTTAGCCCGCAGTCCCGCAAACGGTAGTCAAAACCGATGGAGCGACTCCTGCGAGTCGAAGCTACGTCTTACACATCGTTGCATTTTATACAACCGACGACTTCGAAGAGATCAAAATGAATGACGAGGAAAAGAAAAAAACTCAACTGTGAAGAAAGGAAATACCCAAGGTCTATGGATCGACGAGTTGATTGGGGGACCTGGCCGCACCGTGAAGGATGAAGCCGCCACCGCGCAATCTCACATTAGCTTGTTAATATACCACCCGGGTAACTTTTTCACCACACAGGGCCCCGATAGATTTATGCATAAACCTGCAATAGCATAACCTACCGGAAGAAGAGAAATATTAAACGAATAATTTACTCCCTCTTGCGATGGCAACTTAGTATTCCCTAGAGACTGGGACTGTTTCTCAATGCTTAAGGCTGCCAGACCCCACAAAAAAGCAACATAGATAGGCCCTCACCACAAATAACACCGGCACTACCAACACCTACGATGAAATTGTTCGAGGCAAAATTAGGTGATGATGATGATCGGCCGACGAAACGTATATTTTAGACCGAAATAATATATCCTTCCTAAGCCCTAATTCCAGAGATTTATAGCTCGTACAGACAGTAGTCTGCAGACCTATAGCCTTCTCGGCTACTTAGCCGTATAAGCCGTATAAGCCGCCAATCAACAGATTAAAAGTTGTGGTAGACCTAAAGCCGTGGACGTACGTCTAAAGTGGATCTACGTTCGTGGCCTTAGGAACGTAGACTCGAATTAACTGCTCTAGATCACGGGGCGTGAAGCCAAAGCCTGCCTACCATAGCTTCCAAACTGCGGACCTATATCTCCAGACCCAAAGGCTTCTTAGATACAATTCCACAGATTAATTCCCTTACGGGCCTTCAGGTCTCGCATATGGGTCGCCCTTGGCCTGGAGACCACATAGGCCAGAAAATGCTCTTCCTAAATCTGTGGAGGCCCTACCTACCCAGACTTGCCGCCCCTGAGCCTCGACCTCTTGTTAATTAACTACAATTTTTTCTCATCGGTAGACTCTATTTGTTTCGCTGGAAGTAGATTTGCAATTCTGAATATTCCGCCAGTTCTCGGCGATTCGATTACGATGTCAATTAGTCGGATTACAGGGCGCCACTTCTGCTGAGGTGAGTTACACAAGCTAGTTTTAGTATCATACCATAATTGGTATTTACATCGCCCTCTAGCGGAACTTACAACTTCCAGATATAGCTTACCGTTCGTTCAGCATCTAAGGAAAGAGAACACCCTAGAAGTACCCTTATGGCCAGTGTTCATTTCTAATCCCTCGTCCTACCTCAACAAGCCTATTTTAAGTTTGTGAAAGCTATGATGATTTCCCTTATTGGCTGCACAATTTCGCTCCGAGCCTTTTTATTGGTGTGATAGAGAGATATTCTTGTTGCGCTAATGTCCAAGATGGTGGTGGTCAAGAGAACCGCACCTTGGCAAGTTTACATTAGCAAAATCCCATCGTGAGCTATAAATTGCGGCATTATGCCATTAAGGTGAAAAACAACTGCAGCCGGGCTCTTATATCTTGCTTAGTCTTGTTATCCTACGATAATGACCTTACCAACCATCGTGTTCGTTCCAGGTGCATGGCATACGTGCGACTATTATAAGCAGGTCATTTCCATCCTCGCGGAAAAGGGGTTCCCTGCCAAAACTGTTGACTTACCATCCGTTGGGGGCATCTCATCTATGGCAGATGATGCTATAGCTATCCAGAAGGTAACCTCGAAGCTAGCGAATGATGGCCAGCAGATTATCCTAGTCATGCATTCGTATGGTGGCATTCCTGGTACGGAGAGTGCTAAAGGGCTTTCCCGGGAAACACGTCAGGCGAAAGGCGAACCAGGGGGAATCATTGCCCTTGTCTACGTGTCTGCATATCTAATTAGAGAAGGGATGAGCGTGTTAAGTGTGGCAGGCGATGCAGAATGGCCACCTTTCTTGATCAAACAGGTCTGCTTTCCCTCTACTCTCTTGCCCATTATATAAGATGTGGATATATCCAAGCTGACAGGCCTAGAATGGGATGATTCTCTACGACGAATCTACCGCTATCGAAAGATTCTACCATGATTTTCCGAAAGACGAATCTCCAACAGCATGGGCTATGAAATTGAAGCCACAATCTGCGGCGTCTTTCTCTGGCGCACTTACCTATGCTGCGCATCGGGATATTCCAGCCATATATTTGCTCTGCGAGCAAGATAGATCGCTCCCGATTGGGCTTCAGGAACTCTTTGTGAGTTACGCGGAGGGGAAAATCACTACCCGTGTGTGCAAGACTGGGCATAGTCCAATGGTAACAATGCCAGATGAGGTCGTCGACGCGATACTTATGGCTGTTGAAGCTTGAACCAAAAGACTTTTATTGTATTGCAGAACTATCGCATGAATAAAGAGCAACTCTACTGCATTTCTCCACCACGCTAAGATGGCAGTCTATTGGCTTTCTAAAAATCAACTACTTCATTAATCCTCAAATTTCATGAGCTCCCTTACCAGGTCAATAAGAATTCTTTTGCGATCTTAGTCCTAAACCCGAAATATGCTTTGCGCAGGAAATAAGTGGTAAGTAGCTGTCGATAGGACCTAACTCAGTACGGGATCAAACTCTGTGAGAATGCATTACGCTTACTTTTGTGATTTATTGAGCAGGGTCCATATTAGAGCTATTGTGTTCTAAACGCATAATTATAGTTTCTAGGTTCATGAGTCTAGACCATAATTCCCAACGGGCCTCAAGTTCATGACCCGGAGGGGATATCTGGCGGAATGGGGCCAGAACTTGGCCTTTGCATTTAAAAATGCGATAAGTCTTTGTATTTGCACGAAACGCTACATCATTCTAAGCCACTAACTTACATCTCTTATACCGGTATTCTACGAGACCTAGTATCATTTTCGTGTCTAGTATATACATAACTAATAATTTATACTGGACCTTTTTTGGGGGTAGCGGATCATGTGATTGGGGTCTGTAAGACCGTCTATATGCCCCCCCAACGTCTGAAATGACCAGGTAGGCGGAATGCAACAAGCTAACAATCATTAATATCTGTGCCCACAGAATCCCGAATCTCCATTTTTCGGTCAATTAAGGTCGATTTCAAGCATGAATATACAAGTGGGAAGATGAATAGGATGCATTAAGGCTATTATACAGGGGAGAATCCATGCTGCTGACAATAGATGGAAATAGAGTCATGAATACCGAGGATTTTGATACTTAACATGAGATAGGTCAAACAATCTGCGTGATCCCAGGGCGAACCGATTCAAGAATTGCCGACAGTTCCTTCCAAATATTCTCGCGGGCTAAACGTCCCTCTTCACTGCGGACGAATGGCGACAGGCTAGTATTGTCCACCGTGGCATCCGTCATATAGGCTCCATGCCCCTCGATTCCAGTTGAAATGCCGGCCACCAGGGTGCGCGATCCTACTTCGGTAGTCCGCGCCAACACTAGCTTCAACGCGGCGAGTTGCCAGCCCGCATCACGGCCGAGAGCCGAATGACAAAGTCCCGGATTAACCATGGTAATGATCACATCCGTGCCTCGCGTGCGGCCGGCGAGCTCTTGGACGAGCAAGACCTCCAACAACTTGGACAGTTGATATCGCTCGCTCATCTTGGCCTTGGTGGGATCCGACAGGAGCTGCATAGTCTTATCCGTGTCTTTCCATTCGGTAAAATCCACCCATGCATGGACTTCGCTAACCACGAAGGCCAAACGGGGCTGGGATGTTGGGAACTCTTGTCCAGTGGCCTTCAGGCGAGGCAGGATGAGGAGTCCGAGGAGCAGGGTATTGATCACGTTCACGGTAATGGAGCGTTCGTAGCCCTCGGCCTGTTGGTAATCTCCAGTGGCTATTGCTGCATTGAGGATTGCGGCATCGAGGCGAGGAAGCTGCGCGATTCGATCGCCAAAGGCCAGAGTGGAGCTGTGGGAAGCCAGATCGACCTCCCATACTTCGCATACTCCAGGGCGACCGGTGGACTTTTCAATATCTTCCTTGGCAGCCTCCCCAGCAGGCACATTTCGTACACCCAGGATCACTCGTGTAGCGCCTAGTCGGACCACATGGCGAGCAGCTTCAAGGCCCAGGCCCACATTCGAGCCAGTGATGAGCACCGTTTGGCCCTCGAAGGACCTGGTGGGATATGTCGGTCGGACAAAGAGTTGAGAATAGATGAAACCCATGGTGTGAATGTTTCAATAGTGCTGAATGTGATTCGAATAATTCATTGCGACTCTTTCCCCCCCCCCCCCCTCTTTATAAGTATCCAACTTTGAACATAGGCACTCAAATGGTGACGTGCCCCCTTGGTGAAGCGCGGAGATTACACGGCGATAAACCCGGCCCCTGGATTCTTGCAAAAACCGAACTTCCAACTAGCTGGATCTGCCTCTCCTTAACACCGTAAAGCCGATCGGCCTAATGGCCTTCTGCGCTAGGCCTGGACTTTCATCTTTTCAAGGCGGTCTCTGGCACAAGATGCTTGAGCACTCGGTTTTGGTGATGTGCTTGGGTGCTGGTGGCTGAAGTGGGAGTGCGGGAGCGGAGGGAAGCAGAATGCAGAGAAGGACAGGACTCCCCTTGATTTTCAATGATTCGTGACTGCGTGGGCCCTTGAGGAGCTTCACTGCACAAGTGACAAAGCTGCTGTGCTCATTTCTTCAGACGTTTCATGTCGCCCGTCTTTTCTCCACAACAGCCTCTCCAACAAGACTCGGCCATGACGTAACATCTCCCGTCTCGGAGATTCCGATCACCACTCATTCTCTCTCAATCAACACATCACCATCACCACGATGCCTGGACGTTTCGGTCAGAAAGTACTCAACGCATTCGGCGTGGGCCACCATGCCCAGCAGGACAACCAGGGTCAACCTCCTGGCCCAGACGGTCACCATCTACCCGGTCGTGGGTTCATCCACGACGATGAGCGCCCACTCTCTTCCCCTCCCAACAACGGCACTTATCCCCGCCTGGCTCGACTCTCGGATGGCTCTATCCTCTCCTCATTCACGCGTTTCCCAGACGGCCAACATGCCCTCTGCGTCGCCCGTAGCACCGATGGCGGGCGCACCTTTGAAAATTACTCCGAAGTAACGCGGGCGACCGGGGATGTAGACAACATGTTTCTCCTCGAGGCCGCTCCCGGTGTGGTTCTTGCAGCCTTTCGCAATCATGATCTCGGTCCCAACGGTCCCACGCACTTCCGTATCACCGTCTGCAGGTCCACGGACGGAGGTCGCAGCTGGCAATTCGCGTCCCAGGCAGCAGAGAAGAGCCCACCCTTGGGAATCTGGGAGCCCTTCATGCGACTCGGCCGACGGGGAGAGGTACAATTAACCTACTCTCAAGAATTCGCACACAATAACCAATGCACCATGCTTGTCGTCACGCACGATCAAGGGAGCACTTGGAGCCATCCGGTCTGTCTACACGGTGACCAAGATCCCCTGCGCGACGGCATGAATGGAATCGCAACTACGTTTGACAATGGTCGCGAGGCACTAGTTATGGTCTTTGAGACCACTCGCTATGGACCGTTCAATGTCGAGGCATTGATCTCCTACGACGATGGCGCGACATGGCAAAATCGCCATGAAGTTTTCCGACCCCGCCAAGGTCACAATGCGGGGTCGCCGCAGATTTCTGCGTTTGCTGATGGTTCCATGGTGGTGGTCTTCATGACCGATGAAGATTCACATCAGGTTGACTGGGTCAAGCATGCATCTATCAAAGCCGTGTTTGCAGGACCGCCCCACAATGGCCAAATTCGCTGGAGCGAGCCCCAGGTAGTCTCGCCCGCCTCCAGCTTCTGGCCGGGAGTGCTGGCACTCGATCATCATACAGCCCTGGTCACCTATGACCGTGGTGGACCGCTTGCCAAGACCATTACCTGGCAGCCTCGTCAATGATTTACGAATGCGCACACCTTAACTTTCTGCAAGCGTTCGAATTCCATGTTCACGCTACCCCATAGATTGGTTGCTACTCGGCGATAAGAGGTTTGGTCAGTAGAAACTTTACAGCTATAAAATGGACAAAATGGCTTTAGCGGATCATCATGCCGAAGGGTAGATCCTTCCACCGGCTGTATCTTAAATGGCCGGTCTCGTACCAGTACAGCTAAGAATTGGGCGCGCGATCACATCCGCTGCGATATTTTCGTACAGTGGTCAATTTCGTGATGAGAATCTCTCCCATCGATAATCAACAATACAAGTTAACAAATCCGTGAATCGAGTAGAGCAACCCAGCCTGTACCTCTCTTCCAAAACACTTTCCCTTCATCCAAAATGACACCTCACGCCGAGTTTCCGGACAGATATCGCTGGACAGGATCCTGGTCGCCAGAGCCACACTGAGAAACTTTCCTTCCAGCCTTCTTCCTGTCTGCCGCCAACGTCTGCGCGAAAGGAGACCTTTCCCGAATCTTTGGTCCATACCAATAAAAGACATAAATAGGGATTGTGAATACAATCGCCATGAAGGCCAAGAATGTAGACGGCCATTCCAATGTGTTTGTCTTTCCCATGTGTTCGTACACTGTCGGTTGTTAGGGATGATACCATGGCGAAAGCAACGATGGCCTTGAGATCGGTCCAGTAGGAAACTTACTGGGTTTTGAGTACATTGCCGCGACACCTGCAAGAAAGTCGCGTGCAAATCCATTGCCGCCTGTTGCTGAAGCTGCGTATGGGCCATACGAGGCGATCATGTAGTCGATCGTGGCCATGTAGATGGAGAACTGTTGAATCGTTAGTAATCCGCTCTGTTTGGAATGGGATCGTGAACGACTGACGTTAGCTATGGCAATCAAGCAGGAGAAGATCATTGGCGCTATCCAATGAACATGAGGCGGCCCAAGACTTGTCCAGGAAAATCCAAAGAGTCCGATTGTGAGTAAAGGGGCGACTGTGGAGGATTTAGTGACTGCACACCCAAAGGAGCAGGTATCGGAATAGCGTACCCCATAATAGCCAATAGAGTCTTGATTCAGGCTGTAGTCCGTCTGGGTCTCTTTCTTGAACTCTGCAATGACGATGTATCCACGGCATGAACGAGGCATAGGCGAGCAGATATCCCACCAGAATGCTGATGGACGGCACAGGTTAGTACAACTGGGGAAGAAAGCCTCATTATCATAGTCAGAAACTCACGGAATGAACGAAAGCCCAATATCAACCGTATTAAATCCCCATTGCTTGTATACTGGCGTATACGACTGTAGGAAAGTAAAGATCAGAGCATCACTGAACCCACTGAGCAGCGAGAGGCACAGTACTATTGGCTCTCGGAGGAACATGATGAATGGCCGTAACCATACCATGAAGAGGTATCGGAAAGAGAGTCGCTTTTTCTTCAGCTCGTCGCCGCTCCAGACCATCTCACCGTTCTTCCGCCGTCGGCGAGCCTCACGTGTAATCAGGATACTACATCTGGTCTCCGGCATGGGGAAGTGAAGAAGTTGCACAAAGCCCCCCAGGATGAGTTGGATCCAGAAATTCCAGTGCCAATCCAGATATGTTGCGACAAACCCTCCAACAATCGGAGCCAACACGGAGCCTGCAACCGATGACAAGACAACATAAGCAACCGCCCACTGCTGTGTCTCTGGCTCCCACATATCAGCAACGATGCCGAGTGTAACCGAGCCACCGGCAGACGAAAGACCTCCGAGGGTACGACAGATGATAACGGTGCCAAAGTTAGGAGCCAATGCACACGGAAGCTGCCAGATATTGACGAGGAACAGACTGATCTGCAGCACCGGCCATCGACCAAATTCTTCACTAAACGGAGCCCAGAATTCGCAACCAAAGGCATACGCAATCAGGAAGCTCATTTGTCCAACACGCGCTGCCTGCTCGGAGATGTGAAAATGCTTCGCATACAGCTGGATGCTGCTAGCATAGAAACTGGCATTCCAATTCATCGAGACCTGGACACAAAAGATGACGGTGATGATACCCCATTTCTTCCACCAGGGGAATGAGTATCCCAGTCTGTCGTAACACTCATGTTCCTTGAGCTCCCTTTTGCCTGATGAATGGGTGGTAGTACCGTCAGCAGCACCATCGGCAGCTCCATCTTCACCTTCTTTCTCTCCATGGCTGGGGTGGGGAGCACCGTCGTGGGAACGGAATTGATCGCCGGGATCTTCTGGTTTGTTAACGTCGCCATCTTCGACGGGTACTTGGGACATTTTAGATGACTGGAACCTGGAGTGGTTCCAGTGCTTGAGTCCAACGAATCAACGTGTTTTAGGGTGAGGTATGAATAGATGAAACTCCATACAAGAGAGGGTCACCATTCTCGAAAGACAAAGATCTTGCCGAACGTTCGAGAGGGTTCGGGCTCGCCTTAAGTATTGTTTTTATACTTGGCTCTCAGAGTATGTAATGCCCCGAGGCAGGGAGTATATTCAATAAATCCCAATTCCAACTAAAGTTTTCCGATTGGCCCGGGGAGGCACACCATGGGAACGAACAATACTTTCCAGCATCCTCGCGTGGTCCCCCTTGGTGGAGTCAACATCCGGGGATGATGACCCGAGACGGCGTCACTCATCTGGAGACCCCCGTCTCTCCGCATTATGCGCATTGCGGAGGGATGATTCAGCGACAGGTCGCAACTATGCTCCGGGGCTGTCCTGGATCCATGTGAGGGTAATCCTGTACTGGTTGGCCCGCAATTAGTTGCGGTTTGTTTTGGGCGGAATTGGATCCCGCCGGTTGGTCTAGAGTACTCTCCACTCTCGATGATATTCGCACAATGTTAACCTTCAGACTAGCGTATCATTTAGAGTCTGGGGCTGCGGGTATATCCGCGACTCTAATTTGCATGCTCTAGATATTTCGTTGGAGACGTCAGACATTGTAGAAAATTATACACCAAGATATCATGTATAGTGAGTGATATGTGCCTCTATTGTCTCCTTTCTTTCTTCAATTTGTCTGCAAGCACCGTAGTCGTAGCGAGTACATGGAAATCCGACCTTCTACCATGGGCGGAGATCTGGTAAGGCTCACATCCACGAATCATGATAGATTCCAAAAGATGCAAACCCACAGCCTGTTATCAATCGTTCGGAATTGCGGATTATGAATGGGGAGTCTTTTTCCGAAAGCCAGTGTTACTTTGCCTCGTCGACTGCCACGATCGGTACTCGCGCAGGACTGGAGGGGTAGAGAATTAAGCTAGATTGATGATTCGAGAGATATTCTCGGGCAAATGGCCTTTCAAGAGAACTTTTCTGGACAAAATTGCGAGTAGATATCTTTTAAAGAGTATCGGACGTTATACAAAGCTATTATCCGTATGGAACACTTCACAATAGAGGGAATGCCAAGCCATCACCTCTAGGATCACTGCCCGCACTGTACACAAGCGACCCCTCGTCGTAGTGTAGACGAATAATCTGGCCACGACCGAACATAGACCGATTCCATTCTGTCAACACCTCAATCTTATGACCCAAGAGACGCAGGCCCTCGACCGCCTCATCGCTAATACCCTCTTCAACAAAGATGGTCCGATCGGTGCTTTCCGATGTCGGCGCAGCGATACAGATTCTTGGGGAGTCAAGTGCAGCCTGGGGGTGATATCCGAAAGCAAGCATGTTCAACAATACTTGCACATGGCCTTGGGGCTGCATAAAGCCACCCATGACACCGTATACGGAGTGCAAAGATCCATCGGCGATGTTCGTGATTAGAGCAGGGATGATGGTGTGGTATGGACGCTTGCGAGGGGCCAATGCATTGGGATGTCCAGCTTCCAGGGAGAAATTGGCACCGCGGTTCTGCAGGGTGAAACCGCAACCAGCGGGGATGATAGCCGTACCAAAGCCGGCATAGTTGCTATTGATAAACGAGATACCATTGCCCTCGCTGTCAGTCACGGCGAAGAAGACCGTGTCGCAGTGGTTGTGGGCAGGACTTCCGTGATCCAAGATATCGGCAGCACGGTCAGGGGAGAACAGCTTCGCGCGCTCAGCCAGGTATTCACGCTCTAGCAGTCCCTTCGAGGGGACCTTCTCAGCATCGGGGTCAGTGACCCACCAGGCTGCATCGGCAAAGGCAATTCGTAGACTTTCAATCACTGCATGAAGATACTCGGCGGAGTTATGCTGAGCTTCGCTGAAACGAGGGATCTTGCCCGTGCGCTCCAGCTCCTCCATAATTCCAAGAGCCATCAATGCGACGATACCCTGGCCGTTCGGCGGGTGCTCCCAGACCTCCACACCCTGATTTGGCTCTCCATCAGTGCCGGGGCTTTGCTTAGAGACAATACCCTGGCCGGTGAACTTGAGAGAGATGGCTTCCGTCTCCTGAGTACCGACCTCGGCATGATATGCCAGGTCGTCGAGGGTCATCAAACCACCGAGGTCATTGACAACTTTCACAATCTCCTCTGCGATGCGGCCTTGATAGAAGCCCTTCTTGCCCTCTGCAGCTAAAGTGCGAAACGTCTTTGCGAGAGTGGGGTTCTTCATAATCTCTCCGGGAAGCGGGGCTCTCACGCCATCCTTGGCCGAGGGATCCTTCTTAAGCATCTCACGGAAATTGGGAGATGCATTGCGAATGTCATTCTCACTCTCTTGCCACTATCATCCAATTAGCCGTTTGCCATGTCCCATTGAATTTAAACAGCGGTAACTTACGCCGTGGGATGAAAGTTCTGACACGGGGAATCCATTTTCACCCATATCAATAGCCGGTTGCAGGATCTGCTCCATAGACAGCTTGCCACTACCAAATTTCTCGACAGTGTCAACCCATCCTGCTGCTGCCCCGGGCGTGGTAGTTGCCAGTGCGCTGAGCATGGGAATACTACCGGCAACACCGGGAGCGATGTTCAACTTCTCGCGTACTTTTTTCAGGGTTGCTTCGCCTGGGTATCGGCCCGATCCATTCAGCGCATGTACCTTTTTCGTCTTGGCGTCGTAGAAGAGACAGAACATGTCACCTCCGATTCCCGTTGAGCCAGGCTCGGTTATGTTCAGGCCGGCAGCTAGAAACATATATCAGTTAGGCTATCTCTATCGACGTCTTTCGCTAGTGTCGAGACGCCTACCAACGGCAACAGCTGCATCCTGGAAACACGGAGAACTCCGATCAGCATCCAAATATCAAATTTGACCCAGACTGCCAAATGGAAAACATGGAGTCATACTGCAGCATTTCCTCCTTGACTGAGGATCTTATGGCCTGCCGCGGCGGCGAGTGGTTGAGTACACGAAACAATGCCATTTTTGCTGTGAACAGTGCTTCGTCGACTAGCAAAGGGCACATAGGCCGCATCCGACTTGGCGTAAATAGCCTTAGAGTTCAGCGGCATTGTTGGAGGGAATGAGGGGGATGGTGGGGGGTGTTGGAAAAGGAATTAGAGTGTCAAGTAGAAGAATACGTCGCTATCTGGGGGTCGTGGCCTTTTAATGAATCGCTTTACTCGGCCGAGGTGCACCTAGTCACACGTATCGAACGGAACTCGTCCAACGATAAGAGAAAACGACTAGCCCGAGCACCTTCTTGGTCAGGAAATAGAGAGGGGCAATCACCCGCTGGGAGTGGGATATTGCGGAATTGGAGAAGTTGGGGTCGGGAGGGACCGCCAGTCATAACCCTAAACCCAATATGGGGTTCGTGTAAATTACGCGTTTTTTACATACATAGTCATGATAAATGCCTGCGTACCTACATTTAGATCATCCATTGCTATATTGTTTGGAGGAGCACCTAATCGTTGCTACTTCGGGGCAGATTTCTCGTAGTACATCTCGAGAGAAGACTCAAGGCTACGGCAATGGTTCACTCAGTACTCATTCTGTGATTGCCATTTTAGCGAGGTTCTGAAGCACAATCTGTCTTGCCTCCTCGTCATCTCCTCTAGTTCTCCGCCTGGCTTCCTCCATCGCCCTGGTAAACTTCTTATCCGTACCGTGCATCGCATCTAAAATGCCCGTGGGACCAAAGTTTTCATCAAAAGCAAAATGATGAAAGTCGTGTTGTAAATTTGACGGCATCCATGGAATATTGTATCCTGAGTGCGTGCAGACGGTGCCGAACTCAAGGAACAAGAAGGTGAAAACCGCCTGAGACCAGTGGTGAGGAACGAGCAGTGTCCCGATAGAGTTGGGCAATAAGTTAGAAAACACATGTTCGGTAACTGTGCAGTACGTCGACGCTAGCCCGACAGGGGCGGTAAATTCGTGGTGTTTTTTGTGGAACGTGGCATACAGTAGATTCGAGTGAAACAGGCGGTGGATATAATAAAAGCCGACCTCGGTGCAGAAGATATCGAATACGATAGTAGCTATCGTTTGTAGTGGCGACGGTAGGAACTTCGAAGCTACCGGCATTGGACGTGTAGCGAGGGTAATCAGAAGTAGCATGGGAAATGCAACGAGAACTTGGTTGCGTAACGAGATCATGGAAATGCGAAAGTATGCCTTTCCACTGACCCGGACGAAAGGCTGGGTTTTGTATTTGAACAGCCACCGTGGCCATCCAGTCAAGTCGGGAACCGCAAAGACAGCGGCCCACAGCCAAAAGAACACGGATGTTATAATAAAAGTTCCCCACAGGTTCACATTATACACACCATACATATGGTCAAGATAATCGTAGAGCCTGTGGGCTGTAGCGGAAGAGTTGAACGATACGAATGCGGCTACAAGAGCCATATTCGCTCCAAGTGAGCTTATACTGGTGTTTGATAGGGCTGTCGTTAAGTAGACCCATCGTTTGCTATGAGGAATTGGGTTGCCCGATGGGTCTTTGGGGACAGATCTGCTCGAGACGGAGCTAACAGTTGCACGCGAGGACTCGGAAGGCGCCATGACATTCAACAATTTCGACCTGATATAGCGTTAGGACGAACAGAGAAAGTGGATAGAGGGACTTTGAGGACTGTAAAGTACTGACAGCTGCAGCAGCTTGCATTGACGTTCGAGCACGTGCCCAACAAGCCCCCGCAAAGTGTTGAATGTAACCACATGCCAGCGAACCTCGGCCATGTAAATACGAAGGTAGGTGGCTGATGGTTTATGTTTATGAATGGAGCTGTTGGTGTGCCGGAATAAGTTGCCTACAGAGATGTGATTAAGCTTATATTATGTGCCAGCCAAAAATCCACATCCCTGCCTGCCGCTAGCTGGCAGGCCTATGTCAGCCTGTACAGCATAAATAACTAGTGCGATGGAGCCTCGTTGGCAATGGAAGAGTTTATAGTATTCCAGCATGAACAGAGTCAGAGTGACCAGCCTAAAGATTACAAAACAAGCAGAGTAACGCAAAAGTACTTCCATAGTACTGTAATTATTGACTCCACTCCCGGAGAAGGCTCTCGGGCGGACGAGCCGATACTCGGGCCAGCAGGCCGACACTTGCAGGACAGGTACCGAACTCTGAGATATCGATTGATGTATATATATATGTGGGTAGCTAATCTCCTAGATAATGCGATGAAATGTCAATCTCAGATAAATATCTTGTCAAATACCAGCCGTAATCACTTCTTCCTCCTCCTGACCGGGAAAGAATACAAGCGGGTCGGTGATTTCTCCGCAATCGCAATCTCCAGCGCCCATCCGCGGAGCTCACCACGGAAGACTTCCGACTGCTTCTTTAACTGCCTTTTCCAGCCCCACGACTTTTTCTGACCTCCATACTTCCGCCTCATTGACTCCATTTCTCGCTTCGAGTCCATCACACTGTGATAATCACACCGCAATGGCCTCCATCCGTGCCAATTGCCGCAAGGTGATGTGTATCGGCCGTAATTACGCGTGCGTGGCCCTTCCCCGCAACCCCCCGTCTCGGTCGCTGTCAACCGGCTTGACTCACTGCCCCGTACACCCGTATCTCTTTGATCCGGACAACTATCGCTAATACACCGTCTTTTAGTGATCACATTACCGAGTTGAACAACACGACCCCCAAGCAGCCCTTCTTCTTCCTCAAGCCCGCCTCCTCCATTCTGCTCCCCAACAGCGGTCCCGTTCTCCGCCCCAAGGGTGTCAGCCTGCACTATGAGGTCGAATTGGGTCTGGTGATGGGCAAGACCGTTAAGGACCTGGACCCTCAGGATGAGCAGGGTGCACTGGATGCCATTGAGAGTGAGTGATTTCCCTCCTACGACCCGAATGGCTATATCGTGCCCCGTATCTATGCCTTCAGTTCCACTAACCGTCTGCGACTTTTGTTTGTAGGCTACGTCCTTGCCATTGATATGACCGGGCGCAACGTCCAAGATGAGGCCAAGAAGAAGGGTCTCCCCTGGTCCATCGCCAAGGGCTTCGATACCTTCTTGCCCATTTCCCAAGTGATCGCCAAGTCGCGCATCCCCAACCCCCATGATGCCTTCCTCCGCCTGCGTGTCGGTGAGACCGAACGACAGGCTGATTCCACGAGCCTGATGCTTTATCGTATCCCCCAGCAGCTGGCCCAGATCTCGCGCGTGATGACTCTGGAGAAGGGCGATATCGTGCTCACGGGTACCCCCAAGGGTGTGGGTGAGGTCAAGGCTGGCGATGTGATGCACGCCTCGATCGAGGTCGACGGCAAGGAGATTGAGGAGGGTCGGATCCGGGTGGAAGTGCAGGACCGTGAGGGTCCCTATGAGTTCAAGGAGACGTAAAGGCAAAGGTGGAATGCGTGACCTTGATTATCTGCATATGCTGTACTTGTGATGATTCCATACATCTGAATATATTGGACATGTTTCCAAGCTCTCGTGCGGCATTGAGCATTGAAATAGATTAGACCTAGAGAAATGTGAACCGTCCACATCCAAGCGCACGATTCGGCGTATTCCCCCCAATCCCAGCTGGGGTCTTCTGATTGACCCCCACATCTGCAATGCCGCGCCCACTCCGGAGAGGGTAATGTTTCTGCCGACGCTCCGGCCGACTAATCACACGCGCGATAAGAAGACCGGCTGCCCCACTGCCGCTGCCTCATCCGGGGAAAGTCTTAAAGCTGTCGCCGGTCTTCCTTTTTTTCCCTACTCCGCGGCCCCGACTGCTTGTCCCACACTTCTGTCGTATACCTGTACATATTCCTCGAAACCACCGTAACCGATTGTCAGACGCTCTCCCCCAATCCCGCGACTCTCCGGTCCCGTGTCCAGCAGCTTCACGCTTCCTCTACCTTCCCCTTGATGCGACTCTTGCAGCACATGAAGTGCCCCGTCATGGCACTCGTGCCTTGCAACTAGACCGTCCCTTCGTCTCCCCGAACCCGCCCACTCACCATGCTTGACTGGAAATCCTGCGTCCTCGAGTCTGCCGACTCCAGTCCTAGTCCCTCCACTACTACACGCACCGACTCGACCAAGAACGCACCTTCCCCCGCAATGCACCCCCCAGAGACCCACGCTCCGCGCAAGTTCGCCCCAAATGCTTCCTTGGTGCTCGTCGGTATTCGCGGCTGCGGCAAGCGCTCGCTAGGCTTTGTCGCAGCAACGGCCTTGAAGCGACGCTTCATCACGGAAGACCACTACTTTAAAGAAATCACCGGCATTTCGAGGCAGCAATATTTGAAGACACACGGTAGCCAGGAGTTCCAACGCCGGGACATTGAGGTTTTGAAACTGATGCTTGACAACCATCAGACGGGCTGCGTGGTGGAATGTGGATTGGGAAGTCTTACACGGCCGGTTCAGGATCATCTGCGGCGCATCGTCAAGACGAACCCCGTAGTCCACATCATTCGAGACATTGATCGCATTCAAGAACTCCTGGGTCTAGACGACCAATCTGTGCGCCTCCTGCGCGAAGGAGACCCGCTACATCGCACTTGCTCCAATTTTGAATTTTACAATGTCGAGGATCGCACGCGGATTATCGCAGACGACGGTACTCCCGACCCTCGCTCGGCAGCATACTCGTTCAAACTACAAGAAGTGAAGGAAGACCTCACCCGGTTCGTTCGCTTTGTCACCGGAGTCGATGTGAATCATTCGAGCTATGATTCGCCCTTTGTGTTATTAGAAACACCCCCGGAGCTGCGGTCTTTTGCCCACGCCATTTTCGTGCGATCTTCGGATCTCATCGCCGACAATGTCAATCTTCCCGAGCTGGAGTCTGGTGGAGATGCCATTGAGCTTTGTGTCGATCGCTGGGGTTCCGAAATGCCCAATGTGATTAGCCAACAAGTGTCCGTGCTTCGTCGTAACGCGCGGACTCCGATTATTCTTTCCGTGGACACTTCATCCCTCACGGCTGAGAAAGGCCGAGATCTGGCTGCATCATATCTCGATATTTTGGAACATGCTCTGCGCTTAGGAGTAGAATACCTGGTGGTCAACCTTGGCCAGAACCGGTCGCAATTGTCCCAGATCATCTGTGCTCGGGGCAATACCAAGGTCATTGGACAGCATATCTTTGAAGCATCATCCCGTGTGAAATGGGAGGATGAAGGTTGCGTGTCTTTGTATAACGAAGCCGAAAAACTTGGATGCCAGCTCGTACGACTTCTCCGAGTGGCCACGTCCAGGGAGGAAAATGCGAGTGTGCTAGAGTTCGCCAACAAGATCCGGTCTATGCCAGGAGCCCACCCACCTCTGATTGCCTACAATATTGGCCGTCTGGGACGAACGTCACAGGTCTTCAACTCGATTCTGACCAGCGTGACACACCCTGCAATTACTCGCGAAACGGAGAATGAGCGTGATCCGCAAATCACTTCGCGCGATGCCGTCCAGGCCCTCGTCCAGAGCTACGTGCTCGACCCATTGAAATTCTGTATCCTTGGTGCGAGCGTCGCGTACAGTTTATCTCCGGCTATGCACAACGCTGCTATTCAGCACTGCGGTCTAGGCCACGTCTATCGAATCCCCGATTCTCCTTCTCTAGCCGTATTGGACGAGCTACGCAAAGATCCCAACTTTGGCGGATCTAGTGTCGTTCAACCATGGCGTGTGGAGCTATACCATAAATTGGCTGCGAAGAGCCGACACGCCGAGGCTATTGGGGCTATCAACACAATCATGCCCTTGCGAGGGACGGCTGATGGCAGGATATACCCTCTCCAAGAACAAGCCAGTCGACGCAACCAGGCAGGCCCTGTGTTAGGTTGGTATGGTGAGAACACGGACTGGGTGGGTATGATGACCTGCATGACTCGTCATTTGTCACCCCGTAATGCGATCAGTGCCAAGACGACCGGCCTCATCATTGGAGCCGGTGGAATGGCGCGGTCAGCCATCTATGCCATGCTCCGCTTGGGCTGTCGCAAAATCTTCATCTACAACCGGACGCAATCGCGAGCGGAAGAAGTCGCACGTCACTTCAACTCCTGGGCAGCAGCTCAGGTTGATTCCGAAGAGGTGGTGCGAGTACTACGATCCCTTCAGGACGACTGGCCTGATGACGCCAGCCCCCCTAGCCTGATTGTATCTTGTGTGCCCGCCGATCCCGACGGAGACCAACCCCCCGCCAACTTTGAGATGCCAATGCAATGGCTCGGCAGTCCAACCGGGGGCGTAGTATTAGAGGTGAGTACTACGGGTAGCCCTATTATTCAGTTGCTCTCATGCTAATACGACTCCATAGTTGGCCTACAAACCTCTGGACACACCCCTTCTCAAACAAATGCGTCGCATCCGAAGTGACAACGGCCGACCTTGGGTTTTATCGGACGGTCTAGAAAACGTGATCGAGCAAGGCATTGCACAATTCGAATTGATGACCGGCCGCAAAGCACCCCGACGCCTGATGACCCTAGAGGTCCTCCGGAATTATGTGGGTGAGAGCGGACATTTCGACGAAAAGACGATACAGGCCCGATTGGATGGGATTTGTTCCTAGAGGACTGGCGTAAGCAGATAGATTGAGCGATCTTCGAGGGTACACCGGGCGTTTAGATTAATGTGGCAAATATTAGGGATGCGAATCCCATTCTATATCAATTCATCCTATTGTACAAAGGCCCGGTATTGGATACAGGGTATGCTTTCCATCTATATGCAAAGAGAGAACACCCCAAAAGAAACGTATTAATACATAACATGCGGTTCGAGATCCTCATTCTGTAAACTCAACAACTTCGAACCATGGATATCAAAGGCCATGCGACACGCTGCGTTATAGAAAGAGTGGAATTCCGTCTCCAGCGAGGGTTGAGACTGATCACCATCCATTCCCTGAGTGGAGATGCTGGGGATGCGCATGTCGAGGGATACGTCGATGGTACGAGCGGGCAGGAACGGCCCGGTCTCGGAGTAACTGTAGCGGAGTTGTCGATCGCCGAGTTCGTAGAGCTGGAGAGCAGAGCCGCGCGGGTTTTGAATGGGTGGTAACATGTACTCCGCCGTGATCGAGGGGCTACCGCCAGTTGATGCTCCAGGCTGGACGAAGTTGCTGGGAAGTAAGACTTGACAGAATACCGGCAATGGCGTCGAGTCATGCGATGTCACGGCAGAGCCAATGATACTACGCAGGGAGGATTCGATGTTCCTGACGAAATCTAGGTACTCGACCGATTCCTCAAGGGCATCTCCTGAAAGCTCGTGATAGACTGTGCGAGTAAACCGGAGATCGAGGCCGTTCTCCGGCAAGAGATAATCAACGGCGGTTGAACCCCGGATAAACTTGATGCTTTGCACATTGAACGAGTCTTCGGGATTTAGCAGAGATTTTCCGAGTTTGGAAGCAATCTTGATATCGAGAGTCGGGGCAAGGCTGGCATATGCAGCGGACGGAGTCAATCGAATGTTGTGAACTTGCGCTCCGACCACCGGGGTGATGGGCCGGAGGGAGGCCAGGAAATTGATAATTCGAGGGATGTCAGTGGAGAAAGTTCTCGGAAGAGATAGCTTTCCCAGCTGCGAAGGGGTGATGGTCGAATTTTCAAGTGAGGGTTTCTGAGTGAAGAGGCAGCGGCCTACGGCAGCAGTCACCGACTCGTGCGCTTTCAAACCACCTCCGAGACTCGGAGTTGGAACAGGTGTCTGACGAAGAAGGTTCAACAAATGGTCTGAAAGTCGAGTCTGGTGACCATCAAAGAGAGGAGTGGGATTGTTTTCAGTCTCCGTAGACTGTGTAGAGTGCATGGCCCATCGGAACCATTTCTTTTGTCGATCGAGCCACGACACACTGCCCTCTGGATTGTAGTTGTATATGTTTGCAGGCTCCGAAGCAGGGAAATAGGTGGAGAAGGGTACCGATGCAGGAGTCACCTCGTGGAGTGCGAGATTGAGGATCCTGCGCGCATTGTTTGCACCATCTTTGTTCTCTGCAAGGTACAAGATCTTTTCGGGAACTTGCGAGCTACCATTTTCCAAAGCCACGCCATATGTCTTGCTGATCCATTCCAATAAGGTCGGGGGGTATATTTGATTCAAGTCCGGGCGTGATGTGAGTGTGTCTAGACCGGTCGGCTCCTCTCGAATTCTGGCTATAGCATCAAGGACGATTTCGCACATCGACTCGCAAGCATTCTGGCGGCCAGTGATCCTCACCAAGCCAAGGGAGCTGGTGATGTCAATACTGGATTGGTGCATAGTGGCCACTTCGTCGAAGGAAAAGTGCTTTGCGTTGAGCAGCAACCCGATGAGAGCAGGCGACAGACGGAGGTCCAACTGGCCAACCTCGTCGGCGATCGATAATTGCCAGCAATCACGAAGTATCCGCTCTGCCAGCAAAGCTTTACCCTTCAAGTCTTGCGATGTAGCCACTCGATTCGTAACCCCCGTGTGTAGCTCCGGATTGGCGTGCAAAAAAGCGGATGTACCAGGCCTCCATCTTCCTGCAGTTCCGTCGCCCTTGGACTCGTACCGTTCATGCTCTTCGATGTACTCCGACAATTGGGCGTAGGTGAATGATGAAGCTAAGCTGTTTCGTACAGCCTCCCATTCGCTCTCATTCATTTTTGCGTTCAGCCCTTCGGAGGCTTTGTGACTCTCGATGCGTTCATGAATAGCACTCGGAGTTAAAGGCGCGTATTCTGCTTCCAAATCTTCCAGCATTGAGCTCAGTGTGACCGTCTGCGTCTCCGTCTGCGTCCGCGCATCCTCCCTATTCTGCATGTCACGCAACCTATCCTTTAAGGTTCGAGGGCGCTTCGTCGGCACGACCACAATCTCTCCGGGTTTTCCAAGTGAGTCCACATTGAGAGGCAGCCTTTTAGGTTTTGGATCTCTCCCTGAACGGCGGCGACGACGGGGGGCACGTTCGTTCGATTCGTCGGGGGAAGGGAATGGTTTATCGGAGTCGGAGCTTGAGCTTTGGAATCGTATGTTGACGCTGTTACACCATGGGGTGCATGATGAGATAAAAGGTCGCGGGAGAGCTGAAGAGGACCAGCTCCCCAGTGCACTCCGAGGATGGCGCCGCATGATGACCGCTGAACAGGAAACGCATCGTTCAAATCGGGGATGCTTTGATGCGCCGACAGATCGTGTCGAAGCTAGTCCTAGATAGGAAGGTTTATGGCCTGAGGTGTCAATCAGCATGCCCCTTCATGGTACTCCGTCTCTCCGGAGCCTTTACAGTTCTGTGTGTTTGTTAAGCATTTCTCGCATTGGAAATATGGAATCATCATTTAAAGTAGTAATCAGCGTTGGTATTTCCACATCCGCTGCCTTCCGCCAGCGACATGCTAAAGAAGGTCCTGTTGGGAGAATAAGAATAAGGTAGCAGCATTGCTTCAGCCCAGGTCACACAACCAAAGCCCACCTCGAGATGATCTATACCATTGTCATTGTTGAGCAGTATCAATAGGGATGATTTCTAGGTTTTTGATCTGGGAAATGTCGTACTCAAGAGTGTGGAGAGGCTGACTGGCAAACACTGCTACTAATCGACACGGTCAACACAAGTTTTTTGCTTCTCTTACAGGACAATTATATCATTCTATTTTAACCTGTAAATGTACTCTTAGAGTCGAATTCAATCAAAAGATCTGGAATAATATGCCCAAAAGCTGTCGATTCACGGCCTTGTTCGAACACTCCGATCAATATCTGCAAGCCAAATCTAGACTGCAATGATTTGTTTTTCTCCTGGTACTATGCCTATTGGACTATTTTCACATGTGGATGCCAATTAGGGTGCTTTTCTTTGCCTTTTCATTTGTAGTTGATGATTATTCAAGAGGAACTGGTAGTCTGTCGAGGACTACGATTGGCAGAAGTTGGCAACATCGCGCCCGAAAATGATGCAATCCGCATTCGGCGAACGATGATTGGCTGCATGCGGGGTTCTTTTGGGAACGGCTGGACGGGCCAGCTGCGATCATTTTTAAGCTTAAATGACCGGATGAAGTATGATAGCGGATTTATATTGAGTAGATCCAGTCTGATGTATTGATACACAATGTTGGATCATGGAATTCTGAACATCGACGGACCTTTGACCCGTCGCCGACCCGGGCAATCGTCAATGGCCGGCCCCCCATCTTCCCCGGACCCTGCTAGGCCCCGCTAAAATCAATTGAACCGTCAATCCATTGGGCTCTTGGACCTTTCTAGCCTGCATTCACCTGTGTCTAGTTCTCTCTGGACCTGTTTGGACCTGCTTGGCCTTCGTCTCTGCCAACCAGCTTACCTTCCGCCGTTTGGACCGTCATCAGTCGGGTCCAGCCGAACCGGGGCCTTCGCCGATTGCTCCGATCCCACGCGAAAAATAGAAAAACACAAGGTCGAGTGTTTTTGCCCCCGCCTCTTCTCTCTTGATCCGGGTCCAGCTTGCAATCGGCAATGCTCTTCAATGTTTTCATATTTAAATCGTTTCGACAATGGCCGAATCGTCAGAACCACCTGTAGGCCCTGAGCCGCCGGCCAACGCTCTCGTGAGGAATCAGCGGTCGCCACCTCCAACCGAAAGTCTAGAGCTTCGGGAGATTCAAACACGAGAGGATGATGAGCAATTAAACTACTCCACGGCGTCCGCCTCCTCTGGGGAGGAATATCGAATGACCACACGAACAGCCTCGCGAACGAGTGTTCGTCGCCCGCGCCCCGAGCGCAAAGGTGCCTGGAAGAAGGTCTGCGATTTCTGGACTCATAATGTCACCATGACGGTACCTGAGAAGAACAATCGCGACCACCTAGGTAAGTTGAAACATTATATCCGCTCTTGAAAATCAGTAGCAGTCTGGTCAAACTGACAGTCCGATCTATACAGCCCTCGAAAGAACATTCCTTGCATACATTCGTACATCGGTTGTCATTGCGATGCAAGGGGTTCTAATCTCACAGCTATTCCGCCTCCAGCGACCAACCACGCCTCAACATCGCCTGAGATTTTATGACGTCGGTATTCCACTCGCCGTGACCTGTCACTGTGTGGCCGTTATAGTGGCCCTAATCGGCGCGTATCGATTCTGGAGACAGCAGAATGCCATGTCTTTGGGAAAAGTCCACGCTGGAGGATGGGAGCTTAATTGGGTGGGAATTCTACTCGGCCTGGTATGTCTATTTGCTGAACTCTCGACCTAGGCTCTTCAAGGGGAAAGGGACATCCAATAACGGACTAACCGAGTCTATGTAGTTACTTTTGGCGACGCTCGTACTATCCGTGGCGATTCTTATCGAGATTGATCTACATCCATCAACGCTGATCCAACGACTCTTTTAATGCCTAATGATGATGATTGTATATAGAGCAAATAATGTCGGATATCTCGCAGCGGTCACAACTGCTCATACTCGTATAGCGTGACGGAAACGAAATGTCAAGGTTACACTAGGAAAATTTTGACCACAGTCATTTCACATAAGGCCTTCACAATAGGCCTCGAGACCGACCACCCTTCGTCGCTTAAGCCGGACAAATCATATAGTACTGAACGGAATGTGTCTAACCTCTCTATCTCTTGTGCATTCGACAAGAGACGCATCGTTTGATATTCATGGACTTGCCCACTATAAAAATGTCTGTCCAATCGCCCCCAGATGAGACTTTCCTGCGAATCCTATCTTACCTACCATCTCATGCCGATGCAGCGGCACTATCTTTACAATTCCACCCACCATTGACAACATCTTTGTGACATATCCAACCGGTACAAATACTGCCAGAGCTCATAACAAGCCAGCTAACGTTTTGGCTTTGGTGGAACGGCTACTCATAGGTTTCGGATCAGCTGAATGGGGTGAACCTACTGTTGCGATCGATTAATGTACATTATGTATCTGTGTACATCCAAAGGGCTTTAATCAGTGGAAGCAGACCTATGTCGAGAGTAGCGAGTAAGGTCTAGTTTGTCTTAAGATCATCTTCTCCCGGTTGGCCGGGAGAGCAGGCACCAAATTATTTTAAGGACACCTCGAAATGAGAACATGTGAGTAATTCCGAGACGATGGACTCGATTTCGACCTCGATATTGATATCGCAAGTGCTTTATTTAAGGAAAATATCATGACAAAGGTAAAGGTCCCATTCTATACATGGATGCAGCATATGCCTTTCGCAGGACGTGATCACCACTTCCGAACCAATCCTCTCATCGAGGAAAGATTAAATGTTGGCACCACCATTCAATGGAATGATTTGTCCTATACACAAATTAGCCATGTTCTCAATCTGCCCCACATGAACATTCCACACTCACCGTTGATCCATTCTCCCGAGGGGCTGGCAAGGAATGCCACAACGCGGCCGATATCAGCGGGAACACCGCACCGCTTCAAGGGGCTACCATTGGCCAGAGCCTGCTCAATATCCTCAAGAGAAGAGTTCTGGTCGCAACCAGGAGCATATCGCCACGCGTTCTTCAACCACATGTCGCTCTTGACACCGGCCGGCGCAATCGCATTCACCGTGCAGCGCTTCTTGCCAAAGTCCGCAGCGAAGCAGCGCGTGAAACCCTCCACGGCGCTCTTGCTGCCCGCATACAGCGAGTGTCCGGGGACACCTACACCGGCAGCAATAGAAGACATGAGCACCACACGTCCGCCAGGTTGGATGTAGTCGTAGGCGTTCTTGGCGACGAAGAACTGGGCGCGAGTGTTCAGGTCAAAGACATCATTGAAGTCTTGGATGGTGGTATCGGCCAAGGAGACAAACTTCTCAGTTCCCGAGTTCGAAACCACAATATCCAGTTGACCGAAATGAGAGACGACCTCTTTGAAGAGGTTCTCGATGGACTCAACCTTGGTCAAGTCGGCCTGGAAGGCGGCCGCATGAACGCCTAGGCTCTGAATCTCGTGGACCATCTTCTCGGCGGACACTGGGTCCCTGGCGTAGTTGATTGCCACAGAGGCTCCTTTCTTGGCCAGCTCGAGGGCAATTCCTGATCCGATGCCGCGACTGCCACCGGTTACCAGGGCGACTTTGCCGGTGAGCTCGGCGGGAGCGGCGTTGGGGTTTGCCATGACCATGATGGCTGTGTGAAGGAGATGATGGGAATATGCGACCGTGTGATTGATGAGAAAGATAATCTTCAGAACTGCGAACTTGATTGAGGAAGATCAAGTTCTTAAGATAAGTAGCAGTTCAAACGCCGAGCGCTGAAATCAGATGTATACTCGGGTCGCATTGTTTTCAATCCACACCACAGCCCCAGTGGATAGGGAATTGTTGTCCGGGTTGGGAATACGATCACATAACAGACTGCTTGGTGAAGCCGATCTAGATTTCTGACGGGATATCTGAAATGCGTGGAGGCTGTTTTCACAACCAACATCCCTTCCCCTTGCCGCATGCGGAAGACGCGTGTCTCAGAATAGTGCAAACAGCCGCGTGCATCGGTCAACTCACGAGGTCTTGGGAACATTCCAAAGCATCTGTTCCAGACCGATTCCTAATTCTCTTGTCGAAGCCGGATGCGGAGATTCCAGGGAAATTGGCAAAGTACGATAATCTTGGACTTGCAGATATACCCGACGATCTGCTTCGACGCAACAACCAAGTTTATTGATTATATCGACCTTGATCTCGAACCATTTTAAGCATGTCGCCTGCCGTCAAACTCAACAAAGAGCCCAATTTGGACATTAGCTTCCAGGGTAGGTAGTGGAGATTCGTGGAATTCAAAACAATCACTGACGATAATAGACTACCTGATCCTGTCAAAGCTGGTCTTTGACTGGGCTGATAGCTACGATGCCAAAGCATGTCAATTTTGCCTCAAAAGACAAAATCATTCCTACTAACTCAATCTTAGGACTGGGATCGCCTCCGCAGCATCATTGCCCCGACCCTGACGGTTTGTTCTCTCATCGCTCATTAAGCGTCAAACAATTAGATCTTGGTGCTAATCGAGTGTGCTTATCAGGTCGACTACACCAAAATTGGCCTCAGAAGATGGGACGACATGGCTGCCGAGGATTACATGGCCATGATTACCCACCCTGGATTCTTGGGCGATCCCACCATCAAGACCCAGCACCTGCTCGGCCAGACCTGGTGGGAGAAGATCTCCGACACCGAGGTGATTGGACATCACCAACTCCGCGCTGCCCACCAGGTCTATACCACGGATAGCCTGGAGGAGGTCAAGCTTCGGGGCCATTCGCATGCTACGAATGAGCACTACTACCGTAAGGTGGATGGTGTGTGGAAGTTTGCCGGGCTGAAGCCTGACGTGCGATGGAATGAGTTGCGTTTCGACGAGGTTTTTAGGGGCCTGGATTAAGCTTTGAGCATGGGGCATTCATCTTGATGTTATATAGATTGACCCTATGTTCATCAACTGAGTTACTTGAATCAAACGTAAACTCTCATGTTGTTAATATCCGTGACGGTACAAATGCCCCCTCGGTAAATGATCGGCTCCGGGAAGAGCAGCTCCCTAGGCAACCTGATATGTCACCCTGATGCTCAAGCTGATCGGCCTCATTGATACCAATCTGCCTTTCTATTGTATCAGTTCATGCGACGCCGACCGCACTGCTTACTGCCTGCTTCTGATGTACCTAGAAGTGGAGGCCAGGCTTGAGTAGCGTTCCAAGGCCCAACTTCCTTCCTCCCAGCTCGCTTGGATCAAATAGTCCGTCCCACGCCTAAGCTCTTCCACCTCCAGAGAGTGGTAATCCAAAGAAATTGTGGCCTCGGCAGTCTCCACACTCAACGTCCCCGGAAGGGGGGGGCTGTTGGCAGCCTGGCGGGGGCTAACGAATCTGCTTATAAGTGAAGCAGGAAAAAAGCTTCCGTCCTGGATCTCGCTCTTGTCACCTCTCATTGCCCGGTCGAGAAATAAGAAACCCCTTTCATTTGACATGAATAATAATCACCATTGAAATTCCTACGGTGAGATGTTAGTCAGGCTTTCTCGAGTGCCGAGCAATAGGGTTACCTCAGTATAGAGTGTGATTGATAATCCGCCATTACACCGGTCTTTATGAACGGCCTTTCGTGTCACACTCATCAGCTCACTTGGGCCGCAAGCACCAATAATGACGCGATCATTCGCGCCACTTTTTGAATCGACAATAGCCTCGATAAGATTACTGATATCTGGGCGTCCCGGTTGGATAACGCTGACTGGAGATGTTTCAGTGGTAGACTGTTTCAAGGCGCCCTTCTCAAGGCCATTCAGGATGATAGCGGACGGCGGCTCCGCTTCAATTGGCTCGCTAATCACCGAATATTTCTCAGATTGTGCGCCTGAAGATGCGGGTGACGGTAGTTCAGACGAGCAAGCCGGGCGAGTGACATAGATGTGCACGTTCAGTTCTGGGTGGGCTTGAAGTTGCTTCAGTTCTTTGGCATACCATTCAAGGCTCTCTATGAAACACGCAATCAGATTTGTTGTTACAGAGTGATCTCGCCGTCATGTGGCAGTCTAGCTTACCCTGGTGTCTCACTGCCCAAATGAAATCGATCGACTTGACCGCAGTGGTAGGCGATTCGATCAGATCCAGTGCGATAGAAAAAGTGAAGCTTGCGCCGCTACCACCGGCAATAAGAATAACCATGTGAGGAAATCTCTAGGAGATCTCTACGCAAACGAAGGAAGGGAGGAAGACTTGTCAATCTCTAAAGATCTGGGAAACTCTCTTGATCTTCTAGGAAACAGGAAAACAGGAGATGGCTATATAGCCATCGACTGATTCAACAAAACTGGAAAAGGAAGGACACATCGTCAAACGGCTAATGGCCAACAGTCAAGAGGTCAAACGGCCAAACGGCTAACGGCAACCTTCTCATGCAAGAAGGGCAAGGGCAACGGAAAGGCGCTGGTTCTGCCAGAAATCCCCAAGGGCGACCGAAAGTGAGGAAATTCCATCAATACTGTTTGCAGATTCAAGGCTACATGATCCTTCAATGCGTTCTGTACCTAAATGTGTAATATATATCTTGTCCTATGACGATTCGAACGCATATACCCAATACCAACATGTGGAAGTGACCGCAGGTGCATAGCTATTTAGCAAGACTATATGCTGTAAGAAGCCTTTGCCTTTTGAAAAACCTTCCTTGGCCGGAATAATCCCAATTAAGACCGAAGAAGAATAAAAATCTATCCAGAACTTTTTGAATTGTGGGGTGGTCGATGCTTACCCAAGCAACTCTTATTCCAGTAACAAGGTGTTTGTAAACAAAAGCGTTACTTTTCGGCCTACTGGTTACCTCCATTAGGGTCGCCTGTGCCCGCAAAATTGTGAGATATGGTGCTACCTACAACTTCTACAACCGGATGGCGTTTGAGGATATTCCGGACTCCAAAGCAATTAAGAGAGTCAACAAGTATCTCCCTAGATTCAGAACTGGCATGCATGACTGGGATATTGCTAGGATGCTACAAAATTCGGCAGACAAGGTTCGGATCGTCTCTTTTCTGGATTATGGGTTAGGATGGCTCTAACGAAAGAATCAGTTGCCTTATACAGAAGCTGTTACGAACATGCTCACCGAGTTTACGGCATTTCTTGAGAAGTCCGATCAGTTTATGTGGGACTGGTATCAAAAGGTCGACCAGGGCTCAAGGGACTCACGCTTCGTTCAATTTCTTGTATGGCGTGCAAAGAAGACCGGCGAGCCAACATTGGCAGAGATACCAGAGATCTTCGGCAAAGTCCAGTCAGAACCAGAAGATAATGGTGTGAAACGTATCACCGACAAGCAGTTGGCCAATGCGAACGAAGTCATGAACAGTGACGAACGTATTGATCAATTTCTGACCGCGCGTTTTGACCCTGGGCTTGATTCGTGCCCATATGACGTCCGCCAAGAACGCGCCTGCTTCCAGAATTTGCTGTCTTCAGGAAAATTGGGAGCCGTTCTGGATCAAATCGCCGCTTTAGAGAAAGAAAAATTGTCCTGCTCAAAGACTGTGGGTCCAGCTTGTGTAGCTATCATTCGTCTTGGAAAGAGATCAGCAGGGCAGGATTTCCAAAAGTTGGCCGAATATGCACGAAAGCATGCAAAACGCCAATGACGAGCCTCTTCTGAAACAAGAATGTTGGACCTAGGTAATGTAAGTTGCATAAGAGGGGTGTATGTAATCGAGGTTGTTTTTTATCACTAAATCCAAATATTACTTTTGTGTTGGTTCACGAGCCGCCCACATTCCGTGACGTATGTCTCCTGTATGTCTGGCATTGTCTGGATATTACAGGGAATGAAAGGCTTTCTTTAAATTTACTATAATTAATAAACCGGCACTGCATGGTCACTACTCATACAGACGGGGAATGAACGTAGCATATATCTTTGTGGATATACCAGGAGTATGAAATCAAGAACATTGGCTCCCCCAATCAACTTGATCGGTCACTTGATTGCGGGGTAAATTTCTAAGTGGATAACACCTATCAGGTACCCGAGCATCGACCTGATTCAACGACTATTATGGCAACTAATATCTCATATGACGGCCTTAACTCGGGGCTTCAAATCGAACAGAACTATGGCCATAATTCTAGTGAAACCCGCAGACTGGATCGGCAGCATAACCATTCCGAACATCTATATACTACCTGCAATGAAGTAATTCCACAATATGCGCCTAGGTCTCTGCCTAACGTTGGCCACGTCACATGCGCTCGGAAACCAGGGGCCTAGAGCAGCATAGGCCCAACAAATTTCCATGGCGAATAACCTTGACTGGAATACCAGTAATGGTGAATTCCTCAGTCTTCCTGTTATCCTTGGCTTTTAATCAACGCTAGATCAGATCAGTAATATTCCCTGCTTTAAAACACAGTGATGATGGATATATAGATCGCTGGGTACTCTATTCTGAAACACGCTAGTCTATTTTTAATTTAGTCTCTCGTAAGGTCGTGAAACGTACTGGTGACGCGCGCTGTTACACGCTGTGGCCCTGAAACGCAACGAGTTCGAGAAACCTCGGTGATACTCTAATATATCAGCTAAATTATATTTATAAAAGGTTGTGTAGCAAAACACAAGGTATTATTTCCCGCTCTTCCATCTGTGGGTATGCTTTCAATCCAAATCGCTCGTCGCTACCGCCTCTCTTCTGACACAGTCAGTACCTCCTCTTTAGCATCTTTCCAACGATCCTAGCCTAGTCGAATGCTGTTACGGTGTGGAATGAAATGACAGGGTGTTTTCCTACAACGAAAGCCGAAGGCACAACTCCCTATCCCCACCATAAAAACTTTGAAGTGGGTCACAACACGCTAACGTAGTAGGCTGCCTAGAGGAAGATCTGGCGTGTCCAGGCACCATTGCTTACGACGTAGGCGTGGCACAATTATAAAAACCGTACTGATTAGCACAGAGCCACATAAAGAACCAGATAATTTACTATTCCTTTCCAGAATCTAAATTAATCCATTTCACTATGGCGTTAATCGAGCTTTTTACAGACCCTAGATTTCCCTGCCCCCAAAGAGTCCATCTGGTCATCAAGGAACTAGGCATCGATGTAAATATCCGAGATGTCAATCTGGAAGCAAAAGGGCACAAGGTTAGATACAAGAGCTGGTCTTCTGTCCGAATCAAGCCAAGTCTAATTAAAAAAGAGCACTGAATTCCTTAAAATGAATCCGTTCGGAGCATTGCCATGCTTGAAGGACAATTCATTCGACCCACCCTTTGTGCTGTACGAATCTCGCGCTATTGTCAGGTATCTTGCGATCAGATACGGGCAAGGCCGCCTCATGCCAAATCCATTCAACGCGCAGGCTACAGCACTCTTTGAACAAGGAGCAAGCACCGAACTAACTTCATTTGACCCTACCGCGAACCGCCTAGTATTCGAAGAAATATTCAAACCGTACGTCATACCTTGTTTGCACGTTTCTCCTCTAAGTCTACCAATACTCACGTTATAATCGAACAGAAAATTCTTCGCCGAGAGTCAAGGCTCTATCGACTCGGCATTGGTAGCTAGTTTGAGATCTCGATTATTGGTCGTCCTCGATATCCTAGACCGGATCTTAGGCCACCAAGGTTACATGGCAGGACAAGTATGTTTCAATCCGGTCACGGTGGCTTGCAGTGTCATCAACTTACATGATCTGTAGGAGTTTTCAGTTGTGGACCTATTCTATGTGCCATATATGCATCATCTTACCACATCGGTTTACCCATCAGCCCTTGAAAACCGACCTCATTTGAAATCGTGGTGGGAGGATATGATGCTCCGTCCTGGTTACCTTGAAATCACTCAATGCTCACGTTATAGTTAACATTGAAAGGTGATGACTAGGCGATAAGATTTCCGCAGAGCCAATCTCACGCTAACGATCACCCTGGCGCTGGTTTGCAAATACTCATGGGCTTGAGTTCGAGGATATAAGATATCTTATCGGCATGGAACTCGGCATCTAGGCTGGGGTTGGGAACAGCAGAGGCTCATAACACAGTCGCAGACATAGGATATACATGTGTTAAGGACATCGAGTGTCATGCTGTCAAATTGATACAAGCCAAACAATGCAGTCAAATAGAAAACTCTACAGTATTATTTTCAAGCCACGTGAAAGGATCTTACCCTGCACAGAGCAAAAAGGCCCTAGAAAGTAAAATTACAGAGCGCATCGCCACCACACCAATGATAAGGCCAGAATAGCTTCACTGCAAGAGAGTGACGATGTTGACAATGCTGGGCCAAGAACCTAAACATCGCATCTCATCAAGGATACGAGCCCACCAAGTAGAAGAAATCTAGCTGCATGGGTCCTGCCATATTTAAAGTTCCGGAAGAGCGCAGCCAAATCCGATAAGATTCCTTGAGCTCATGGTACGGCAAACGCCATCTCCGACACGAAAATCGCAGCGAAAACCCAATGCTCCGACTGGAGTCGGAGAGAGCAACAAAACCAGATTGGACAATAAACGGAAAATTAGAGTCGTTTCCAGCAGAAGCCTTTGTCCAATGGCACTGAACGCATTCGTCCAAGAACAGCGAAGCTCGGCGAGCCAATCATCGCGATCTCGGTCCAAATTTCGCGTCAATTTTTGTATGGGATTTGGCAGTCGCACGCTTAGACCTCCGAAGTCCAACTTGAACTTAAAGTTGGCCGACTAGTTATTGGCTGCCTCGCTCTTAAAGGCGGGGTAAGGTTATTACCCGGGTTTGTTAGGCTGTCTACGGAGTAGCCCTCAGCTAATGAATTGTGTCCTTCTTGTCTCAGCCTCGTCGAGAATGCTACATAGTGGATCATTTAGGGAACACAAACCAAGACGCTTAATTCCGTACGGCCTTAGTGACGTAGGCTCAATCCATATTGAGTTAGCCGGCTTCGCGGAGGGGTTGGAGGTGCTCGATGACGAGGTCATAGAGGGATTCTTCAGTAGTTTTGAATTCGATAAGGAGTACTAGGGTCTAGGAGGGGTCGTTGGCGAAGATGCCAGCTGGGGGAGTGGCTGTCTTGGAGCTGACTGTTGCGGATATTGTGCTTGTGGAGAAGATCGAGGAGGGGGTCTAGGTAGAGATTACGGACAGTTCAGGCCGCGTGGAGGGTATAGGGGTTATGGCCAACGAGGAGGTCGTTGTTCGAGGGCCAGATGTCGGCCTCAATGGATATGCACCCGGCGCGGAGGGCTGAAAATAAAGGTACCTCACGTCAGTAGTCGTTATGCGAGTGGAATCGCACGGGAATCACTCTATAGGTGGTCCAGTGCGAGAAGGGGGAGGGGTGGCCGCCCGGATAGACCCAGGCATCGAGTCGGGCGTCCAGGTCGTCCGGAAAGAAATAGACCAAGGCGGGCCAGGAGAATAAAGCGAAATTGAGGAGGCCGCTGGGAGGGTGATTACTGGAGTTGAAGTGGGGACTTTTATAGGATGACTTATAGACAGACCAACAGAGCGAGTGTGCAGGGAATAAGCGTCTACTTGCGCGAGGCTTAGGGAGTAAGTTACCCATTGGCAATGACTCGAATTCAGATTCGTCCATGGCCGATTCCTCTTCCGGCAGGGAGTGCAGTGGCTATCTGAACATGCTTCGTGAAGACGAAGCAAAGGAGAAAACAGCCATGATGCGATGCAGGTAGGTAGTCATCCCGATGACGATATAGGTATATGATATGAAAGCACAACTACAAGACGCTAACAAGGCTAAGCTTCGCCGCCAAAAGCTTTTGCGGCCGCCAGTTCCACCAGTCCCGGGCCACTCCCCCCATGGTTGGTACTTTGGTGACTGTGAGCTTACTAACTTAGAGCACACCGACTCGAGATGACGCGGCTTACCAAAGGAAAACCTTCCGGATACTCTGTAGATCGTTAACAGTTATTAAGCAGCATCTTAAAATGTAGTCTGAACATATTAACGGGCCTAGTCACGATGTCTTTCTGGAATTCACCTTTCGCAGCGAAGGGTGGGTACTTTTCACGACTATAGATTGCTTTCCGGCCGGACCGGTTATATCTGGGACCCGAGTCTTCGTTAATTTGACTCATTTCTCCAAGTGGAAGAATCATGGCTGGCTCATCCTGGCCAAAATTGCATTGATCGCCCACTGGCGGATCACACAGGTTGAGGAAGGTGGTCACGAGGTGGTGTAGTCGGGCAATTGCCGGAATACACTGGAGGAAATGGAATAGCCCTTGGGTGATCTCACGCAGCAGCGGGCAGTTTTCTAAATCAGAGGTGCGTACCCCGTTGCAGAATAGAATGTAGAAAGAGTCATGGGTAGGAAAAACGGGGCTTTATAGGCACTCCGTTAGCCCATGACAGACGAAATGGAATGGGTACTACTAATCATGAGAGGAAAACCGGATAGCTTACCTCGTCCAATACAGGCTTAAGTGCAACCGACTACTGGAAAGCCACGTCTAGCCTGGATGCCTTTCATTGCCATCAATATCTAGAACATATCGTAGTACTATGGTTACGAGAACAAATTCCCCTTCAAAAAGTGGATATCGTCTATATTTCGTATCTATGTCCCATCATGAATCTATCACTTCCAGTCATATCGCCAATCAACTCCAGAAAGCCTTCAGCAGAGCATCACACATGAGCGTAATACACCTCTTCCCTTCGGACAACACACCATCCATGGCCAAGAAAGGATGAGGCATTCCCTTCATAACCTGGAGGTCGACCTTGACACCCGCCTTCACAAGCTTCTCCGCATATTGCTCCCCCTCTGTGCGCAGCACGTCCAGCTCTCCGACCATAACCAGCGCCGGGGGAAGCTGAGCCCAGTCACCAGTATAAAAGAGCGGGCTTGCCTCGGGATTGGTGCGATCGGATTCATTGGGGAGATAGTGATCGCGGTACCAGATCATCTTTAGGGCGGGGAGAGCAGGTGCATGTTGATAGAGACGAAAGGACTCATTGTTATCCACGGTAGCGATGTTATTAGTCACCGGGACCGAGAGCAGCTGGGCCTGGAAATGCACGGGAGGGGAGAGCGTCAGTGCCTTCTGTGTCATGACCGCAGCGAGATTGCCGCCGGCCGAAGAACCACCAGTTGCAATCTTGGACGGGTTGATGGATAGCACGGAGGGGCCTTGCTGGACCAGCCAGAGGAGGGCCTCCCAGCAATCATGAACGGCTGCAGGGAACGGGTTTTCAGGGGCGAGGCTATGTCCACTCGTTAACTCTCCTACTCTTGGTTTCTGTAAACAAGTCTCCTACCGGTAATCAACGGTCACCACCACACAATTGCCCCGCACACACAGGTTGGAGCACACGACATTCTCGGTGTCAATATTACCCAGTACCCAGCCACCACCGTGGAAGTACAGCATCACAGGCCACCCGCCAGCGGGGACATCGCCCTTCGGAGTAAAAACGCGAACCGGCACCGCAGGGCCTTCGCTAGCCTGACGCTCAATAGTTATATCTTGGGTTTTGCCCACTTCCAGCATTGGTCCCGCACCGGGAATCAATACACCGCTAGTTCGCGATGCCGCGACGGGCTGCAAATGTACCTGCTGGTTGTTGATAACATGTTTGTTGTAAAACTCGACATACTCGGGGTCCAGCAGGTGCTTGACGGAGTCGTGGAGGGGATAGGGGGGTTGATTAACGTCGGAAATGGACATGGCGGCGGAGTAGAAGCAGGATAATGTGAATGACAGAGTCACGGGAGAAGCGAGAGGAGGAAGGGATGTTGGGCGTCGTGCAACAGGAGCTCAATTAAACCCCCTTGCATTCTGCATATTAAATCACCATCCCGCGTAGCCCCCACGCCTTGGGCGGGATACTCCAACGACTCCACTATCAGGGTCGTATGTCCCCCGCGCGGGGTTGTTGATAACGATAGGTGGAGTCTGGCGGGGTCCTTGTCCTCAAAACTATACCCTTTTGCGACAAGTCCAGCCATTGCTGTTGCTTCCGTTGGAGTCATTTACGGCGATCGGTGCAACACGCCCCTCTTCGGCTGTCACCATGCCCCGTCTCGTCTCGCTCTTCCGCCGAGAATGGGATTCTAGTCGATGCGACGCCATATGAACGGTATCTCTTTAGCCAAAGCTCGACTCTTTCAATATGTCTTGAATCGTTATGCCCCCCGGGTACCCCATACTATCGTCATACAAGATAAAGTTCCATTCTTTCAGAGGGTTATGAAGACACTGATTGTACGCAGCCGAGTACTCTTAAAGGAGATAGTTATACAAGGTTGGTTGCGAAGCGAACCTGTAGACCTGCCAGCGCCTAGATGCTGTCGGAAACTTTACTTAATGGAATTCATATCCATTTTCCGATTGGTGATGTCGCCCATCGAATGATGGCAACATCCCCACAGATCCCTGGCAGCTCATAATCGTTGTTTATCGATATCCAGCAGTGAGAGACTTGTTACATCTGAATCGTCGAGGTAGGTGGGGAAATTCGGTGGCCTTTCATAGACATATCCAGACACTAGAATGAGCCAAATAGGGTTCTGCTTCTAATTCCCAAGATGAGTCGCTCTAAGAGGGACATCCTCACGTGCGCTCGGATATATATCTTACAGGCCATGTTGCGCAAGGCCTTTGAAAATCAAAACATCGTCCATTCTATTACCTCAGAAAAAAGACCTCTACCCCTTTGGAAAAATTTCTAATGATAACGAGCTTGTTGCTGAGCCCTACTCCATACCAAGAAATCTCGAGTCTCATGGGGAGGAAAATGAAGTCTTGGTATTGTTATCCCGCTGCACAGTTCGGCGCAACCTCCACCCACCACCGACAACGCGATGAAGCGACGAAAACCTAGCTAGTCCGTTACATACCAAGTTCAAATATGATGGGACAAACCTAAATTCTATCAACGCAGTCGATATGGGGTCAAATGTGCTGGTTACCCAGATAAATTCAGAGTTCGAGAGTACAAGCCGTTTGAAGAAAACGAAGAGCCCCCATCACGGAGACAGTCATCAGTCTTTGATGAATCACAGCCCGTCGCCATAATTCATCATCTCAAATCCTGATTAAAGACAGTGAATGCATTCTAGGACACTAAGAGCTGTGTTATCACCCAAAAAAAACAGCCAACGTCTTGACAGAAAGTATATCCCGTCCCGTGGACAGCGATATCATTGGCACTCACCGATTCAACACAAATTACATTTTATCAGCAGGTGCTGGCATTCATTCATACTATAGACTGACTATCTTGACTTTGAGCTCCATGGCCGGGCGCTCCAGGAAACCCATATCCTTGAATATCGCCAACGGATTGAAAGTTGACTACAGTATCTTGTCAACGTCATATTTTTCATCCTTCGGTTCGATTGAACAAAATATATTCAGAGGGAGAACCTAATAGAGACTCAATATTGCCAAATAAAAGCTATATTGGCCAATGCAAGTAGTCATAAACTGTCCACTTGCGACTACTGCGGAAAGGACGCTTTGTTAAAATGCTTCAATACATCAAGCTACCTACGACAAATCAAAGTCCACCTGCACGTGGCAGGTAGAATGTACTTTTCAACAATCCAATGACGTGTCTAGAGACGACATGCGAAACAGAGGAAAATTGACCCTATCGATAGGGTATTGTATATATCCATGCAAGCCAACGACACGATGCAATTATTCAATTTGTTACCCCCAAATTCTTACTGAAGGTTAACAAAAAGTCCACCATCAACCAAAATCTGTGCGCCAGTCTATTTCGAGAAAAGCCTCGTCAGTATAACCCAACCAAAAGTAAGAAAAACCAAAGCAGAACTTACCACATAGCTACTCAACTCCTCACAAGCTAAAAACACAGCCGGCCCAGCCAAGTCTGGCGGCTGACCCAATCGTCCCAGAGGAATTCGACCCTCCATATACGTCCTCTTCTCCGGATCCGCCAAATCGGCATCATTCAATTGCGTGCGAATCGTTCCGGGCAGGAGGGCATTGCAACGAATTCCGTGTTTGCCCAATGCGACGGCACACGACTGCATCAGACTCAGGACACCGGCCTTGGTTGGGGTATAGTGTGTTTGTTCGCCACCGCCCACGAGCGCGGAGATCGAGCTAATACCGATGATAGAGCCTCCCGGCGGGGATTGAGCGAGGGCCATTTGTCGGGCTGCAGCTTGAGTGGCGAAGAATGCGCCGGAGAGGTTGGTGGAGACGGTGTGGTTGAGGAGGGAGGGTTCGAGTCTGTTGTTGTTAGCTGTCTTTCTATTGCAGGACTGACTGGGACAGGGAAGCGGACTTACTCTAGGAAATCGGCGAATTGGCAAACTCCAGCATTGCTAACGAACACGTCCAAGCGGCCAAATGCCTCGACCGTCTTGGCGACGAAATTCTTGCCCGTCTCGGGCTGTGAGATGTCTCCCGTAACGGTGATGAATCTTGTCTTATCGGCACCTTCTTCGATCTCGTTTACCTCCTTGCGAAGAGCTTCCAACAGGTTGTCCTCTTTGGGGCCGCCCAAGTGGCTAATCGCGACTTTAGCACCATGGCGGAGATATTCCAGGGCGATTGCCTAGAAAGAGAGTATGAGGTTAGTTTCTTTATGCTCAGGAAGAGACTGCGGTGCTTCAACTAGAATTGAGGCCTTCATACCCGTCCAATGCCGGTGAGACCACCCGTAATGGCCGCAACCTTGCCCACGAGTAATTGAGGAAGAGGCATGTTGTTGTGAGTGTACGTGTTCAAAATCCCCGATGTTGTCTTCCAATTTCCAGATTCCGTCTTCTATGAGTTGAAGAGTATTTTTCTGGGATTTCTGGGACACAAAACGCTGAGTTGTCCTCTGCGGTAGCTTGGAGAAAAAAAGACCCCGCGTGATCCATTTCGTCTCTGCCGATAAGATTCCGGGCCTCGCGATGATGTTAGACCGAGTGTGGGGTTGGGGTTGCCCCACGAGGGGCAAAACGTACCGAATGAACGGGATTTCCGAGGGACATTCAGCCGATAGGACCGACGAGAGTCGATGCGTTTGGTGGAATTTTGCGGGCAGCCAAGTCATCCAATCGTATTCGGCTTAAGTGAGAAATACGAAGATAAATGCTTTTCGCTTACTAGGAATACCCTTTAGAGCCTTGAAAAGAGGTTTATGTCATCCTTGGAACATTTCAGTCTATTTGATTGAATCATCGATGCTATTTATGTACAGAACATCATCGTGCAACATAGGAATGGGTCATCATGGAAGTAAGAAACGTGAGAAACAAAACATCAAAAGCTACAAAAATTTACGTGCCAAATCAAAGCTTAATGTCCCTCGACCGCGCCGTTGGTGGCCTGGTCATCCGGAGCACGTAGGCTCTTTTGAGGCGCAGGAGTAAGAAGAGCAGAAGCAGGGATCAGGGGGGCATTGGGGTTAAGCTCCAGACCGAATCCGGGCTTATCCAAAATGGAGACATCTAGGTATCCGTTGACAGGGATGGGCTCGTTGATGAAGAGGTTGCCGAAGACGGGTTCCACGGTCTTGCCATCGGCAGAGTTGGCCAGGTATTCCTGGAAAGGGCTGTTGGATTGGGAGACGACGAAGTGGTAGGAGTAAGGACCGGAGGCGTGAGGAACAACGGGGATATCGTAGGCAGCGGCCAGAGCAGAGACCTTGAGGAGTTCGGTCATACCACCAACCCACATCACGTCGGGCTGGATGATATCCAAGTTACGGCCCTCGACCAGCTTGCGGAAGCCATAGCGAGAGTACTCGTGCTCACCAGTGGTGAACTTCACGGTCGGGTGGGCACGCTTCAGCAGAGCGTGGCCGTCGAAGTCATCGGGGGACAAGCACTCCTCCCACCAATCAATATCCAGACCCAGAGCCTCGCAGCGCTTGACCAGCTGAATGGTATATGGCACAGTCAGAGACATGTAGCAGTCAACACGGAGAGGGAAGTCAGGTCCCACGCTGGCGCGCTGCAGACGCAGGTACTCGACGTTCTTGAGCAGACCCTCGGTGCCCTCATCCGGACCATGGGGCAGGGCAACCTTGGCGCCGATGAAGCCAGCACTCTTGGCGGAGGCGGGCTGGGGTCCAGTGCAGTAGAAGTGCAGACGCTCCCGAGTAGCACCTCCGATGAGCTTGTAAACGGGCTCCTTGCGAATCTTGCCCTGCAGATCCCACAGCGCCAAATCGATGACTGAGATAACCGCGACTGGCAGACCCTTGCGGCCGTAGAACATGGACGCCCGGTACATCTTCTCAAACAGGTTGTTCGTATCGCGGGGGTCTGTCAAAAGGAGTGTTAGTCGTGATCATCCTCATATATGACGGCTCAGAGCAAGAACATACCAGCGCCAATCAGGAAACGCTCAAAGTGCTGGTGGGTGAGCCAGCAGGCAGGAGGACCACCGAAACCAGTCGCGAAGCCCTTTGTTCCATCGGTAGCCTCAATCTCGACGCAGAATGAGCCCAACACGTTGATACCCCAGGATGTCCGCGAGCCACGGTACTCTGCCCACTTGGTCATGGGGGTGGAAATGTTGCTGTCGATCAGCCAGTGACCGCCCTTGACCTGTAAATGGGAGTTAGCACGTCAATGATCACCTATATTTCAAAATTGAAGTTTCACGTACATTGTGATAGTCACCACCAGAGCCGACTCCGTCAATGACGAAGGTACGGATAGCCTTAATGCGGGGGAATTCAGAGAGAGAACCCATGGTGATATGCTATACAAAAGAGAACAATGCAAACAGCAAATATCTCAAGAGAAGAGGTAGGAGTGAATAGGAGAAGAAAAAAAAGAAGAATCCGGGGAATTCCTGGGGGGCTCGCGACCTTTTCAATCGGAGAGACGAGGGGAAACCCCGAGCCCTCGGGGCATTGCTGGCCCGAGAGGCGGGCCTCACGGGAAATCCAGTTGCCGCTGCTATCACCGGTTGAATTTGGGGGTTTGATATCCGGAATTTTTCCTGGTGGCATTTGAAGCATAAAGCTACTTTAAAACAAACCTTGAATGTTAAAGGGTAAGGTGCATTTCATGAGGGTTTGCGTATGTGAATCGGGCTATCCGGATGGGCCGATATACTTCAAGCAGGTATTTGCCGTTTGTAGAGCTTGGGCTACTTATAGCAAAACTGACCCCAGAAATCTGGACAGCCAAGCTGGTAATGATTTATCTATTGCCACTATATCTCTACATAGAACAAGTATTATTTATTCCTCATCGGAGTCAGAAAGATCCCGTCTCTGGACCGGCAAGAGCTGCTCACATGCCAAGCCGAGCGGAAAGCGCGGTTGTTTGCCTGAGGCTGCAATTTGCATCGGCCGAGTCTGCGGGGTCCGAGTCCTCGGAGATGCCCCGTGATGTCCCAGACCCCGCAAACTAAAGCATACATTATTCTTGCCTCTAAAGTCTATGAATTTGATGGAGTGGGGAAATTGATTCATTCCTCGAAGTATCATTGACTTGCTTTCATTGTACTTGGACTCTCGCTCCTATCTCTGGTTCAATGCCTCCATTGGCACAAGGGTTGAGGACAACGAAAACCCATACCAAACCGTGGCAACCAAAGCAATGGCGTTGAGATGAATCGACATGGCATGGTTACGAGCAAAGTCTTGGTACGCCCTGTGAAGCTTCCCCTCGCTTGAGTCCGTTGCCTTATCTTCCCGTTCTATTTCCATATGTCAGCACTGGCGCAGTCGCTCTATCCGAGATTGGATACTCACCACCGAGTGCACGTCGGACAAGAGAGGCGGTTGTAGTCCGCGGCCCATACACAAACCAGTTCAAGGAGCCCATGATGATAACCACCACCAGTGGGGCTGCACCCCATGGGTCTTTGACCAGCGACAAAATGCTATACGGTGGATGTGTCGCGGCTGTAAGAGCAGCCAAGCCAACCTGGCATTTGAAATAAACGGGGAACAGCCGCTTCTGCAATGCAAGAAACTCGCGCATCGGTAGTGCCTGGAAACAAAGCTTGGTGTTGACAAAACTCTGATGTCGACGCGTCAAAGTCAGTCATTTGCAGCACTACCAATATGAGAGTGAGGTGCCAATATATCCCCAGGGCAGGTCACTTACTTGATACACCTCGGTTCCCACGAGGGCACCATAGGAGAGAAGATGGTAGGGAAGAAGACTTCCAATCGTGTGTAGAAAGCCACCCATGTTGCGAGGCCTGTGGAAGGACTAGGAGACACTGGGAAATAGAATAGTTAAGTGCAATGACTGGATTTAGCGAATTTAGCTTGCTGAGAAAGGTGTCCTTCTGCTCCCGATCGGAAGGTGTGGTTACACCAAACAGCGAAAACGAAGGCGGTCTCTGAGTTGCCAAATTCAGTTGCCTGACGTCCGAATCTCACACTGACTGGGCAGACCCTTGGCTGCTTACCGTGTGCTTATTATGGTGTTGGCGGGGCTCTGAGGTGATTTTGATTGGAGCCGGTAGGCTGGTGGTGTTTGTCCGTTGACATGCAGAAAGGCGTTGCTGGTGATTGGTCATTAAAGGTTAAAGGCAAATGCTAGGAAAAGCGCTTGGATAATTGGACGTTGGACATACGTCGAGCGTTCGAAACGGGAAGGAGGAAGTTGAGACTACTCTGACATGACGGCTGCTTATGGACAATGACCTCACAAATTGGGTGCGCCTAAACATTCAGGCCCGCTTCTATAAATGTTATATTCGACTATCAGTAACTACGCCTATTCCACTTTCCTCGACAGCTAGCCCATCCGAGCGCAGACGTCTCCTTTCGTTTCTTCAATTGCTCTTGCTAGAATTCGGATTCTATTCTTATCATCCATGATACACCCCCGGGCAAAAATCATTTATCTTGTCCCAGGATAAACTTATTTCAGCCCCATCCCGGTGCGCATCTACCAACTCCTCAAAGCGAGTGCGAATCAAATCGATTGATACCCCATCGAGCTGCGTCGCATCTGCGATAACAGTAAGGCTGTGTCGGGCTCATATTCCCTCGTGAATCGCGGGATCTCCGCCAGTACTTGTATATTCTGCTGATTCTGCTGCTTCTGCAAAGAATGATTTTTCTAATGCAGCCTTCGAGATACTTGATCTCCTTGGAAACATATACGTCAGATTCAGAGGAGTAGGTAGTACGATAAATAAAATGTCCCCAGCTCGGGTGGACTTTGAGGCTGTGAAACAGCTCCCATGTGGGATCAGGAGGGCGAACCATATCGTGAGAGATGAGCACCAAGCATGAAATTGGGCAAATCAAGGGTTGAGAGCACCAAATAATCTGAATATAGGAAGCGTTAGAGCCAGGAAAGTGGCTGGGAGAGAGTAAGCCAGTCTGTTGCGCGCTTTTGCAGGTTTCAGGCAGGAGCGAGGCTGTTCGTTCAGAGTCTAACGGGGCAAACGATGAACAAAGAACATCTGTCTACACAGAATTGATTAGCGTTTGACGGGGAAAATAATCATGTCGCTTCGTCTGGATTGGCCTAGCGAAGAGTTGCTAATCTCAGTATCTTGGTATCCTGGCGACTATCTAACCGGAGCAAATTCAATCTTGTCATCATCCACTCTGATTCTGTTTATAGCAAATCTCTAGGGATTGGATCAACCACCAAGGCACACGCTCCTTTCTCCACTCAAGCGCAAAATTGCTGCCCTGATGCTTGTAGTCCAAGCAGGCCTTTCGAAAAACGCAGTGTTGGACAGTGACCCTTTTCTTCAGAAGCAACGTTTTCCCGCAAATTCACCTGAAATGACACATCCTGAGCGACATACCCTTCAATAAATCTTTCAAAGAGCCCGAAGACTGAAGGTCACTTTACACACCGACAATCTACCCTTTCGTCACAAGTAGAATTGTGGTCAGACTCACCCTCGGGCTCCCCGTGAGTCCTCACACGACGCATGATTAGCCAAAAGTCCAAGCTGAGAACGAACACAAGACCGGAGGTTGCACAATCTGGCCGGTTTCTCGCCATAATAAGCGGCCCCAGTTGCCGCTGAACACTCAGACCATGCTGAATCCTCCTCCTAGGATGGCTGCGGGTGCTACACTCTGCCCCAGACCGCTGGTAACGGGATCTAGAGTGTTGAGCTGTCTCTCGCTGTATGGATTATCCTGAAGCAGAGATCTTAGGTTTTTTTCTCTGTGGAACAAATGTAGTATCGTCGATTCGTGGGTGAAAAGCATGGTATTCTCTTCCAGAGCCTTGTTCAGGAAAGACGCTGAGCTAGCTGAGTCTGGTGAAGTGGCATGTTTCTTGGTATCACACAGCTTAGAGTTCATTAGACAAAGTTCTTGGAGGAATATCGTACTGTAAGCCTCATTTGACGGATTTTCTCGACACTGCCCCATTACTTTCAGACCGAGTCTTCAGCAGTCCCGGAATCCGTTGCACAGCTACGTGTGACGGTGGGATTGAAAGCACCTTTCCATCTCCTCCTCTCTACTAGAGTCATTCTTCCGGTAGCCCCGGCTCTATGAGTCTTGAAATATCGGTGTGACCCATGCGGGCTTACTAGTCTGCGATGCAATTCATCCAAATAGCCTCTGAAATCTCATGCAAGATCCAGTGCCTTGGACGTTAGAAAGGAACAACCCCAAGAAGTAAGGCCATATCCCAGTCATTATGAGAGTGAAGAAAGTCGCCGAGCCTCGAGATGGCGACCAGGCATCAGACCAGAAACAAGATCCCCTGGAGAGACGGCGGCTGCAGAACCGCCTCTCGCAAAGAAACCACCGTAAGAGGATTTCCCCCAGTGCTTCAAAGTACACTATAAACTTATCATAACAGGCCGCAAGATTAGAGATCGCATCGCCAAGCTCCAAGAACGGGTCATCGCCAACGAACTCCGAGCAGCTTCCTCGCTGAACGGCTGGGATCAGCCTCACTCCCTACCGCCTCTACTTAGGAACCGACATGTATTTCAGCACGATAATGCATTGGGTCATGGCACTTTAGATACATCCATGTCTTCGACACAGTCTTTCTCCACGTTTGGCTCTCCCTGTGGCTTCTCGATGGCATCGTCCTGGCCCGGAGCTGCAGCACAGTCATCTACTTTTCTCTCCGGAGACTCGACATGGCTTTGGAATATCGATACACCCCCAACGGACGCGGAATATTCGACCTCTACTGTTTATGATTTAATGGGCAATGGGTCAAATCAAATCCTCGTAGGGAATAATGAGGAGCAAACGTTGCCAGAAATATCAAGCACTGGTAGCCCACATTCTCCCGGGAGCTTCGCGACTCCAACCAACCAGCCATTATACTACGCTGTGACCGGTGAGCATTCTACAATACTGTATTCGCAGTCTCAATATATCCATCAACCATGCTAACTCTTATTCCCCCTTTCAGAAACTGCATTACCCCAAATCCTTCAAGTCCTCAGCAACGCATCTCCTCACTCCAAGATCATCGTTCTCGTCTCACCAGACTGGGTATCGACTGGAGTTGAAAATACTGTTCCAACATCCTCTATTGCAGAGAACAATAGTTTGCAAGAACTTTCACAGCCACTAGGTAGTTCGCAAAGCATCATGTGTCAGCACCAGTCTCATATTACAGGGCCTACAATGAACACATCGGATGCTAGGACATGGTCAAATCCAGCGACCTGGAGCCCCTGGGGATGCCCATCGAAGACAAATAACACCATTGGCGGAACCTCGTCAAGTGCGTGGATATGACGGATGGTATTCCCAGTGAACTTGGCTGGTCGCTTGTTCAGAGTCATGGCATTGGATACCATCGATGTTGAAGAGAGACGAGTCGACGGGATATATGATAAAGGGTAAAGGTAGTGCGGTACACGGTGGGAAGGCCTGGTTTATTTGACGAGTGCACGCGGTTTGTCTCGACGAGTGTCAAGTAACATATGGAGGAGAATCAGCTGTGAAAAACAATATAGTTCATTATTATTTGCTTCAAGTCAATTGTACATGGCTATTCAACAATGCTCTTATGTTCGCATAAACATTAAGATGTGATAGAGATTAGCTTGTGAATTTCCCAAAACACAATCACTCTCGTTCGGCAGTCTGAGCCTCAGTCCATTCCCACAGTCCCCGGGCAACATCAGCGTCCTGAACGAACGCTGTCCCCTTACTGCGATACCCAACGGGGGTATAATAAGCCCCATTTACCAAATTCTCTCTCGCAGTGCCCGCAGCCCAGAGAGAATTGAATGCTCCGCTAGAAATATTGCGGAAGAAACAAGACGCAGTCAGACCGAGGGACTGTTTCATGATGGCACTGATCGATTTCGCATGCGCGTAGAGATCACTGTTCACCGCACCGGGGTGCACAGCGACAGAAAGCAGCTCCGGATGTCGTCGAGCAAGCTCCGAGGCAAAGAGAATATTAGCTGCCTTTGACGCTCCGTATCGAACCCAGGTGCTGCCAGCCAAAAGCTCGGGCGTGGACGTCATTCCCTCCAGCGTGTTGGGGCTCGTCACATGTGCCACGGAGGACACGGTTATGACGCGCACGTCGGGTGTTGTCCGGCATGCCTGGAGATCGGCGACAGTCTTCGTCAACGTGGGCAAGAGCAGCTTGGTAAGTAAGAAATGGCCGACATGGTTGGTACCAAATTGAATCTCAAAGCCATCTTCTGTCTTGACGGGCGGATTGCCCATTGTACCTGCATTTAGAATGAGGATATCTAGGCGGTCGCTATCAGCTTGGAACTTGGCTGCTGCCGCGCGAATCGACTTGAAGGAGCATAGGTCCAGTGGTATGTGTCGGATGTCAACTGGGGACGGTAGCTGCTGCTGAATGGAGGTGATGGCTTGTTGTGCTTTGGATTCTGTGCGCGCGGCGAGGTATATCCGTGCTGGGCGGTGCTTTGCGAGTTGGAGGACCGTCTCTCGGCCAATGCCTGCATTGCCTGTGAGATACGAATGTTGACATTAGCCCAGCTGCTCCAAAGAAGATCAAGGTATGGGTTAGATCGGTACCGCCAGTCACGAATATTGTCTTCCCCTCAATTCCAGAAATATCGCGCTCTGGATTGAATGACGAGCCTAACAATCCGAACGTTGCCTCGCTCAGGGTCGGCCCAAAGCTCGACAAGCCCTCCAGAGGGTGTCGTAGCGCGTAACTAACGAAGCTACCACCGGCAACGACGTCCTGAAACTCCATTGTTGATTGAAGATGTCACCAGGGAACTGCCAGAGGCCGCGCTGGATGTTTTGTGGCCATCGTGGAGAGCTCGCTGGGGAATGAGGGGCCGAGGACGAAGGAGAGTTTCCACTAGTGGGCCAGGCATGTGGGCGCTCCCGATCTGTCCATGGGGGAATAAGATAGGAGGGATTTCGGTGAAAGACAGTCACTTTGTTCGAGGATTTGAATCTGTCGATAGATTCGGGGATCAGCGTAAGGATACATGATGTGTACATTCACATCGATGCCTTGAGGTGCATCTAGAGTTTCAGGCCTGGGAAAGCTTAAGGGGAGGGCTGACGGGCGGCCGCATACTGGACATTAAATACGGAGGACATACTCCGTATTCCAGTGTCTAGTGGTCCAGGACATTTTTTTGGAAATCGGTTATACTTTCAGAAATGCACCTATATCGCATGTCACCTTACTTTTTTCAGGATCTTAATTTTATACTACAGTGTGTCGACTTCCTGTCCTTAGATCAAGATGCTCTAGTCTAGTTTGTGAATTTTTCCCGAGTACCCCTGTCAATTGGACGTGCGTTATTTTTTCCTGATATTTACAGTCATGTATTAACTCGTGTATTCAATACATTCGACACCTCCGTACCCCTTCTCCGTAAAAGCTATCGTCAATCCAAGGTAGGCGGTTCAGTGAATAATCTGCGCTAAGACCTTGGCGATGGGGCCGGGAAAGAGTCTCTCTGTGTATGTTGGTCAAGGCGATTTTGAGAAAGCCTGTACAGTAATTCTCGAAATTACAGTAGCATGGCCAACAGACACCGGGAGAGTTCAAGGCCCCGCCGCCAAGCGCAGGTCATTTATTGAGCGGCTCCTCTCACGCTGAGGGCAAAGTCAAATGCGCTGGTTATGCCACGTCACCCATATAGCTTAATATTGCACCCTACCTCCAGTAGCAAAACTAGAAGAACAAGCCTGCGATTAAGTTTACTTCCACTCTAGCTTTGCTTCCATCCACTTTCCATTGGCTGGCCCCATGACAATGACATAAAAACCAGCGCCATTATGTGCATATCCATTTAAGTCTGGCGCATCGACCATTCTCACCCACGGCAGATTCTCTCCTTCTATCACGGGCGTTGTCACGTGCGTCGATTCGATGTTTTCAATCAGTTCCGTCTTATGATGCAGCATCGCAATCATTTGTGGGACTGTCGTGATGACCCTGCTGGATCGTGTCTCATCGTCTATGCTGAGTGCATCTTTCAAGGCGTCACCAATCGAATCATCTCTGTTGTGGTTGTCGATTGTCCTCAGATCCGGTTTGAGGACTGGTAGCTTTCTCATTTTGATCTTAATCTGCTCTGTTACCTCCCAGATCTTATGATGAGGCATCGTCAGCATCGTCTTGCTTCCCCCTTTAATACCCTCAGCCATCTTCTTCAGTATAATCTTGGGAACTTCTCTCATCGCTGCCTTTGGTCGGATCGTTTTCGGCGTCCCGTCATCTCCCTTCGTCAATTCAAAGACTGTAATAGTCCCATATTTGCTGTCTCCATAAGTAATTGAAGTTAAGCGCCTGTCAGAGCCATTGAATTTCGATGAGTCGAATAATTCGATATCCAGTTTCTCAAGACGCTGCCTGTCGACGTGGCCATCTCCATCACCCAAAGGTAGGAGGATTATACGCGGTAACGACCGGTAGAAGGCCAACAAGTCTTCTTTGTGTAACCAGTTTCGAATAAGTTTCGCGAAGCCTTCTAGCCCGATGTTGAAACCTCCCGCCTCAACGTTCACTTTGACGGACTCGTAGAGCGCTAGCGTGACGAGGTGCTTGTTTTCCAGGATATCTTGTTTTGCGTCAAGCTGATGGTCCTTGTATGTTGCCCAGTCGAAAAACTTTTCCGGTGAATCGGGGGGTTGCACCACGGGCGTATCGTTGACGGCCAGACTATGGTCATTGCGCGCATCGCCACCTGAAAGTGACCGTTCGTTGCTCCTCGGTGGGAGGCCTTCGGTTGAATGACTACCCTCGACAGGCGCGGAAGTGGGAAGACGGTCCTCTTGTCCGGAATCATTGGCTGGACTATTTCCGGGGCCTCCCTCTTTATCTTCCAACGCCAGTACGTCGAGGATTTCCGAGGCAGTTCGTTGCCGGAGTTGCGGGTTATTTCGAAGCCTACGAATTTGCTCCATGATTTCCACTTTAGTCCTTTCATCTTTCAAAGACGGAACCATGGCTTCTTCAAGCAGCTCGGGCAGGCCTGTATCATCGGTCATCGGATTACCAGCATCATTGAAATCAGTGTCCACGTCATCTTCTCCCAAAAGGGACCCGACTGAGCTGAGAAATTCCTGAGCACTTCTCTGCCGAAGTTGTATGTTGCTTCGAAGGTGCTCAAACTGCTCAATGACATCATCCTCGAAGACCACATCGTCGAGGAAGGTAGAAAACGCCTTTCGCAATGGACGAGGAAGCTCACGGAGGCCAATCCGTATATCAGCTTGAATGTTCCTCAAGGTCGAGGTCTTCTTCAACACGGAGCGAGGATGCTCTCGGGGTTCGAACATAGTTGGGCCATGAACGGTGGCTGGGCCATAAACAGTGGCCTCGCCGTACACAGTGGCCTCGCCATATACAGTGGCCTCGCCATACACAGTGGCTGGGCCATACACAGTGGCTGGGCCATAAACAGTGGCTGAACCATGAACAGTGGCATGCACTGTACCCTGGGCACGAATCTCAACATTACCCGACGCGGGCATATTGGCTTCATGACATTGGTTAATAAATTATCATACTCAAATGTATTGGATTTTCGCACCTGTGTGTGGGTTTTTCAAGGTTTCGAAGGAGACCTTCTTCGAGGGTTCAGGGTTGATAGGCTGCGAGCCTTTATTGTCGACGACTTTGATGTTACCTTCAACTTCTGGACCACGTCGGGAAGGATTTGCAGGAGTGATATTTTCCATACTGAGGGAGGGTATGTCTATGTCCTTATATCAAGTTTTTGTTAAGACGTGGCAGAGATCTGAAAATGGTTCAGCTCAATTAGCAAGCGAAACTCGAGCCTTTTCAAAAGAAAAGAATCCTGACATTAATAGATACACACCTTGGATTGAAAGAAGTGAGGGGCAAGTTCTGGTAACATAGGTGAGTTTTTCATAGTTAGGGGTTGGAATGACAGCATATAAGGGTTGGTGAGGGGTTTCAAATTCGCACGAGGGGGTGGTGTGGCTTTGTTGATAGGCCACCATTTCTTCGATTCAGCCTTGAGAACAGCCTTGACTCTGCAGGGGCTGTCATCTAGCCTCACTCTTCAGCCACGGCCTTCCGTCGTAGAAGATTACTAGCTTCCTCTACTTCTTCCCAAACTGATCTCGGCGGTTGGGTCCGATCCTTCTTTGTATCCTTGACCACAAATCAAGTGTTCAATCTACCCCTCCACTCGAGTCTGATCTTAGATCCGGCCCAGATTGTTCATCCATGCACTTCCATCTGCATGCTCAACCGCAGGATCAAAACTCTGCTCGTCGGGCGGATATTGATGTGAGAAAGGTGGAGACTCACCAGCTACGTTCGCAGGATTAGGTGAAGGACAGATCACTGATGGCGTTCACTCACGGTCTGGGTAAGCAGGAGTGGGGGCATACGAGGGAGCTCGTTCCCATAGATTAGGTAGTTCAGCTCGGTAAGCATCGTCATTAAAGGCGTGTACATAAGTCATCCCGCAACAGCAGAAAAGGCCACCGGGGAGCTCTCAATATGTTTGTATTAGCTGCCACCAAGTTGGTCAAGAGCGTCATGTTGAGAGAGCTGTGGCTGACAGGCTAAGTATTATGATAGGTAAGCAAGTAATGCAGTCACTATTTGCAATGTCTGGCGCGGAGAAACCCCCCAAAGGACTGTCACTTGGACATGGGAGTGGCAGAGAGAGGTTGACAGCTCGCCCAGTTCTCGCGCTTGACTTGTTTGCATGGCGTAGAAAATTCTAGTTCATTTCGATGGCCAATGCAGTTTCGAAACATATCATGATATTTGAACAAGGGAAGATCTTTGTACGGAGTACTTGTACTCATATTGATACAGGAATATTGATATTCCGGGATTATTCCTAATACAGACTGGTGTCTTTTGGTGGTGGGGCTAGAGAATCTCTGAGAGTCTCTAAGTCAATCCTCCTCCTCTTCTGTCCTCTGACGAGTCTCTTTAGAGACCTTCCCTCACGTGATCGCGGTCTGGGCCGGCAGAACTCCCCCAAACGGGAAAGAAATCTCCGCGCTGGCAGTCTGGCACACCTGCGAGCCTGCGAGCCTGCGAACGGCCTAGGAAATTCCTCCGACCCGACCGACGGCTTGAGGCAATTCGAACTAAGAAGAGGCTGAACGGGGATGATATTTCCACGCGGTAGCCTTGGCACTGGGGCAACCTTTCGGTTTTAGGGCCTTTCGGTCTAGCGTGCCTGACCTGACCCTCTTCCATCAGTCCCCTCCACTTTTGGGGTGACCGTTTCAAACGGAAACCTTGTGCTTAGCAATTCGATTTGTTCGAATGTGTTTGAGCTTTCTCCTCGGGAGCCTCCCTGGCGATCTCATCATCCAAGATTTGGGTACCCCTCCACTCTTGCCCCTTCTCCTTTGCGTTCCCCTCTGTCGATCTCTTCCCAACGGCCAGGTCATTGGGCCTTTGACGGGCTGGCTACCCAAAACAGCCATCAAAAAGTGAGGAATCGAGGATATCTGGCTATGTGCCTTGCACCATCCGGTGATGGTCCGGATTCCATGCGACAAGCCTATCTTTACAACATCTTCTCTACGACGAGCCAGCGGAGCGCGTGGATCCGAGGCTGGTCGCATAAACCCGCACATGAATTTCCGTTGCCATCTCCCCAGATTGATGACAGGAGGTGGTGTGGTGGCTTGCTCACTAGCGGTGCGCGGGGACCACCTCCACTCCAGCCATATCCTTGTGCCTTGATCCTTTATGGCTTTGACAGTGATGACGGCGGGGAGACACGTCTCTGCTTATTGGTCTTCAAGCCGGATCGACTGGAGTATGGGGCTTTGGCTACCAACCAGTCGTAGATTATTGAGTAGCTTGGGTCGACGCGGAGGGTCCTCATTGAATAAGATGACACTGGTGAATGGCGATACGTGATCCGCCACGCGAGGATCCTTTACTTTAGAAGTGGTATCATAGATAGGCCCATTCTATAAATTGGAATGCACAGGTATAGATAGCCCAGGGCGTAGAAACGGCGAGAACCTACTTGACAAGACATTTGTCTGAAGACCCTCTCTACTTTCTGCTAGTGTGGATTTACCCCAAAGTCTCGAGGGCCGTCAGCCAGTCACAACCGCGCTGATTCCCCCCCTCTCGGCCGCGCGAAAGCCATAGTGGCCACTAGAACACAAATGGCCGCAAGAGCCAGTCCGGAACAGTTAGGAACACATCTGTTCGTTCGTTTATATTAGTACCAAGAGCAATATGCTTCTAGGAAGCAAGACGATTGGGTTGCGATGAACCTTCAAAGATGATCTAGACAATTCTTTTTGGTAGTGCCGTACACTCACTCGTCAACACATTTCAAGAGGACCGTCCCCGGAAGGATCGTCCCGTGAATCTGATTTATTGCCACACCCCTTTACAACGTTCCCCCAGAATTGATCGTCCGCTCCATCGTACTCGATTTCCAACAGTCAATCCAACCACCTCTTCCTTTCTAACTCTCCCCCTCTCTTCCTATTACTTCCGGTACTTTTTCTTCCTTTCCCCAGTTACCGTCTAGGATTGATCGCGTGGCTTGCCCGTTCGTGAGGCATAATTTACACCCCCCCTCCTCCTCACCCCATACTCCGTGCTCTTCCTATCCCAGCGTCCTTATTACATTATCACCGCACCGACCACCCATTACCACCAGTACCACCTTGAATCCACCGCCATCGCCTCCCATCCACTTCCTTTCCTTTCCTCCCCACCTCCGAGACTCTTCGACTATCCCTCGATCGAGTTCTCCCCGTGGAGGGACTGCGCGCAATGAGTACTACGATCGAATCTCATACCGAGACGCCCGCGCCCAACCAGCCGAGTCCGGCACCCAGCGCAACGGGTTCGACTGGAACATCCGGAATCACGGTGCGCAATGGACCTGGGGGTCACCCGCTCAGCTTTAGAAGGTGAGTGATAGTTCGAGTCCTTATGTGCATGTGTGTGCGTCGGTCGAATAATGCGACTATGGTTGCGCCAGCGGCAGCCTTGAGGGGGGAAGAAGGAAGAGGGGACCATCGACAGGGTTTTCACCCCCCATGGGCCCCCAAAGAGGTGCCCCGGGTTTATATTGCGAAAGAAACCAGTCTTTAAATATGCATGCTAACGTGATCGATCTAACTCTTAGACAACGTGCATCTCGCGCGTGCGAGGTACGGCCCTTTTGTTTCGAGGGGGAGACGCGATTTGGTGCGCTTGAGAGGGGGAAGCCTCGGCTGGTGGTGTGCCTCGGCCCTTTGGCCACGCAGCTCTTATCGCCAAGTCGAGCCTGCCCTCAATATGGCCATGAGCCCCATAATCCCCCACGATTGCCTTGAAAGTTATCACAATTGCTAACGATAAGGGTTTTATTTCGATCTAGACCTGTCACTCTCGCAAGGTAAGCTTTTTGCCCCGGTCGCACCCTCTTGTCACCTCGCTGTCGCTAATTCAACCACCGGATCAGGTCCGCTGTGACGCTGCTAGTCTAGGAGTTCCTTGCACCAACTGTGTCGCCTTCTCCATCGAATGCAAAATCCCAACTCCCAAACGGAAAAAGACCTCCAAGGCCAAGGATGAGAGTCGGTATGGCGACAGCCCACCACCTCACAACACTGCCTCGTCGCTGGTCGATGCGGCAGTGGCTCAGTTTCGTCCCGATAACCCCGACGACCCTCTCAACCAGGACTCTTCAGACCTAAAAACACGGGATTCGAGCTCGGAAGATCGGGAAGATGCATCCTTTGGATATCGCAAAGACCGGATGGCCAACCAGGGCATGCCCATCACCTCACTGACGGAGTCGGAGGCTGCTCAGCAGGCCTCCACCGAAAATGCCTATGCTCAATTCATGAAGCCAAAGTTCGCTCGTGCTCCGATTAAAGAGGCTGGCCGCGTGGCATATCTGGGCGAATCATCCAATCTGTCCCTCTTGGTCCAAGATCGCCATGGCACCACCGACGTCGTGCACTACCCTCTGCCTCCGAACATCCGTGGCTCACGAGCACAGTTGACCGACCTGGACAATCTCGAAATTGATATACTCCACCAGCGCGGTGCCTTCTTGCTGCCTCCGAAGCCTCTGTGCGATGAACTGGTCGACGCCTACTTCAAATGGGTTGCCCCCATCGTTCCCATCATCAACCGCAGTCGCTTCATGCGTCATTACCGCGATCCCAAGAACCCGCCGTCGCTCCTTCTGCTGCAGGCCATTCTACTAGCTGGTTCTCGGGTGTGCACGAACCCGCAACTCATGGATGCGAACGGTTCGACGACCCCGGCGGCAATGACCTTCTACAAGCGGGCCAAGGCGCTCTATGATGCCAACTACGAAGACGATCGGGTGACCATCGTTCAAGCGTTGGTTCTTCTCGGTTGGTATTGGGAGGGGCCTGAAGGTGAGTCTCAGCCACCAAGATATGCGTTTGATCTTGCTCTCTAACAGATTGACAAAGATGTCACGAAGAACGTCTTCTACTGGACTCGGGTCGCGATGGTCGTTGCCCAGGGTTCGGGTATGCATCGCAGGTATGATGAGCCATTTTCGTCAACCCTCTGATCTATGTCTAACAAGACGACAGTGTCGAGACCTCACAACTCAACAAACCTGATAAGCGACTATGGAAACGAATCTGGTGGACGCTCTTCACTCGTGACCGCTCAGTTGCCGTAGCGCTGGGACGCCCGATTGGCATCAATACCGATGATTCCGACGTCGAGATGTTGACCGAGGACGACTTCATCGAGGATGAGCTGGATAGTCCGGCGGAATACCCACCTGAGCCAGTGCACGTCCAGTTCTTCCTGCAATACGTCAAACTCTGCGAGATTATGGGTCTCGTGTTGTCTCAACAATACTCCGTCGCTTCAAAGTCACGGCGCATGAATGCCATGGACCTCACACACTCTGACATGGCCTTGGCTGACTGGCTGCAGAACTGCCCGAAGGAAGTCTGCTGGCAGCGATCCCGCCACCACTTTTGGGCGGCTCTCCTCCATTCCAACTACTAGTGAGTCTTTCCGGTATTAAGCACTCATACAGCAGTCAGGACTGACAACTAAATAGTACCACACTCTGTCTGTTACATCGAGCCCACATGCCGCCTGCCTCCTCGGCACCCAATAGTTACCGAGTAGAAGAGATGGCTTATCCATCACGCACAATTGCCTTCCAGGCCGCCGGCATGATGACATCCATTATCGAGGGCCTTCAGGCCCACAATGAGATTCGCTACACCCCTGCATTCATGTATGCTGACCTTGAACTCTGGGATTCCCCTCTATCGCTCATCAGGATACAGTACTGACAGCTACCTACAGTGTATACAGCTTGTTCTCCGCTTTGATCATGCACGTCTACCAGATGCGTTCGTCCGTCCCCTCCATTGTCGCGACCTGTCAAGAACGCATCAACGTGTGTATGTCCGCCCTTAAGGATGTCTCCAAGGTTTGGCTTGTGGCCAAGATGGTCAACACTTTATTCGAATCCATTCTGGGCAACAAGGTGCTCGAAGAACGACTTCAGAAAGCTGCTGGAAAGCGACACCAACGTCGACCCCATGACACCGCTGCCCCTGCAAAGGCTCCAAAGCCAGAGCCTCCTAAGCGGAAGTTCGATGACATGGATTTGGGTCTGCCTAACGGTGGCCCCACGCCCCCGGTCTCGTACGAACGGTCACGCCCACAGACTCCTGCCGTGACGCCGTCGCGTGAGTTGCATCAGCCGTCTCTCGGTCACGTATCACCCAACCATCGTCAAGATCCCATTGTAGGACCTGCCAACTCACGAGGAAATACTCGACCCACCACCCCCTTCAACGCGCAGTTCTCTTTGCCTGCCACGCCGCCCGACTTCTTCCTGGTGACCCGTAACTCTCCCAACCTTTCACCATCGCTGTGGGAGAATTTCCAACCGGACCAGCTGTTCCCCGACGGCACGGCCATCTTCCCCGAGCTGACCTCACCACCTCCTCCTGGGACGGTTGATCCCCAATTGCACATCCCATCTCAAATGCACCCTGCTAATATGGGTCAGCGGCCCATGATGGGAACTCCACAGCAGCCGGTACCTGGGCGCAGCATGTCTGTTTCCCAAGGCAGCCCACAGATGATGTCGGGCGTACCAGGGGCCATGCCAATGGGACCTGGGGGACCTCAGCAGATGTTTGGCATGGAAGGTCAGCCGTGGCCCATGCAGGGACTGGATGGGACTATGAGCGGAGCGGCGCTGGACGCTGCCAGCCAGGACGACAACTGGAGTAGCAGCTCGCGCAGCGGGCCGACTGCGCCAACGACCTTGAACGTGGAAGACTGGTAAGTTCTATCTCTGGCTTTGTGTGCTTATCTAGGCGAGCATAGCTAACTGATCTGATCTAACGTAGGTTCCAATTCTTTGGCATTAACGGGGGCTTTGGCGATCTGGCGGCATAAAAGGATCCGGTCCCGGCGGCGCAATGTCTTATCCTAATGTAATGCAAGTGTGATTCTGGGTGTATTGTTATGTAGTATGTTCTTATCTTTTTTACCGGAGTTCAATTGCTCTACGTGAGGGCGTTGAGATGGCAATGGATGGTACTGTCTTGGGTAGGACATGGTGATTCCTGTACCTGATATATTTGGGCCTGATAGCCATCAGGGAAATGATATATTACTCTGCACTGCTTACATTAATAATCAATTCCTTAAAAGAGAAATTATCGAGAGACAGTCATAAGAAGACTATAAATAACGTAAGGGTTCAACATTACTATAGCGGCATGGCCATGTATGGGCTTCCGCCTCCGCCTCGCGGCCCCACGCGGTCGGAGAGTCACCGGCGAGTCGCTTCGGGCGGCGTGACCGTCGGGTTGTACAGGATCCTGTCTGGTTTCTCTCTCTTTCCACTCTCGGGGGTACTTTCAGCCTGCGCAATCTTCCTCAATCCTTGTCTTGTTCACCCTCCTTCATCCTCCTTCTTTCCAGCTGTTGCGCCGTGTTTCATTCCTCTCCGCGCACCGTCATGGCTCAACCACACCCCGCGTCTACCACCACCCCGCTCTACTTGACAGGCAACAAAACTGGTCTGCAGGAGTTCCTGGATAAATTCGATGTCGGTTCCTCCAATGCAATTTCTATGAACTGGCTGATGGACTGACACATTCGTCTTCTACCAGGTCTTCCTATTCGACTGCGATGGTCCGTAGATATCCCGAACCCTGCGATCTCGGCCTTCCCTCCGCGAAGTTGCGCCGCATTTGAAATTACTCTCCGCGACAACAATCTCCTAGCGCTAACATTGACTCTAGGTGTCCTATGGTCTGGAGACCACTGCTTCCCTGGGACAGTCGAGACCCTAGAATTGCTACGAAAGAATGGTGCGCAATTCCCACGAGCGCTGCAACAAGGAATGGAGGATCTCACTCTCGTCTAGGCAAGCAGGTCGTTTTCGTCACGAATAACAGCACCAAGTCGCGCGCCGATTACCGAAAAAAGCTAGAGGCTCTGGGAATCCCAAGCACTGTGGTCAGTGAACACCAACCCAGAAGCAAGAGCAAAAGCAGGAAGGCCGGAGTGACTAACACCCGAACAGGAAGAGATATTCTCGTCTTCATACAGTTCCTCGATATACATTTCCCGCATCCTGCAACTCCCCGAAAACAAGCGTAAAGTCTATGTGATCGGTGAATCCGGCATTGAACAAGAACTGCGCTCCGAGAACATCCCCTTTATCGGCGGCACAGACCCAGCATACCGTCGTGATATCGAGCCCGAAGACTACAAGCGCGTCGCGGCAGGCGATCCCTCCCTTTTGGACCCCGAAGTCGGCGTCGTTCTCGTCGGATTGGACTTTCATCTGAACTATCTCAAGCTCGCCCTGGCATACCAATACGTGAAGCGCGGTGCTATCTTCCTCGCGACGAACATTGATTCCACGCTGCCTAATTCCGGAACTCTCTTCCCTGGCGCTGGATCTATGAGTGCACCTCTCATCATGATGCTTGGAAAGGATCCCGTGGCACTTGGAAAACCCAGCCAAGCGATGATGGATGCGATTGAGGGTAAATTCAAGTTTGATCGCAGCCGCGCCTGTATGGTGGGTGATCGGGCCAACACCGATATCCGCTTTGGCTTGGAGGGTAAACTCGGTGGGACGCTGGGCGTTCTCACGGGCGTGAGTTCCAAGGAGGACTTTGTTGCCGGTCCTGTTCGTCCTCTGGCATTCCTGGATAAACTCTCGGATTTGCTCGCCGTGGAGCAGCAGTAAGGACTGTCTGCGTCTAGAACGCTGTTTTGGATGGACTCTGTAGATAGCATTGTGATATAGACATACACGAGTGACAATCGGACATGTGATATTTAGAGTTACACGAGGAGAAGGAAATGCATGGAAGAAAACCTATCAAGTATTGTTTTGAAGCCGTCGGCAAGAATTACTCAATGGAGATGAAACTCGAGCTTGTAATCGGCGAGATTGACTTTTCTTTTTACCAAGTATAGTGACAAAGCTATGCGGCCAGGCCCAGGCTAAATGCTTCGGTGACTCTCTATCGTTCGTAACGATATTGGCTAGAATGAATGATGGCCCTGAAACCAGAACAGAGTGGGCAGGCTCGGATACTGAGATCGCCGGCAAATATCCGAAGTGATACTTTTCGGTCCGAGTCAATGAAATACTGTAGATTAATGTTAGTTGCCGCATGGTTCGATCGGACCATCTGGCGAACAAGAGACCATCAATGAAACAACCCTCGTTTCAAGCCGCTGACCAACGCTCACACCAACGTATCAGACCAATAGTCCAATCCAAACTTTCAGCCGCGAGCATCTCCGTTGATTACAGGTTACATCAAGACCTCCCAATCGATCGGGCCCTGCAGGGAACTGATCTATTGCAAAATACGATGCCCAACACCCTTCGGTCCATCTAGATCCTGTCATTCGTTCCCGGAAGCAACCGAACCCCTGCATGAGATGGTGGCCAAAGTTCAGCCACGAGGCTTCGGGTATCACGAGTCTAATGTAAGACTCGAATATAATCTGAATTGAGGAACCCGCCGAACCACTCGGGAAATGAAACCAAGTCAGACGCTATACGAGCCGCTCAGCCGGACATCCGAGGGAATGGGTCATTTCGGTTGAAGAATTTCTTGTATACATATACTTTGGTTTTCATGTTGGCCGTCTGATGCTCATGCTGGGCATGAGAAGAGCTCTGCGTGAATATCCTTATTAGCCATTCATGTGCGCCAGAGACGGTACTCGAGTCTTCCTGATGGATGCTCTGCTGATCAGCTTCTTACTATGTCTGGTATCACGAGCCTGGGCTATGCCCATGGCGTTAACGGAGGACAACGCTTCCTCTACGGAGACAGCATTATATCAAACGAGCAGACTAGCCCGATCTGCTCTTGACTTGACACTCTACGGTCTCGAGAATCGTATTCTGAACCATGACCGTGAAAGTTGCACCTTGGGAACCCTCCGAGTTCGTCGAGACTGGAGGGCTCTTTCTAACGGTGAAAGAAGGGCTTATATCGATGCAATATTATGTCTACAGCAACTACCTCCTCAGACACCTGCTGCGCTTGCGGGCGGAGCTAAAACAAGATACGATGACTTTTTGGCTACGCATATCAATCAGACTTGGCACATTCACCGAACGGTAAGTGCTGTCAACTCTAGGTGCTAGGTTCATCAGTCATGTTGATGATTCATAGGGCACATTCCTAGCATGGCATCGCTATTTCATCTACACCTTTGAAGAGGCTCTTCGTAACGAATGTGGCTACACCGGTGATCTCCCGTAAGTCTTCCTTTGCTCATCTATTTCCACAGTTTAATTACAATCGACTAACAACCTCCTCCTCCAGCTACTGGAACTGGGGTTCCGACGTAGACTCCATGGAAGAATCCCCTCTCTTCGACGGAAGCGACACATCTCTCTCCGGCAACGGCGAATTCATCCCCAATCAGCCGGATCTCTCAATTCCCCTAGGAAACACCGACATCCCACCCCTCATCCTCCCAACGGGTACAGGAGGAGGCTGCGTGACCAGCGGGCCCTTTGTAAACTACACGGTCAACATGGGCCCCTCATTCCTCTACGTACCGGGAGGTAATGTATCTCGAATGTCAAACCCACTCGACTACAACCCGCGCTGCCTACGACGAGACCTCACAACCTCCATCCTCCACGATAACAACAACTACGCGACCGTCCTGGCATTACTCCAAAACAGCACTGATATCTGGGACTTTGAGACCAACATTCAAGGTGCCCCGGGCAGTGGACTCCTCGGTATCCACGGTGGCGGCCATCTAGCAATCGGTGGTGACCCTGGCCGTGACGCCGATGCTAACCCAGGGGATCCGGGGTTCTGGAATCATCATGCTATGATTGATCGTCTGTGGTGGATATGGCAGTACCGGGATTTGGAGAATCGGGAATTTGCAATCTCGGGGACGGGAACTTTTCTGAATGAGCCAGTTTCGCCTAATACTACGCTTGATACTCTGGTAGATGTGGGATATGTTAAACGGGGGTCGGTTGCGATGAGGAATCTCATGAGTACTACTGCGGGGCCTTTTTGTTACGTGTATTTGTGAAGGTTGGACTTGTTAGGTTGGAACTGGTTGGATTGGTCTTGTGATAGAGAGGAGTCGATTGTACAATTATTCTCGAAATCGGCTTGACCGATATATACTGAGAAACTCTTTCGAGGCCCCACCGCCGAGACCTTAGCGTAGATCATTTATTGAACAGGCCGCGCTAGAATGAGGGGAAGTTGCTTGATGGTCTGCTAGAACAACTCCTTTCTCTTTGTGAGGGGGTCTCTTTGGCGCAGAGAACGTCAACGAGCGACATCATCGGCAAACGACGGCAATCCTGGTCAGTTGTCGGTTGGTTGCTGTCTCAGTCATCTTAACTCCCCCTAAATCTGAAACCTAGATTGCCCCGAATCTAGATTCCATTCCCTGCGCGATCATCTTCCGATCATCTTCCAGCGCTTTCGAGGTCACGAGAGCGAAGATGAACGGCTCTCTTCTTCATCTCCTTCCTGCTGAATTGCTGCTCTCTGTCGCAAATTTTCTAGAGGGAGAAAGAGACATTAACTTCTTGGCTCAAACTAACAGTCGGTCTTATTCTCTCCTTAATCCGTACCTCTATCGCCAGAACTCGCTGGAATCTCAAAGTTCAGCCCTGCTGTGGGCAGCCCGACAAGGGAGTGAGGCGACGGCTCGAACCTGCCTTTCGGCAGGAGCGAATGTTGAGGCGACTGATCGCGCGGGCAGAACACCGCTATTTCTCGCTGCGTCGCATGGCCATGAGGCAGTTGTAAAGCTTTTATTGGAAATGAGAACCATAGATCTCAATTCAGGGGCACCGTATGGTTTCACGCCACTGTCTACAGCCGCGTCTAAAGGCCATGAGGCGGTAGTGAAACTGTTACTGGAGAGTGGGCGGGCCAATATCAACTCGAAGGACTCTTGTGGTGCGACGCCATTCTCCGGCGCTGCGTCAGAAGGCCATGAGGGGGTGGTGAGGCTGTTACTAGAGACAGGGAGGGTGGAAGTCGACTCGATAAAGGACCACGAGTGTTGCACACCATTCTTACGGGCGGCATCGAATGGCCACGAGGCGGTGGTCAGGCTCTTACTGGAGACTGGGAGGGTGGATATCGACTCAAAGGACTTCCATAGTCGCACACCACTTTTGTGGGCTGCATTAGGGGGCCACGAGGCGGTAGTGAAGCTGTTGCTAGAGACCAGAATGGTGGATATCGAGTCAAAGGACTCTTGGGGTCGCACGCCATTTTCCGGAGCTGCGTCGAATGGCCAAGAGGCGGTGATGAGGCTGCTAATGGATACGAGAAATGTGGATATCGACTCGAGGGACCTGGGGGGTTGTACGCCTTTGTCTGAGGCCGCATTGAATGGCCATGAGGTGGTGGTGAGGCTGTTGCTTGCGACTCGGCGGGTGGAAGTCGACTCGAAGGACACCGTCGATGTCACGTCTTTTAAGTAACGCTGCGCCAAAAGGTCATAAGGAGGTTGTGAGGATTTTACTGCAGACAGGGAGGGTGGATGTCAAGTCAAAAGACTTTTGGCGTTGCACCCCGTTGTCTAATGCTGCTGCGAGAGGCCATGAGGCAGTAGTGAGGCTGCTACTTGAGACGGGGAGGGTAGATGTCGACTCAAAGGACATCCATAGTCGCACGCCACTTTGGTGGGCTGCGTACAAGGGCCACGAGGCGGTAGTGAAGCTCTTACTGGAGACCGCGAGGGTAAACGTCGAGTCGAAGGACCTTGGGGGCTGCACGCCATTATCCACAGCAGCATCGCAGGGCCACGCGGCGGTGGTACGGCTGCTAATAGACATCGGAGAGGCCGATATCCACTCGAAAGACTTGGATAATCGCAAACCATTTTCTTGGGCTGTGTTGAATCGTCATGAGGCGGTGGTGAAGCTGTTGCATGAGAAAGGAACATTATAGGAGAATTCCTAGATAACTATCGGTCATACCATAATTTCGCTCCATGACTTCTCTCCTATGAGAAAGCCTCAGGTCCATATCACAGCAGGATGCAGCGCCTTAGGTAGAGAAAAATAATACGCGCTCAGCATTGTGGATTGAAAAGGTGCACTGCGCGTCCCTGTAGTATACTATCTTGCTGGATTCAATATACATATTTCTCTAGGTTTTGAGGTAAAAAGCCATTTCCTAACGGACCATGTGAAAAATATTTTAACAGGACCTCTATCGATCTTACTGAATAACAATCGTAATCGTGTACAGTCAAGGAATACCACATTGTGTAGGCTGAGAAGAAGAATCGAAGTCACCGAGCTAAGGAAGAAATTCCTCGGCGCTAGGGAGCGAACGAATGGTTGGTAAAGATCGACCATAGATTTCTAGTTTAGTACGTAATATGAAGTATCTCAGTTGAAGACACAATATTATACAGTGTGCATCTTACGATTGGCCCTCAATTTAAGACAGCCTGCTCAATAAATAATCTGCGCTAAGATCTTGGCGATACGGCCAGAAACGAGTTTCTGTGGAATGTATATATCGGTCAAGCCAATTTTGGAGAATGACTGTACTGTAGCTATGGAGTTGAGTTATATATATTTTTTTCCAATTGGTATCAGGTGCACCGGTGATTGCTCACACTTGCTTGGAATCCCGCGATAGTACTTTCGTGAATGATGAGTTGGATACGCAATTACCTCAATTTGCTTAGTAGCTGCTAGCGGTACACTCACTTTCACATAAAAGACTGGATTAATGAAGAAAGTGCCGTCCGACCATTGAGGAAACACGAGAGCAACTCGCCGACCCAACCTAACAAGCCAAGGCTTACCGTAGTATTCCCCCACTTCTCCAACAAATGAGTCAAGAAATCAACCCCAAGCGGGGGATTTTGATGTTTACCATCGTATCCACCCCAATTGGTCAGCCGAGGTGACAACGCCTTTCCCCGCTGATTCCAACCGTCATTCATCCTCCGAACGTCATTGTCAATTCTTCACTCCTTGTCCAGAAGAATCCCCAGCATCATGGAAGCAAAAGAAGCCCAGCGAGCATCGTTCCTGCTAGACGCCCAAAACAAAGCCATCGCGCTTTTCCAAGAAATTGAAAGGAGCCTAGTTCGTCCTGGCATCAGCGAAAAGGCATTAAGCGATGAAATCCACAAACTAGGCGCCGAACGCTACGGCGTCCGAACCCATTGGCACAAACGCGTCGTCCGAAGCGGAGAAAATACCCTTCGACCATATGCCGATAACCCTCCCGATCGAGTCATCCAAGAAGACGACATTCTCATCGTGGATCTGGGCCCCGTCTTCGAAGAATGGGAGGCCGATTTTGGGCGTACGTTCGTGCTGGGGGATGACCCGCACAAGAAAAGGCTGCGCGATGCGCTCCAGCCCATTTGGGAGATTGTCAAGAACAAATACCGTGAGAATCCTGATATGACGGGCGAGGAGTTATATGATATCTCTTGTGGTGTGGCGCGGGAGCATGGCTTCGAGTTTGGGGCTCATATTGCGGGGCATATCGTTGGGGATTTCCCGCATGAGCGTATTCCCAAGGATCAGAAGACGTTGTATATCACCAAGGGGAATGATAAGAGTATGAATTGTGTGGGGCCGGATGGGTTTAAGAGGCATTGGATTCTGGAAATTCATCTTCATGATCTTGCAAGACAATTTGGGGGATTCACGGAGCAACTTTTGACGGTGAACTAAACTCGACCGGGGGTGCTAGATGTATTCTGGAACCGTTAGATGTTTCGGCTCTGTGATTTCGGGAATTGAACCTATCAGATAGACTATCTTCGGCACGACTTGTAGATCCAAGATCCATGTAGCAATGATGTTTATCATGGGTTAACTGTTTGTATGTTTCGGTCAGGCAATAGTGCTTCGGCTGCAGATCTACATCATTTCAAAGTATATAGGGTGCGGTACCTGATATACAAAAGTCTAAAGTATAGCTAGAGTCGAAAGCTTAAACTTTACCTTCTAGGGCCATCGGTGTATCGGCATTGTCCATCACATCTAGACACGTGCCTTGAATATGAAACCAGAGCCAAAGGCCTCCGTCATCTGCAGAAGTGGCAGGGTTGCACTGACGGTCGGGCAAAGTGGTAGTGGGCACGGCACGTCTATACTCTTGCTTGAAACCTATATGTGACAACACAATCCATACTGACGACGGACACTCTGCATAGCGTACACGATTTTACTATCCTATTTAAATCTCATTGGATTAAATCTTATTGGAGAGTACCTTTTCGAAACTAAACCATCGTCATTCTCATTTTCTTCCCCCTTGACTCCCAAAATCCCACCCCCCTCCCACGCCGACTCCACTCTAACGGGACTACTTGGGCAGCCCCCCACGGCGATCCATTCCAATTATCCACGAAACACGACCGAAGCACTCGTCACTGGGTATGATGCCGGACACTGTTGACCGTGCTCGAGACCCTGGAGAATTTATCAGCATTGCAGTTGATCATCCCGGGTGATTTGTAAACCCTGTTAATGGTCAGTACTTTGTTGACTTGTCACTCCACTCTGGACATTCGCCGCGACTTCTACCTCTTCTCGCTGCCTCCCCTCCATAGCACGCTATCGCTGTACTATAGTATTTTCTATTCGCATCTGCGAATGAATTAGCTGCATATCTATATTCTTCGACTACTGGGTGCCCATCCCAGCCCACCACCACAATGCGCCTCACACACGCGCCCCTGTTGTCCCTCCTCGCTCTGACGAGCGCATCCCTACAACAAACGCCCCCCCGCGCATCCGCCCGCCTCTGGGCCACCCACTACAACGGCAATGTCTACTCGATCTTCTTCAATGGCCACGATCTGTCCCTCACAGACACGGTCAAGACCTGCGGCTCGATGCCGAGCTGGTTGACCTTTGATCCCGAGACGCGCACTGTTTACTGCTCTGACGAGGATGGCACGGCAGACCCCAGCACGAATGGCTCCTTGTGGGCTTACGATGCTGGGGAAGATGGGAAATTACATCAGACTGCGAAGACGAACACTGTTGGTGGCGGTGTGCATAGTGTTATCTATGAGGATGAGAACGGGGGGAAATATCTTGCCATTGCCCATTAGTAAGTCACCATTGTCTCGATTACCGAAGTTGTTCGCAAGCGCATCCGGATATTCCATTCTAATCTCAAACTAACAATTCCACAGCGAGGGCTCTGCAATCTCAACGTTTGGCCTCCCCTTGCGCGACAATGAGCCCGCCACCCAGGAGTTCCACTTCAACATGACCCACGAGGGTGCCGTCGCACAGCAGGACGCGCCTCACCCGCACGAGGTCTTCCTCGACCCAACCGGTTCCTTCGTTGTGAGCCCCGATCTGGGCGCTGACCTGCTGCGCGTATATTCCATCGACAGCGGATCCGGCCAGCTACAGCAATGCCCACCGGTCAACATCACATTCGGCAGCGGACCTCGCCATGGCGTCTTCTGGACGGATGGAACGAACAATGATACGTTTTCCACCGGTAGCCAGGATGGTCGGCCAGAGCACTCGCGCCAGGTTGCAGCCGTCGGTAAGACGATGATGTACCTCGCTAACGAGATCGGCGGCACGGTAGACGTGTTTGAAGTGGCCTATGCACGATCCGGATGTCTCTCTTTCGAAAAGACCCAGACGATGGTACCGTATTCGAACAGCACGATGCCCAAGGGCGCAACTCCGGCCGAGATCCGCTTGATCGGTGACGTGCTCTACGTCTCCATTCGCACGGATCAAGGGTTCGCCCCGAATGATAGTATCGTCACTCTCGACCGGTTGCCACGCGGTGGAGCCGTGATGCTCCGGAAGAAGACCTCTTCTTATGGCAAGGTGCCGCGGACGTTCACGATCAATCGCGCTGGTGATCTGGTTGCCATTGGGAACCAGGCCACGTCGACCATTTCCATTGTGCGCCGCGACCGGCAAACCGGTGACCTCGGCGAGGAGATTGCCGTGTTGCAAGTTGGCGAGCCCGGCAAGGTGGGCACTGCCGAAGGACTGAGCAGTGTGATTTGGGAGGAGTGATGCGGAGATAGACAGAAATGAAGGTGCAGAAATCTTGTCAATGGGTCTCATATCTACATACTTTTAAAACCTAGGGGGTGGTTTCGAATGAGGAACGGTGTGGGAGTTCATATCTTCATGTGCTATCGTCGTAGAGATGCGAGAGGTGACAATTGCCATCACATAAAATCGTCCAAAAAGTCTGCATCACGATCCTGGTTGCTGCTAGCCTCCACATTCTCCGCGCTAAACATGTCGTCGTACGCGTGGTCCTTCTGCCACTTGAGCTGTTCACGCTCACGCTTCTCCTGTTTATCCCTGGTTTGCTGCTGCTCTCGCAACTTGCGCTCATCGTGCCGCTTCTTCTTCAAGAATTCTTCCTTTTCAGCGCGGAGATCGGGGAATTTCTCGACGCGGGTCTTGTTCAAACGATTGACGATGGGGTTCTCGCGGACTCGGACGAGGACCTTCTTGACTAGCTTGGGGTTGTGGAAGGAGACCTGGCCCACAGCCATTGAACCGTCTTTTTGGAGGTTTGACCAGGGTGTGTAGATTATAGTGATGTTGTCCTTTTTGTTCCCTGCGCAATTGGTCAGACTTCCGTAACTTGTTGGCATATGCACGAGAGAATTGGAGACGGACCGTCGATCGAGTTCGCTTTCGTAAGTTGGGCGCAGTCTTCGAGGAGAGGTTCAGGAATATTTTCCCACGTCTCGCCGTCGCGGAGACGAAGATAGACGTGCGCACTCGATAGATTATCAACATGGAACTGTGAAGGTGGGTATCAGTAATTTGGACGTGCTTTTGTAAGACCAGGAGTATGAAGACCGACCCTATCGTATGGTATCGTTAGCCACGCAATCAATGACATTTAATAAAGTCGCATTTACCAGACATCGTGATCCAGTCCAAACTTGATCAAGTCCTCATCTGGCCAGAAGTGTTAGGAGCTCATCCTTTGAGGTATCCAGTCAATCGATATCATACTCTCAAACTTGTCCTTGCCGACGTAGATGAAGGCGGAGGGAGAGACCACGCTGGAGGTGAAATAGTAGACCATGATGGACCAGTGTAGATTGAGGTATCGAGAGGGCGAGTGTCCGGTGCTGGTCTCAGTGAATGCGCCAGCACTTTTTGATTTCTGGTGGGGTTCGTGATGGGTGAAAGATTTATGGCTTAGTCATCTCTGTAGGTCTGGCTGCATTCATAGTTGAGAATAGAGACATCGAGCATTTTATGTGCAATCTTCCAATCTACATAAATTTATTGAAACAATCTTATCTTGAACACTTGAATTGTTTGTTAGCTACATGACACCTAGATATGTCTGGCGAAGTATAGCAGAGTATAGGAGAGCCATGTCAAGCAGGCGGTCAGGTGCAATGACATCAACCCCATATCGAGGAGCATATCTTATCGCGCTTTTCTTTTCTGCCGACCTTCCTCCATCATACGTCTTCCACTCCTCCCCTTTGCGCCACCATGGAACCTGCTGAGAAACGCAAGCTCGATACCGAGGCGGATGGGGATGAGCCGTCCCTCAAGAAAAGGGTAATTGGCCCATCGTTGCCCCCTCCCCAGCCTTCAGACACTCCCGACGACCGCAAAACCGATTCACAATCCGACAGCGACGGCGATAGCGACGGCGATAGCGACAGCGACGATGACTTCGGACCCGGTCTACCACCCTCCCTCGGCGGCGCACAGCCAACTCAACAGACCACTGTCCACTCTACTCCCCATATATCACAGACCCAGAAAAAGGAGAACCAGCGCGACGAATGGATGCTAAAGCCACCCAGCTCGAGCGACTGGACCTCCAAGATTGATCCGACGCAGCTTCGCAATCGGAAATTCCAAACGGGAAAGTCTGCTCGAGCACCGGGCTCGAAGCAGGTGGATGCTACATGGGTTGAGACCCCGGAGGAGAGGATGCGACGACTACAGGATGAAGTGATGGGTGTTAATGCCCCGCCAAATCGCGCAGAGCAGCGTCCTTCAAATACGAAAGATGCGGTCCGAGCTAAGGAAATGGAAGAGAAAATTAAGAGATTCAACGTAGGTCGCGCAATAACAAGGAATTCTGCCAGCGGGCTGTCTCGAAATCTCATGTGCTAATCGAACGTACTCATAGGATCAATCAGGAAAGAACAAGCGACTCGAGAAAGAGCAATCTGCGAAGAAAGAGGAAGAAGATGATCCGAGTGCTCGAGCTTTTGATCGAGAAAAGGATATGGCTGTCGCGTCAAAGATTACAAGTGCGCAACGGCGGGAGATGGTGAGCAAAGCGAGCGATTACGGGTCGCGTTTCTCTAAAGGAAGCTATCTTTAAGACAGCCTGTGACGGATATCCCGTCACTTTCGACTTCTTTTGTCCGTGTGGAGGTTATGCTTGTGGAAGTGCCTATCGTTTGAGAGGCTCAACAATTGTATACCTAAGTCCTTGAGTGGTTACGACTTAAATATGAAGATACCATGCAAATATTCCTTGCGCATGAGCTAATTCATTTGCTTTCGATGAAAAATCCCTCCAGTAACGGCGGTACCATCTTAGACGTTATATACATGTCAGTAAAGCCCTACTACTTATGACCCTGATGGCGGTTGATGCCTGAAATCGAAGGCTGCAAGCTCTTATCTCCGCGACCAAACCCTGTCGACCAGCTCTCATCTTCCGATTCAAATTTCTGAACACTCATTCAGACCGCAGACCCTTCTGGCGAAGTTGACGAGCTGGGCAATTTGGGCAATTTGAAAAGCTAGGGATTTCAGCGGAAACCAGTTTGAATCAAGCCTCGACAAGGTCGGATCACATTCGTGATCTGGGCGCGTGAAACACACAAGAATGTCCCCCACACTGGCCCATTCGGACATTCATTCCTTGAAGAGGAACGAAGCGCTGGAGATTCTGACCCAGATTTCACGCGTTGAAAAAAAGACATTTCCAACCAATGAGGCATTCGCGTTCGGGGAAGAACTATGGAGGAAAAAGCCCAACACGCGAGTTGTATACTCCAACCGCGCCGAGGGTACTACACGAAAGGATCTCGTGGCCTACGCAGTGTACGTGCGCCAGAAGGGTGTAGCCCTCCTGCACAAGGTCTGCGTGATCGAAAATTATCGCCGTCAGGGTGTCGGTCACGAACTCATGTCCTACATTCAAGAGCGCCTGCGAAAGGAGGGCTGCCAGTACATCCAGCTATGGGTGGATCAGGCCAGGGAGCCTGCGCGAGCTTTGTATCGCCGGTGTGGATTCGAGGAGCGTGAAGTGATCCCTGATTACTACGCCCCTGGACGAACGGGTATCAGAATGGTCCTTGATTTAAAACGTGACGGTTGAAGCAAAAAGAAGCCTCCTGCGTCGATCCGACGGCCTCTTACCAGTATGAGCCGGGTCCTTTTGTCTTCCCCAAAGGGGTGTCAGCTTGCAGTTTAATTGGCCCCTTTCTTCGGAAAACCTACGAGGGGCTAGAAAGCATCCGCGTGAATGGGCATTGTCAATGCTCCTTAGCGTTCGAAGGAGCATGGACACCCCTTGCTTAGGGCCGGCGCCCCGGCAAAACGTGAGCCTCGATCTTAGCCCCGACGCGCTTGCTCTCTCTCATTCTCGGCTGTCACTCTGCTACATACTTCGGTGACGCTCAGCATATTCAGTCATGGCTTTTACTAGGCACGCCCTGAATAACTCCTTGTCCCTTTGGCACGGTGCCAGGGAGCGGAGTCCTGGAAGGAGATCATGGACTAGCCACCTCCTCATCTTGGACTTTCTCTCTCGTTCAGTTCACTCTAGTCCTTTCTACTCTCCAACCGTCCGATTGAGGCTTCGTGGTGTGTCGTTGTCGAACTTCAACCTCAATCCATCGTGGTCGTGCTAGCTGTGTTGTTCACAAGAAACACAGTCTCAGCACGTTATTCGGACTGAGTCGACCGACGATGGCCCTTTTCTTTGCCGTAACGCTGGCGTTGGCAGCCATAGTTCAAGCCGCAGCTTTAGCTGCTAATTACCCTGTCAATGCTCAACTACCACCCGTCGCACGGGTCTCTCAGCCCTTCAGATTTGTGTTTGCTGCCAGCACCTTTTCCAACACTGATTCCGATACCGAGTATTCACTCAAGAACGCGCCATCATGGCTCGAAGTCGATAGTGCCAGCCGTACCCTCTCGGGAACGCCAGATTCACAGGATAGCGGCTCGAAGACATTCAAACTCGTCGCGTCAAATGGTTCGGACTCTGACAGCATGGATGTTACTCTGATCGTCACCTCAGACCAAGGTCCGACAGTGGGTACATCTCTTGTATCGCAGCTGCAGACTGTGGGGCCTGTTTCGTATCCAGCAACATTATACATCCACCCTGGTCAGCCATTCTCCATCGAATTCGACCCGAGTACCTTTCACAACACGCACCCGTCGACGATCTACTACGGAACATCGCCCAATAACGCTCCACTGCCTTCCTGGATTGGCTTTGATCCGTCAACCCTCAGATTCGCCGGAAATACCCCGGCTTTCCCCGGATCTGGTCCTCAAGAGTTTACCTTTCAGCTGGTTGCCTCTGACGTCGCGGGCTTCAGTGCTGTGAATCAGACCTTTCAGCTCGCTATCGGGCCGCACATCCTAGCATTCAATGAGACCGTGCGAACTTATAACCTGACGAGAGGCGAGGCCTTCAATAGCCCTGGTTTCGAAAGCCTCGTTACCATGGACAGCTCGCCTATCGCTAGTAAAGACCTGATCGCCATTGAGGCAGAACTTCCCGACTGGTTGAGTCTCGACAAGCGTTCAATTTCTCTGATTGGCACTCCGCCGAAAACTGCCGTGAACCAGAACATTACGATCACTGTGACGGACACCTACCACGACGAGGCAAAGCTAATGGTTCGGCTAGAGTTCATGGAACTCTTCTTGAAGACCGTTCAAGGCTGCGAGGCGACCATTGGCGAAGACTTTTCATTCGTCTTCAACCAGTCAATTCTGACCGATGATTCTGTGCAACTTGACGTCGATCTCGGCGATGATCTTCCTTGGCTTACTTATACTTCTGCCAACAAGACGCTCGCCGGACACGTTCCGTTGGCAATTCAGCCACAAACATTCACTATCCATCTCAAAGCATCCCAGGGGTCAACTGAGAACCGACAGGACTTTGAAATCAATGTTATCGAGCCGTCAGACACGACTCCAGGTTCTGATCCCTCCGATCCTTCCAGCCCCTCCCACCAAAAGGCCGGAATCATTGCAATCTCTGTCATCATTCCCGTAGCTGTTATTCTGAGCTGTATCATCCTTTTCTGCTGCTGGCGTCGTCGGAGAAAGTCGCCGACGGTGGAAGATGGACAAAATCCATCGGAGAGCAAGGTGCCCCCACCACGTCCTGCACGGCCAGACCTCCCCAATTGCCAACCGGGTGCTACTGGCAGACCTTCGCAAGATGACAACTCTGATGACTGGATGAGTCCAATCTCACCTGCCTCCGACCTACCCAAGCTTGAGCTCGGTCCTACTTGGAATGTGGCAACATTCGAGAAGCCGGAAGCCAGCATGAGGGCGATTCCTGAGCCTAGCCCACCACCACGGTCCCCAAAGCGTAGAGAATTCGTCCCCTTGCGAGACCCTATCATCGAGGAGGGCAAACAGGTCTCGCCCACTAGAAAGCAAAAGCATCGCCTTTCGACCTCTGCTAGTCCTGGCGTACGCCGTCGAACTAGCAATCGTTCCCGCCGAGAGCCTCTGAAGACCATTCAACCACGAGCGATGAAGCGTGAATCTATCCAGTCATCCCGCTCGAAGCGATACTCAAGGCGTTCAAGTGGAATCTCAACTGTCGCCGCTGGCCTGCCAGTAAGAATGAGTGGCGCCGGACACGGTGCTGGTGGCTTCGGGCCTCCCGGACACGGCTTCGTGCGTATGTCATGGCAAAACACCAAAGCTTCATTTATGAGCGATGACGGCAACCTGGGAAATCTTGCCCCCTTATTCCCGCGACCTCCTCCTGCCGCTGCCTGTGCCAGATACAGTATTGCCGAGAGTATCCCTGAAAATTCCAAACGCGTTACCTTAAGGGCCGTCGAGCCAGACGAGTCGACCATCTCCGAAGCCGATTCCCTCGAGGCATTTGTCCACACCCGTGCCAAGCACCGCAACTCATCAAATCCCCTTTTCTCTGCTCAAATCAGCCGCCGCACATCTTCCGGACTCCGGGCCCTTGAACGAGCTCGCAGTCAGCGTAGCCGTGCCGATACTGTCTCCGTGTCTACCTTTAGCGATGAATACCGCCAGTCTATTCAGGGCCGTCCTTATTCCATGTCCGAATATGGTGACGAAAACCGGATATCCCAATACCAACCTCTCCAGCCACCACCGGGTTTGTTCCCGCTCGCCGAAGGTGGCGGCCATAGCCAGAGTCAGTTGAGTCTGGCACAGGACTACCGCGGAGTCATCTCTCCTCTTCCACGCTTCTGGAGTGAGAACAGTCTCAGCAGTGCTCGGCGTCTAGAATCAGGGTCTCACCCCAAACCACCTCAGCAACTACGGGCAGATACCGACTCGGGCGTCCCACATAGCTCTTCGATTGTGTCCGATCTTGAAGAACATCTTTCTCGGAAAGCTAGCCCTCAAAAAGCTGCTGCGGCAAGAGAGAATCAAGCATGGAATATGGGACTTGAACCTCCGCCACTGATCAAAAGTGCCAGCTCTCGTGGGCTCCCGGTTGCCAGTAGTGGCGAGCTAGCATTTGTCTGAATATTTGTTTTCTTCATCCGTGGTTGGTCTGTTTGATTTGAATCTGTTTGGCTTCCATTGGAGTTTGGGGCATGGCGAACATGATATCCATTGGCTTCTGTCTATCTTTTGTCTTTATCTTTCTGCTCTTGACGGCGCTGCACTCTTAGTTTAGGTAAATGAATCCATCAATCTCTCCCTGCATAACCAATTCCCATGTGTGATCGGATGCTGGTGGTCTTGAATGCCAGCCATCGATAGGTAGCTGGTTGTCTCTCGTCGTAAACGATCCACATGACAGCCTGTCAATTTCGGCTTTGAACATTTGCAATGAATCCATCCTCGGCAGTCAATCATGAGCGGCCCGGGATTGCCGGATGACATCCAACCATCCAGCAGAGCTTCTGAGGAAAAGGATGGAGATTCCCAAAGCGGCCGGTCCCATGACCTCATCCTGCTTGGCGCGCGGAAAAGATTTCAGTCCCACGAGACCGAAAAGAAGGGGAAAATGAGGGGAGAAGACCGAAAAAAGACGAGACAAACTTCATTCCCCCTGACGTTCGTCCCAGTGTTCCAACTATCTTTCCCAGGACAAAACAATTTGACGGTCCTCTTCGCCTTCCATCCTCGAAATATCAGACCGACCGCGTGACGTGACTGCCAAGCGGAAACAGAATCTGCCGCACTCCCCGCTTCACGTCGAAAGGCCCTCACACCCGCCAACGCGCGCGACAATTTCACAGCTCATCTGCTCTCGCCATGAGTGGTCCCAATCTCCATCGAGTGATCTCGTACGGCCGCGGAGGCGCCGGTATGACTTCCAAGAATTTTTTGCCATGACTGATTGCTAACCAGTGCTTTTCAATGCAGGCAACATCGCCCCTCCGCAGAAGTCCACGACACCCACGACACCCAAGGACCTCGCTACGCCGACGATCAAGCAAGAGATCTATACCACTGGCCGTGGCGGATCGGGAAATATGGTGCAAAATGATCCGGAACGTCCAGAGATCGCGCGCGAGAGTCAAGATGTCGAGTCACCGCCGCTTCGGGCGGAACAATACCCCCACCATACGGGCCGAGGTATGTGATGAATTCGTAGAGAGGACAGCGAGAGGTAACAATGCATGTCCCTAACTTGATTGTGATCCTTAGGTGGCGCCGCCAATGCCTACATTCCCACACCCGAAGAGGAACAACACGCCCGCAAGGAAGAGGCCGAGCTGATCCGGGTGCGCACACAATCCAAGGATCGCATCAAGGAGATCGAGCACCAGCGACAGGAGATGCGCCGGGGCTCGCCATCGTCCTAGAACGAACACTTTATCAGCGATAGTGACCTTCGGTAATTCCCGCCAGACACATACAAACAAGTCACCGACTCAATCATGCGATTCTATTTCCCACCAGCAACCTCTCAACATGACCGAATGTCTTCCAGTGGGTTCCCGCATGGCCTGGAGTCTCACGGTAGAGAACAAGTGCAGTGGACGAGGTTGCTCCAGATTTACTCCGGCAATGCGGGGGTACGTGGTTATCTTATCATCTGGTGCTTGCTTTTTTTTCGCGTTTATAATTCTCCTTATCTTTGCCTCCTGGTTGGGCCTATCTTTCTATTCTCGCGCTACTGCACGGCCTTGTTGGACTCCCGCACACGCGGCTGGGGCCACGAGTCCATTTACAGGGAAATGCAATGCCCATCGAAGACAGGCGCTTGGTGTCATTTGGGGGGGCGTTCGGGATTCTAGGTGCTGGGTCGCTTTATTTGATTTCAAAATTTTTAATTGGCTTCAGTTTCTAGTTCTGGTTTTCCTCGGTGCAGAGGAAGCCATGTTCTTTCCCCCTTTTGTCGATAGCGGAATCTTCTATCATAATGACACGCTCTCATAATTCATTATAGACAATGGTCGCAATCCTTGGTTTCTGCTGGGTTGGGCTGCGAATGCAAATGCGAATGTGAATGCAAGGGCTGGCTATGCCTGGTCGCAGCCTATTATTACTTTCTCCTTTTCTCCCAAAACGCATGCCGTTTCGGTGTCATCAACTGATCGAGGTCAGGATTTGTCCTTGGGGATAGACGATCCCACCTTTCGGCGATGGCCTTCCAGTGGGAGCATCCGAGGTCATTGATCAACAACTCCCTCGCGAATCTCTGATAGGGCGGTTCTCTTGTCTCCGCCGAATCGACTCGTGACATCGTGTATCTCTAGTTTGACTAGAAAGCACCTCATACCTCCGGCAACAAGCAGCCCGTCGCATCAATAGGCCAGCCAATCAGCTCCCGCCACTCAGGGTCCAGGTAGTCGACAATTTCCTTCAAAATGCGAGTGCCCCAATTACCCATCCACCAGGAATCGTGCAAATGATGCAGCACCACGGCGTAATGAGCAAGCACTACCAATGCAAAAGGCTGCCGCTCGCGAACCAACTCCTGGAATCGCACGGGAATTCGGAATGCCCAGCAAAAGGCGAAATCCTTGGGCTCGCCTCCGCTCATGAGTTGTTCCAGGGAATACCGTAAGTGCTCGAGGGCCTGGTCATAGACAACCTTTTCGTGAGACGGATCTCGCTCCGCTTCGGCCGCATTACGCCGTCGCAGCGCCAAAATGACCAACCGAGACATATCCGGCATCGTGGGCCGTGTGGGATCCGGTCGTACGAGCGGGTATAGTTCGCCGTCAGCGACGCGGTCCATGGTGAGTCTCATCGCACCCACGAGCCAGCGTGTGAGGTCAAAGACTTCCAGGAATTCATCCAAGACTTCGGGTTGCTCCTCCTCGTCCTCCTCGGTGGAATCATCGATTAGGCAATATGCAAACGGAAAGACTAGCAACACGCAGCAAAGCGCAAACGAGGCATTACATTGCGCCGTGGTGAGGTCCTCGGCGTCGTCAAAGTGCACACCCGCCAGAGCATGACTTTGATGCTCGCGCGCCGAGACGAGATATCGCCATTTTCGCTCGGGACTCGAGCTCTCTCGGGCCAGTTGCAAGGCCGATAGAGCTAGTAGTCCGTGTCGCAAGGCGGGAAATCGCAAGGAGAGTTGAGGAATGGCCATCTGCCACAAGGCCTCGGCTGCATGATCGCGGGCCATGGATCGATACGTCGTCGTACACCAATGCATCATTAATTCTAGATCCTGCAAATGCAACGACTCCTCCACCTTGGGTGGAAACCGGGCTGATGCATTCAACGACGGTCCCTCCTCTCCGGGAACCGGTTGATCCGACAGGGATACCAGATCGGTCATTCTGGATGCCACCGCTGGTGACGGCGGAGAGATAGATACGTCAGACATGGTTGCTGACGAGACGCTAGATATTGACGAGGTCGAGCGAGACTTGGTATCCAACCGCGTCAGGCGAGGGCGCGGCGGATACCGACAGGCGGTCTTGTAGTCGAGACAATGCGGGCAGCTCGCTTGAGAGTACTAGAAACGGGGAGGGGGCCCGTCAGCAGGAGAACCAGGACTATCCCGTGGCTCGTGAGGGAGTCTCATGGGAAAAAAAAAACAAAAGAGGAAGGGCCCTGCAGGGAGGCTACTGACGCCGCGGCACACGCCACCGGGGCCCGAAGCTGCTTTCTTTCGCCTATCCTAACTTGATATTTCCGAGGCCCGCTAGGCTTGAAGGGTTGGGGGGGGGATTTCCACGGGGGCTTCTTTTTGGGCTGATGCTTTGCGTCGCGGGTGAACTAGAGAGACGGGACACGTACCTGTGGTTCCCGGTGCAGACTACCCTGTCGGGGTCGCTTATTTGACCGGGATAGCATGGATAGGTATAGCCGGGTGGGACGAAGGACAGAGGGGGGGAAGAAGACGGGAGAAGATGAAAGAGAGGGGGCGGACGTTTCAGACCGACGTTTCGAGAGAATTGCGGCTTGAAAAAAAGTAGAGAATCCCAGATCACACGAGAGAGACAGGTCAAGTGGATAGCTATAGACTTTAAGTCTTTAAGTTTATTACGAGGCCCGAGCTTGGGGGTTAAGCCGGTGTGAGCGGCGAACCCGAGGGATCTATGAGAAGACAGGAAAAGAACGGATGAGGTGCTTCTAAGAGGTGATCAACATAATCATAGCAACGCTGCCCGAAAACTACCACAACGGGAAAAAGTAAAGATCGCCTTCATTCGCGCCAGCCCCTGGTGGTGGCTAGAGTAGTGGGGCATTTACTTGGGGGTTCAAGACTGCAGAATCTCTCCCGACCAGATGATCCCAAATAGAGTGCAGCAGGGGTGGATGGAAAGGGGGTTACGACTGAGATGGGAAAAAGAGTATTAACTGGGAGGTATTCATTTCAAAAACAAATAATAGAATCGATGCTCACCCGTCAAAGCAAAGCACAATGGACCGAGTCAAGCACTGGATGGCCCGAATCGGTAAATGCAGGTGCAGCAACACGGCGCTAGGGACCCGCAATGACATAATTATGAACTTTTTAGTACACAATGTGCAAATGTGCAGTCCGCATGGGAATGCAGGATGATCATCGGGGCCCACTGGTCTCTACCTTGAAGCGGTCGAACATTCTGAACGTTCTGCAGCCGCGGTATACTCAAAGCTCCTTGAGTGCTCCTATTTTACTCCGTTAGAGTACTATAAACAACTATAGTCTAAAGTGCATTTAACTGTATACGCGGTCTCTCCCCTTCTAGTGGTCCCTCCCAACCTATCGGTCGGAAGTACCCAAGAAAGATAATGAACCAGCCATGCTAAAGAAGTCCACCCAAAAACCCGCGGGGCCAAAAAAGAAAAGACACGAAATGTGGCGCGTCTTGCCCGATTGACACTTAGCGCGAGTGGGGCCGGACTCTATCCGCCATCAGTTGCTGATTGCAGCGGTTCTGGAGGACCCCTACTCCCATGGTGATTGGTGGACACCCTGGGGTGGCTGCAAAGCCAGACGAGCCATGCGTTTTCCCGATCGGGGCATACGAGAGATCTTGAGTCGTTGACTGGTTGGAAATTGATAGTCGAATGACGGGTGGACGCTGCAAGATACTACTGTACATCCTCCTTGGTAGTGGCCCATCACTTTCCATAGTTCTATTGAGGTGGACAATAGCGGTGACCTATGGAGTTTACTAGCGAGATTGTCCTTCTATACTCCGTACAGTGACCTGCTTAGTGCATGTGTAGAGGAAAGAAGTGGGCTCTTCATCTTATGCAATGATACCTGCATGCTCTTGTATTCCCCTATGTAACCAGATCGCTTCGCATACCATAAGTGCATACTGTATTTTACCTAGTACGCCCCTGGTGAGCGACAATATTAATGAAAATCATATTCCGATTCATAGCGCGAACGTTCGTGTCTTCATGCTTTCTGATTCCCTTTCCCCCGCACCCTCTGTGTACCGTTTCCTGACCAAGCAACCTGTTTGCTATCCCTTTTCCTCCTCGGTCTTCGAGCCTTATACCGACAGCAATCCTGCAGCATCAGCATCCGTTTCCGAGACCAGGATCCACAGGCCTTGATCTCCACCGATCATCTCCCCCAATCTAAGCGCCACGCGACCGGTGCCAAACCACCATCATCCCGAGCCAAACACACCGTCCAAAAGAGGAAGTACGTACTACGCAGTTGCAACGACCAACTAGCCAAGATTACCAGAATGTTTGGCACCGCCATGACACGCGCCACACTTATCCTCGGGTCCCGCAGCCGGTAGCCCTATCAAACAACCCGATTGAGCTATTCGCAGCAGCCTTGTCACGCCTAGCTCGCGCCCTGGGCTACAGAACCCCCGTATGGTAACTGGTCTAGATCTCACCACTAACCCTGACCCGCCCCGCATAACTTCTACCGCTCGCCAATAATTACCCCCTCGCTGATAAATACTCGTCCGGTTGTGCTGACCGGTTCCCGGATCTTATCCAGATCCGATCGTACTCCACTCAATACTTCCCGCCCTAATGGGGTCGGTCGCACTACATGCTGTTTATGAACAATGCAATCAAGCTATATCATACTGTAAGACTAGACTCGTCAGGCTCGGGTTTTCGCATAGCAGGCTCCGTAGCGGATACGTCTGGGAGGTGGACGCGTCGGGGCCCTCCCGAACGACTGTCCGAGCACCTTGCGCTTCGACTGCTGATTTGGGTATATGTGATACTACAGCCTTCCCTATTACCGGTTCTCGAGAGAGGGCCGAAGATCTCCAGATCTCCGGTCTCCACCTTTCCCCAATTGTAGAGCGTGCATCACCCGATTCCACCAACTCTGCTGACGGGTGTCTTTAATGCGGATGTGGGCATTGTTCAGCAGGACATGCCTGCCGTCGCTTCCATGGCTCGCTCGCGTAGCCCCTGGTTGATTTACGTTATGCATTTCAGGAAAAAGTCATGGGTTTTCTTCAATATAGACATCCGAGACTAGCTCGGCATATCCGAACCCCAAAATTTGCCAGTGTTCACACGGACAGTCCGACCAAAGGTCGTTCGTTCACCATCCTCTGAAACTAATCAAGCCGACCGTGGATGATTCTACTTGAGCAATGACTAAGGGGCAGTATACGGCGAGAAAGTGTGATTTTCCAATAGATTCTACGACATAATTTTCCTAATATTTCAACCCAGTGGCATGGGTTCGTATCACATTCTCTACTTGAAACTCTCGAAATGTGATATCATTCGATCACCTAGGCCCCTAGAATTCTCGCACATCTCGCTTGACTCGCCAACATACGAGATGCCTCCTCTTATTCCCCATATTCTCATTGTGGCTAACGCTCTGATTGCCACCGGCAGTTCTAAACACACAAGCCCACCACTTGGGATGAATTCGTCAAGAAGAATGTTTCCGCGTGGAAATAAGTTCGACATGTATCTGTGTTGGATGGATTCAGATTAGAATGCACAATAGACAATAAATGATCATCTCTGATACCCTCCCAATTTTGTTTGCTTTCCCTTACATAACATCGTTTTATCTTAACTTTTCCTTCTCATGCTGTCCTGTGAGGTATCTCTTTTGGTTTCAGTAAATGAGAGAGACACCTATCTGTTCAAAACCAGCCTGCGAGAGCTTTCCGACCATGAGGCCGAAAGGCGGGAACCACCCGACCTCTCATGACAGGCTTGGTCCAGCCTTACGATCGGTTTAGTTAGTTCAAAGTATATACTTTAGTCATTCTCATTTGTCCAGTTTTATTTGTGGCCAGCCTTTCCTGTTTCGACACAAGGTCGTCCTTGAGTAGTCAGGTCAAGTTTCAATCGCATTTGTTCTATTAGAGATTCGAGTAAAACCAATAGACCCACATCTGATTCCATTTTACCGCTCTTCCCTAGTTTCTGCGGGTAGTTCACGATTCTCCTCACTAGCTGTTCCGCGTATTCGCTCCCAACCTTAGGCTGTCTAGTGTCGATATCTCTATTTGATATCATGACGTAGTCACGGAACTATGCTTCCCCCCTCCCTGGGGTACGGGCCGGAATATATTTAGATTTCATTGCAATGTTATACTAGAAGCTTCAACAGCAATGCTTTGGCATTTCAAGGCACACGTCATGTAACAGATCTCAATAAGGGCCAAACCTGTACTCTCAGGGTGCCAGATTCTAAGCCACCCGGGGCCTCAAGGAGACTGACCAGCGCCAAAGTGAGCTCCTGACTGTCGAAGACGTCGAAATTTTCAAAATAGTTGCTAGGTTTCAAAGTCATCCCCGAATTCAAGGATATGCTGGTTCCAGACAGCAGGTTCCAGTGCTTTCTTTCACAGGACCAGCTAGATCAGCGATACCGTGTTAAATAATAGGCTTCATTTCGGGAGGTTCTAATTCCTTACCAGAACAATATCACCAATACAAATGGCACTGTAGCTCCTATTAAAGTAAGACCAAATGCGAAGCTCGGCGAGCTATTTAATGGGCAAAAGGCACAGACAAAGGCTTCAAAGTCGACTGGAGGTGAGATGGCCCAGTATCTTGATGGCGGTAATTCAGAATCACTACGACATCTTTAACAGCCCCTGGATCCACGACAAGTAAAGGGGAAGAATTCCAGTAGCGCGTTTGAGACCTAAGTTTCCCACGATTCCGGAACAGGTCACTTCAATCTTCATAGGGCAATGTGTATAGGAGTTGTAGTTGTACCTAGTAACGAAATTATTGAATCAACATAAACTTGAGCCAAAAAAAAGTATATAGATCTGTATCTCATTGTTAAACCAATAGTCATGTGGGCGAGTGACCCTCTCTTCGTCGTCATCATGAGCTCTCGAACTACCTCTTCATCTTTAGTTTAATTTCATTTATATTGTTTTCTATGGGTATCGGTAAGCTTCTCAGAAGTTGTTATGGCATTTCTAGATACGGAAATATATCAAGTAACGTGCTAAAGTGGTCCGGGGAAAAGTCCAAACAATTCCAGATTACATGAACCTGAATGCCATAAATTACCAAAATCTTCAATATATTTGTATTTATAGTGTTGAACCCACTTGAAAAGATCGTGGGGGAGACACGACCCGTCCGGGGCCGGGTGTCGTCGCTGGGGCGCCCCACTGCCCATTTAAATGGTTCCATGTAGCTTGACCCCACACCCGGCATTTTCTCTCTTTCACTCCCTCTCCTCTCCATGAATATGGATGGTGCTCCTAAGCGAATACGGGTTAGTGCCTGTAAAAATTGCCGGTAGGATACCTTCCCATTTACGGTAAACTACGGCTGACATTGCAGCCTGCGAAAACGACGGTGCATTCCATTTCCACCATTCGCGGGGTGTCAGTTATGCCAATCACTGAGGATTGCCTGTAGCCTCGGTCCTTCTGCGGCTCGTCCGTTGTACTCCCACCCAACCCATATCTCAACCGGACAAGATACAAGCTCAAGCTACGTGGATGGAAGACTCCATCCCGTTGTCTGTGCGGAACTAGCGGTGCTGTATTTTCGCTTCATCCATAATGTGATGAATACCATCTTCCATTCGGCCAGCTTCATGCGACGACTCAGTGAGGGATCCGAGTCCAAGATCGTCGTCTATGCAATCTGTGCCCTTTCTGCACGGTAAGTTTGTTGCTGATCCCGATGGGCTCTTAATAATCGGTGCGGTGCTCATCTGCACAGATACTCGCACCACCAAACCCTGAAAGCCACTCTACCCCCCGAGCGAGGGAAGATATATGCTGACGAAGCCTTCCGCCTTCTACATCCCAAGCTTGTCATTCCCAGTCTGGAAACAGTCCAGGCATGTCTCCTTTTGGGCCAATTTTTGGGAGGTGAAGGGGAGTACCGAACCAAACATATCTACGTGGGCATCGCCCGTCTTCACGCCGAAGTAATTCGGCTGTGGGAGATACCTGACGACCTCCCGGTTGTGGCTCGCGAAGAGCGCCGTCGTACCTGGCTTACCGTCCGCATATCCTACCAGTGGAGTGCGACAGATATGGGCACAGAGCCGATCGCCGTGCCCTGCAGCCAGCTCAGTTTGCCCTGCGTTGACGACTTTTCTTTCCATAACGGTCCCGCAGCCGGCCTGCAAGAAGGCATTGGCCCCACTAGACCACAATACGGACTGTGGTGTCAAATGGCTGGCACGCTGGAGATATTCGATAAGGTCACCTGCCTGCTTCGACAGCTCAGCCAGCGCGACGGTATCACCTTTGCCACCTACTGCAGTGAAGCTCCGCTCTTGGCCCAGCAGCTCAGACAGTGGGCCGATAACCTCCCGGAGACTCTGCAGTACTCGATGTCCAATTTGCAAACCCTCTCAGAACTGGGCCTGGGAAGGACATTCTTAGCCATGCACATCGGATACCACCATTTCTACCAGATGTTACACTTCCCATTTTTAGATGTTTCGGTGGCCCCGGGGTCGACACAATTCGCTCTGGGGACCAGCTTCTTCCGCGACGGGGCTCTGAAGTGCAAAAACAGCGCCAATGTGGTATCGGAAATTGTCCAGACTGCGTCCACTAGGAAGGACTGCGAGCTACTTTGCCATCTCTATGCACACATTACTGTGGTTAGCTCTTGCGTCCATCTACATACGCTCCTGCTCGGTGAAGATGGAGAAGAACTGACAATGGCTCGAGAGCGCCTGCTTTTGAACTTCCGCTATTTGATGATTCTCAAGGCGTACTGGCCAGCTGTGGACCGTTCTGTGGGTATTATCACATTTCTTTTCTAGTTCCGCTCCTTCTGTACTAACATACATTTCTAACGCAGGCCCACCGGTTACGGGTCTTCCAAAACCTTTGCCGGGATTCCATTTCCAATCCTTTTGCTTTGGATAATTGGATGGCGCGATTTCTGACAGAGCCAACCTCTATCATTGCTGAGCGAGAGGACACGCAGATCGCTATTCCGCCCGCGGACCAGCCGCAGATTTCTACTCTCTCGCAGTCTACCAAGGATGCAAGTGGGATAGCTATAACCACCGACACTGCCGACCTCTCAAGCGAGTGGTCCTTGAACACGGTACCGGGGTTCGATTCAGATTCGAACATGTTTTCCTTGCTACTCAACGATCGCGACTTGACTACCGAGGACCTGGTAAATAATTCTCTTGAGTGGTTACTAGAATAAAGCAAAATCTAGTATACACAGTTCCTAGACCGCCAATAGTCACGAGGCCCAGGCCTGAAGCCTGGTACAGCGCGAATATTCACACCACCTTTTCCAAATGGATTGGCTGCACAGATTTCTCTTCTCCCTCCATCTGGTCGAGGTGTGCAGTGGCCAAAGTATCGCCAAACAGCTCTGCGATTTCCTCGAGCGATTTGCCACCGGTCTCGGGCAAGAAGAAATAGTATACAAACGCCGCGGCAAAATTGGTCGCAATGAAGAGCGCGTAGTACTTCCATCCGACATTTTCAAGGGCTACGGGGGTAATCTGGGATAAGATGATGGCCGAAACCGACTTACTGAAGACGCCCAGGCCCATTCCCGCCGACCGGAGGATAAATGGGAACAATTCCGAAGGGATTACCCAAACCATGGCATTGAAGAAAACGGCATACCCTGCGGAATATATGAAGATCGTGGCGATGGCGCCACGGGGGCCGTTCACGTTGGTCGTACCCGATCCATAGATGGCCGATAACGCCATGCAGATGGCGACCATGACGCATAGGAAAATCGATCCTACCCATAGCGTGCGGGTTCGAGGCCACTTGTCGGCTACGACGAAAAGGTAGATCAGCTGGCCTATCACGCCCATGATGCCGTACACGCCACTGATAAGTAGGGATGTTTTGCCGGTGAAGCCCACGGCTTCGTAAAATATGCTTTGGTAATTCTGGATGACGGAGGAGCCGCTGAATTGGCCCATTATGAGGATGAAGCAGGCTAACGAGGTGCGGCGGATATGACGTCGTGAAAGCAGCTGTCGCAGGGCGGAGTAGAAGCTTGTGCCTGCCAATGCTTCCAGTTGGATCTGTTCTCGTATCTGGAATAACTCTTGGGCGACAAGAGTTTCATTGTCTTTACCATGTAAGGCGACTAGGACCGTGCGAGCTTCCTCATACCGTTCTTGTTGAACCACTGTTATCCGCAATTAGCTCTCTTCAAGGGAACGATATCGGCCAATGGAGAGAGGGGCACATACACCACCGAGGACTATAGGGAATGAAGCAGCAGCCAATTACCAGGAGAAGCGGACCCGGAATCTGCATTGCCAGCGGGATACGCCACTGGGCATTACCATTTGCATATGCACCGCCATATCCAATCCAGTTGGCAGTGAAAAATCCGATAGCGATCATCATGCCCTGCAGACCAACGACCATACCACGGTTTTGTGGTGGTGACGCCTCCGCGATATAGATCGGAACGACGGTCAGGAGGATTCCACAGCCAGCACCAGCGAAGAAGCGCCCGGCAATCATCATACCAGCGTTTATCGATGCGCTTTGTAACGCCGCGCCGATTATCGCTAACCCGGATGTTAGGGTCGGATCCACGTGAGTTGTCGTGCTGGACGCATGAACGACAAGAAAAAGAGGGAACCCTCACCTATAACAGCACTACCACAGATTGTCCATCGTCTACTGAATTTGTTGGCTGAGTACCCTGCCGCAAAGGTGCCAATAGCCTGGCCGACGTTGTACAAGGACACAATAGCGCCTGTTCCAACATATCTGGATTAGTCCATTGAATCTCCTATCCAGGCAAGGCTGATATGTTCGACATACCAGTCAGCGGAGCATTCATGCCCGTGGGACCCAGCATGTAGAATTTGAAGCTGTCGTGGCCAAGTGTAGTAGCGATAATTCCTGGTCCCATTGTCAGCCGGAGTGGAGCGTTTTGATGTATGTTGCCGTCACTTACCCGAATCCACGCCGTATACGAACCCACCAAGAGCCACCACCAGCGAGATGAAAACTAAATAAAACGAGATCATCGGGGCTACAAAGGAGGAAACTGTCAAGAGAAGAATCCGTTGAGGCTTTCCAAGATTGTGCAAAGACGGGCAACGAAGGACCCTTCATATATTGACACCCCAACCTCGAACAAAACGTGAACCGGATGATCATACCCCCGAAAACCCTCGAGAACCCCCGCGCATTCACCACTCAATTTGCGGGGGAAAGGAGGCAAGTGAAAAGAAGCCGGGGCAGAAGCCCAGCCATCGGCACGATCGACCGACGTGATGGAAACGATGTGGTTCGCAACTTACCCCATCGAGGCGGCAGCGCACCAATCAGAGGTCATAAACACCGCCGCTAGCGGCGGCCACCCCAACCATCGACATCGGGGAATGATACACCCACAAGCCGCTGGACACGGAGAAGAGCTTTTTGGCAATGTTAATAGGTCTCGGGGCTCGTGGTAATGTCTCACGAAGGTGTTGTCGGACCCCCACGACTCCAGTCCGACTGATTAGTATTTAAGTTCCCCCCCCCCCTCGTCATGGCGGAAAGGGTAGGGAAGACGCTTCTAGAGACTTTGTCGCCATGACCAACCTTTTGAGACTCAGCCCTCCAACTTTTGAGCACCATCCTACCGGACTGGGACTCGCAGAAGCCGCTCCCCGTGTATCTTGGCGCTTCCTGTGTACCGACGGCGGTCCGAAAGGATGGGAACAGGAGATCTATGAGATTGAGATCGCTCAATCACCTGAGATCGCAGGCGAAACATACCGTGTATCTAGCAACGAGTCGGTTCTTGTGCCCTGGCCAAGTGCCCCGCTGCGATCTCGCGAGCAGAGGTCTGTCCGTGTGCGAGTTTATGGCTCCCTGGAAGGACAGTCGAGCAACGTCTCCAGTGCGTGGTCACCCTGGGCCACAGTTGAATGTGCCCTTCTAGAACGCAGCGACTGGCAGGCGTGCGTAATTGGCAATGCGACCAAGCCCTCGACAGAGAGTCCGTTCCAACCGATCCGCTTTCGCCGCACATTCGCCCTGCCGTTCGATCCAACATCTGGCGGACGGGCCCGGCTGTACATCACCAGCCAGGGCGTGTACCGTGCCTTCATCAACGGCAGACAGGTGGGCGACCATTGCATGGCACCCGGGTGGACGAGCTACAAGCACCACCTGAACTACCAGATTTTCGACGTCACATTCCTTCTGAAGCCTGCCGGCGATAATGTCATATCCGTCGAGGTGGGAGAAGGCTGGTATGCCACATTACTGGGATTCCGGCCTGGAAAGCGTTGTATCTACGGCGATGAGCTGGGTGTTGTGGCTCAGTTAGAGGCAGAGTCCAGCACAGGGGAGGTATTCCGCCTCACCTCAGATCATGCCTGGTCTTGCCAGCCCAGTGCGATCTTGCGAAGCGAAATATATAATGGAGAACTATATGATGCCCGAGAAGAAACGCCGGGGTGGGACGGCTCCACTGGTGTAGACCCCTCCGCTTGGGGTCCCGTCCGGGAGCTGCCTTTCCCTGCAGCTAAGCTGATCGCTACCGACGCACCCCCTGTCCGTGTCACGGAGGAAGTCCCCCCTGTCAAGATCCTCACCACGCCATCAGGGAAGACGGTGGTTGATTTTGGGCAAATTCTTGTGGGAAAATTGCGTGTCCGCAAACTCAACAAACCGTCGGGCCACCGCGTGAGATTCACGCATGCCGAAGTCTTGGAGAATGGCGAGCTCGGCACACGACCTCTGAGAACGGCTCAGTGCGCCGACGAGATTGTTTCAGCAGGCAGTGAGCTCAGCAACTGGTCTCCGCAGTTCACCTTCCACGGTTTCCGCTACGTGCAGGTCGATGGCTGGACGCCCACCGATGAAGACCCGCTTTCGCTGGACCAGGTGACGGCCTTGGTTCTGCATACCGATATGGCTCGCACTGGATGGTTTTCCTGTTCCCACCCGATGATTAATCAACTTCACAACAATGCCCTGTGGAGTACTCGTGGAAATTTCGTCTCAATCCCGACCGACTGTCCGCAGAGAAATGAGCGTCTTGGCTGGACTGGGGACATTCAAATCTATTGCCCGTCAGCTAGCTTTCTATATCACACGGCGGGTATGCTGAGTGGATGGCTGAAAGATTTGGCAGCTGAGCAACTCCTGGATACGAACGATGGCATACCGCCATTTGTTGTGCCTGATGTCCTACAGGATGTCTGGCCCCATGCGCCTCAGGCGGTCTGGGACGATGTGGTCGTGCTGACACCGTGGTCGCTCTACTGCTCGTACGGCGACGCCAACATCCTCCGGAGGCAGTATCCCAGCATGATTGCATGGCTAGACCGAGGTATTCGACGTGGTTCCGATGGTCTGTGGGAACCGCAGCTCTGGCAGCTTGGCGACTGGCTTGATCCTACCGCGCCCCCCAGTGAGCCGGGAGATGCACGCACTCATGGAGTGCTGGTGGCCGATGCATATCTCGTCCATGTCACCAACGTGATGTCACATATCAGTAAAATCCTTGGGGTGACCTCGGATGCTCGGCGCTTTCGTGCCGACGCACTGCGACTGAAGGCAGCCTTCCAGCATAAATACATTGCACCGTCGGGGCTGCTTGTCGGCGACTCTCAGACGGCCCTGAGCTTGGCAATACAGTTTGATTTGTTCTCCACCTCTGAGCAACGTGTCACTGCTTCCGAGCGGTTAGCGCAGCTGGTGAGGTTGGCGAAATTTCGTGTTGCGACTGGTTTCGCTGGTACGCCTATCATAACCCACGCTCTGACAAAAGCCGGCCACCATCAAATCGCCTACCGCATGCTTCAGGAGAAGGGTTGTCCCTCCTGGATGTATCCCATTACCATGGGAGCGACGACCATCTGGGAGCGGTGGGACAGTATGTTGCCCGACAACACCATAAACCCGGGGGAAATGACTAGCTTCAATCATTACGCCCTTGGTTCAATCATAAACTGGCTACACACTACCGTGGCAGGAGTCAGTCCCATAGAACCAGGTTGGAAGACATTCCGCGTGGCCCCTCTACCCGGAGGTACCATCACGTCTGCCGAAGCGCAATATGAGACGCCATACGGTCGACTCGAGTGCCATTGGGCCATCACGGACGGTGATCATTTCCATCTGAAACTGCTAGTCCCTGCCAACAGCAAGGCATTTGTCGCTCTGCCAGATAATCGTAAAATTGGGGTCGGCGCAAACGACGAGGAGCGAGGGGAATGGGTTGGCTCGGGATATCATCAGTTCTTCTCCCGGTGGGATAATTTGACTCATTGGCCACCCGAGTCAGTCATTCCTATTATGCGAAAAAGGCAACCGGAGGATATCGCGTGAGCAAATTGCCTTTGGTAACTTATCACCTCCCCTATTCAATGAATGTACATTCCCTATGAAGAAGGGCTTTTGTGATCCAAAAAAAAAAAAAAAAAAAAAAAAAAAAGTTACTGTGTCAACAAATTTAGACGAGGCTACTCGCAAGGGATCGGCCGCGTGGCTCGGTGTGTTGTAGATATCAGTCTATGCAGCTTGAAACAGTGGTTTTGAGATTTCCATCGGGTAACAGACTGAGTGTGATAATAGGCCAACGAACCGCTTAGATAGACGATCCCAGCAAGGATCTACCAACAGGAGTGTTGATGTACACTGTTATATGGATAATGTATACTTGTCTCATATTCAAGTAGAAATAAAACTTGGCACAAGGTACCGTATTACAACCTACCATCTTTCTTCCCATCCTCCGCCACAATCCTCGCCAGCCACTAGCTATCTATTCTAGACGGACCTTGGCATATGGCACTAGCGTCACAGTACCAATCAAGCCATTATCAGTGACGGAGGGAAGAGTAGTATATCCGACAGCCGACATAAAAAGCTGAAGCGGGACATCGGCAGTCTGAATATCACCAGCAATACCACGGATGTAATTCCACATGGTAGTCGGTACCACGACGGTTATTTGGTTAGAGCCCTTCACCAGATACGGACCCAGGTCCACCCGCGGAGCGGAGAAATCAATTGGAGGGGCTTTCTGTCCATTGACATATACCCGTGCCGCGTGGGAGATTGCGGGAAGAATGAAATAGGCTCCATCTGCAGAGCCATGACCAGCTGGGGGCCAGCTGATACTGGTGGAGTAATAGCCAAGGCCTGAGACGTTTCTCAGGGCGCTTATTTCCGTCCAAGAGACTAGCGAGGAGAGGTGGTGGGTTGTGTTGTGCTTGATGGCGACGGTAGTAGCATCGGAGATATTTGAGGGTGCCTCCCAGTGTTCGGCCGTAAGAGTCCAGTTGGACAGAGTGGAAGGCCCCGGTACGTCCGTCCTGGCGAGACTGACACGTTTGCCGTTGGATAGGACCAGAGGCTGGCTGTCCTTGCTTGCGGAGACATGAATTTCAATGCCGGATTCCTGAGAATAGTCATATCCTGCGACGGATGGGGGCAGCTGACTGGCGTGTTGCACGGAGTTGGAAGCACTACCGGTGAAGCCGATCACGACTGTCTGGTTGGCTGCCAAGCTGAGCGGGATGACAACTCGGTTTCCGTGTCGAGTGTATTCGAGTACTGGTTTTGTGTGTCCAGTCCAAGGATCCAAGAATATCGGAGCCTTGCTGCTGGTAATGGAAACGGTACCAGTTGAAGCATTACCATCGCAGAACACAAAGACGTGGTCCATCCCGTTCTGTGCATCCTCCCTCCAAGTCGAATACCACGTTCCGTTGGTCTGTATGGCAACGCGTGGTTGGATGCCAAGGTCCTGGAGTTTGGCAGCAACCTTTCCGGCAGAGACGCTGTAGACATTGTGTGACTGCTTCAAGGTCTGGATTGCTTGCTTGATAGCTGGTGTATCTCTGCTGTCGTGGGCTGCATAGACACCGGGGTCGCCTCCACTGAGTATCACTGGCAGTCCTGCACGGGCATACTTCTGGATATAATGCACGCCATCCAGAGTAAGGTTGCTGTTACTTGTGATGACCAAAGCCTGGTACGCGGGACCATCCGGGCCAAGGGTATTGTTCTTGACGACGGCTTGCGGCAAGGCAAAATTATCGGGAGAGAGGTATGTGTAGGTATAACCAGCATCAATCAAGTCGGTTGGAGAGTATAGTGTCGGGAAACTTGGATCGGTACCGGAGACCTTATTGTAGATGACAATGTCAGTACGCGGTACACCCGACTGCTGAAGATACTGGACTCGAGCTGTGTAGTTCAAGACGTCTCCAAGCCCATGGCTCCAAGATGGCTGTTTGTCAGAGTAGAGCTCCGAAAACAAGTAATTGAATGCAGTATATCCAGGCCAGGTCGTGCCATAGTAGTCACCAGTATATGACTGTCCGTGAAGCACCACCTGATTAACACCGCCCGCCACAGCCAGATTGATGTAACCCAACAGCTCACTGTGTGGAAGATTATACGCCTTCATCATCACCGCCCCCATCTCATTGGAAATGACACGCTTTCCAGCCAAGTTGGCGGGCCCGGCGAACTGCCGGTATCCATCGATGTTACTATTGAACTGTAGGCTTTCACATTCAGGCGCATTCACAAAGGGAATGTTGGCTTCCATATCCATTGGCAAGTTGTATGACACCTGAGCTGACATTTGCAAGTTGAGCTCTTTATTCACCCAATCGGTCAGTTCTTCCAAGTAATTGCGGTATGCTGCAGCAAGAGCGCCGCGAAAGTCATTGAAATAACCAAGACCTTGGTCGGGAGTGTCGAGGACACAGTGGAATGCACCGGGGCTGCCACTCTGTATGTTGATATTGTTGTCTCGAAACGTGATCAATGGTAGGAATGGCTTCAAGTCATAACCATGTTTTGATTGGAAGATCTCTGGAAGCGATGGGGTCCAGGATATGTTTGACCTGATCTCAACGCTATCCTCCCAGCCTGGCATACACCGAACGAATCAGTATAATTTGCGATTAACGCAGCACAATATCCTTGAGAATGTTTCTCACCGTAATTTCCAACTTCCTTCAATAGGTCTTTCACCCCATCGGGCAGAATGTATCTCTCCCAGAACTTAGCCACTACCTGTGCACCCTTCGCACTGTAGTGATCCACCACATACGAGCCATTATCCCAGATACTCTCGGCGTTGCCACTGCTATATTCCAGATTTTTCTCATGACTCAAGAACTGATAGAAGGCAAACAGGCGATGTGATGCTCCGGTGGAAAATTTGAGAGAAACATGTCCTGTCGAGGACACATTCTTCGCCCAATCAACCAGAGTGCCACTCTTGAGCACCAAAGAGAGGTATGAATTTTGAGCTGCGCCAAACAGAGATAGAGCACCGCTAGTATCTAGGCTGATGTTCTTGGTAGATAGCACTTCAGCAGAGACTAGAGCAACCAGCTCACCAGCACCCCATCCGGGAATCTGTCCAATGAATTCGCCATTTGTGACGGCTACCGAGAAAGGTTCCTAAGAAATGGATCTGAGTCAGAATATATCTCAAGCAATTCTCCGGTATGCATACCAAATCCCACTGCAAACCTTCATCGCTCGGATCAGCCGGTACGCCCTGGCCTTGATTCGGACCAAGAGGAAAGTCCATCTTCAAACCAGCCTCCTTATGAGCCTCTAGCGCAGCCAGGAACATCTTATGGAAGGTAGGTGTCCCAAATCCATCCTTGGTCCAATTCGCACCCGTAGGCTCTGGACTTAATTGACCACCGTAATTGTAGAAAGGGAGAAACTCGACTCCACCAGCTCCAATTGCACCAGCAGCCTTGATATTTTCCTGTACTGTCTGTACATCGACCCCAGCATCGGGTAGCCAATATCGGAATCGCGGACGAAGTCGAGCGGCAGGATTATCGAATGTCCCTCGATCTACCTTTGCAGAGGTTTGATCATTGGTGTCTGCTCGTACCGACTGCCAAAGCAGCAACAAGTTCAAAAGATTGATAGTAGGTGTCCACATCTCGAGTAACAAGAAAAGTTGTTAACCCTGGCTTGAGACATCTTGGATGCTGCAGCTTCACTCGAGCCTATATATCAGCAGAACCGGAATATCCGGGCTACGGTGGGTCGTACATATTGATCGAAGGATTCGGGATGTCTCAAACCGAGAAGTACACTCTATTGCGGAGTGGAGAATATGTGTCTCCATCTTCATTGGATGCTGGACACGAATACGTGGGGCTTTCTTTAGTTCTGCCTGCGCAATGATGATCGTCATAAGGTTCTGCATTGTCGTGAGTGACTGTTTGGGAACTAGTCGAGACTAAAACGTAGTAACCTATGCAATTGGAAGATCGATTCTCAATTGGAAGTTAGTCATGAAGGTCGTTCGGGGTGGAGCTTGACCGAAGGGACTCCAGCTTTGCGGGGAACCTCCAGGGCTGGACTAGCGCGTAGTCTGAAGACTCCTATCCAGGTTTGTCGTGGCCCACATCCCGTCTTGCTAGTGGATATGACTGGATTGTCCCTGAGACCTTTTAGGCACTCATATTGCAGGAGCAGCCGAATTTTGTCCGGATTCCGTTTTATCCAGTTATGTTTGTGGCTATACAAACATATGAAGATACTGGAATGCGAGAATCCGAGAATCCGAATACGCGATACGGAGACAAACCTTGACGAGAGTGCGGGAGCCATTATATAAAACTCAATCCGTTGGTTCCGTAATAGAGAATAACCACCAAAATATGAGTGGACGTCTCGCAGATGTGCACATCTAAGCTTGTATGGAACGTGACAAACTCCACATAAATTATATATCGCACCTGCGATGAGCTCGGACTTGCACTCAATTAACTCCCATGTTGCAGTTGAACCTAGGTGATTGATCTGGCCAGTTTCCCCGCGTGTGCATGAAAGTTCTGAATGTTTATTTACTCAAATCTGAGGCCTATTCACATCCGACATGGTCGACTACCACATATCCGAATTTCTCAGAAAGCCAGCGACATTCCGAGACTGCTGTTGACTAATGAATGGGGGAAGTTTACAGACTCGGATGACAAAAGTCCGACGTTCTCTCAATTAAGTCTTATTCACTAAGATATTGATGTATGATCATGATAGATACAGCTTGGTCCGTTGTAATCACGGGACCATCTACCAACTTCTGTACATTATATACTTATCCTCCACAATATCAACACGATATCCATTGACAGATCAACTGGGCCTCTTCAATGGCCCCAGTCGCACAACGTTCTTTACAGCTGGCGACCAACAGTCAATCCGCGACGCACACGGCTGTGAGAAGAAGAAATTGGCTTCGCCACGCCACCGCCGGATAGACGAACCGTCTTCCCGCCCAACCAGCTGTTCAGGCTCGAGTTGTAGTAGATGTTGTGACCATTGCTGTGAATGTTGGACAGGCTGGTCAGTGAGTCAGTGAAGTTCTGCAGGGTGGTATCCCGGGTCAGAGTCCAGTTGCTCGTAGCGTCCAGGGCGACGTCAAAGTACGCCTGTCCGTAGCCAGAGTACGCAGATCCAGTCCAAGTGCTGTAGTCATTGAGCGTCCAGCTGATAACACTCTTGTTGTAGGCGACCAAGTCACCCACCAGATCGGACTCGGTGACGGTCAAAGTCACCTCAGCAGGGGAAAGGCTGGTGTTGTCGTCGTAGTCGGCATAGTAATCAAAGTCTTGGGTGACCTGGGAATAGTTGGCCACGACCAGAATGCCAGAGTCAGTGTTGAGCTGGACATTGTTCAAGTTCGCGTTGGCAATGATATTGCCGAACCACAGACCGGGCACAGTCTTGCCGAGGGTAGTAAACTTGGTATTGACCAGATTCAACTCGGCACCACTGTTGCGAACCGAGCTGCTGAAGATCACGACTCCACCCAGCAGTCCAGCGGTGGCATCACAGTTGGTCAGGTTGGTAGTCTGGGCACCATCTGAGAAGACAACGGGTCCCTTTTCGGAAACGCTGACCACATTGTGGGCATCAATCAGACCGAGCGAGTAGAAGGTTGCTGACCCAATGCCAGACGCGTGGGCAACGCTGTCGTAAACGTAGATGTAGCCGGCAGGAGAGTCACCAGAGAAGCTAGACGAGCGGTAGCCACCAGAGTAAACCTGGAGATTGTGGCCAATAATTGTACCATTGCCAGAGGCGTAAAGACCGTGGCTGACCGGTCCAGACGAGTACAGCCAAGTGTTGTTGACATAGACCACAGTGTCAGTTCCATAGGAGTAGATCTGGGCGGCTCCGTTGTGGACGGTGACATTGACGTTGTCAAGGTAGGCAGTGGAGGCGTTGGCCTGTAATTGCAGAAAATCATTATTAGGGCTAGAATTGACTCTCAATGATATTCCAATTGGATACTTACCACGTTGATCGCGGCATTGAATCCCCAGAAACTGGCTGTGTTCAGATTGGTCGAATAACCACTCTTCTTAAAGTCGATATACGAGCCATTGAACTCGGCACCATTGGAAACGAGTAGTACACTGGTATCATTGGCCGTTGCAGACCAGGTAACGTGGTCGACAGAGGCACTGGAGCTAGATCCGTCATACTTGTGGGTAGCCTGGACTGTACATCGTGTCAGAAACAAATCTTTTGGCGGTTCAACGATGACAATGAGAATCACTCACTGTCCGACGGCTGAGTGCTAATCATCGCAATATCGTAATCCGCGAGGAGTGCATTGTCCTTAGTCCACCATTTAGGCTTGATCACATCGGAGGGATCCTCAATAGTGATCGATGCCAGGGCAAGTGCCGGGAACAGCAGAAGGAGTGACTGTGAAACCATTGTCCCGTATTTTCTCTCGGATAGAACTGTGAGCTTTGACTGATACTGTCCTTCTGAACACAGATACCCAGCAGGCTACCTTTCACCTCTTTAAATAGTCATTTTGTGTGCTTCTAGGTCAACTAGAGCAGTGATGGACGCGCAATTGCCCTTTCCCCATGGGGAACGAACCCCCGCTGATTCAGAAACTGGGGAAAGATCATCATCGGAAGCAAGTGGAGACGGGCCTAATGAGATGAGCTTCAGGAGAGAGTAACGCCATCGTCAATGTCTTGCTGGGATGTTTGACTGCGTCAGCTGAGTAACGAGCGAAGCTCTGGTGGACCACTTCATCGACCATGGGAGAGGCCCCACATCCCGACTATACTCTAAAGCTTGGTGTGGAATGAAAGCTCAATATACCTCCACTATCTAGCTAAGCTCGTTGTAGGTCCACGCCAAGATGACATACGTAAGCATATGGTTGATATACTTTTGCAACCCGTGCGGCCACCGTTGGACTCCCGAGATGAGGGGTATGAGATGAGGGTAAAAACTCTCGCACTAGTGATGCAGGGGTCAACAAACCTGCTTCAGATGTGAATGGGTATATATGAGTAATTCAAAAGATGAAGCTGGAAGATCGTCCTAGAATGTGGACACCTAAAACATGAAGTGCTGTATAGTTCTAGGCCGAAACAACATCAACAGGTCCAACGTATGCAAGGTCACCCCCAACGGGTGTTCCAAAAATGACTTGAAGGTAGCCACGATCAACCCTAATCACCCTTCAACATGCAAATTTCACCTCAAGAAGACCAAATGTTAGCACCCGACAGGGCCGCTAGCGCAAAGTGACTACCCAGCGTGGGCCGCGCGCGGAACGAGTATTCCTGGCCCGCAACATAGCTACCGCTGTCCTCGACCCAGTAACGGTCGCAGAAGGGAGCTGAATTCAGACCGTTCGATATATACGTATGTAAATCACTGATTAGAATATCCCGAGTATCACCACTGACGGTGGCAGCGACGAAGGACTGCCAATTTGTTTGACCCCAGCCGATCGACCCGTCCAAAGGTACCCCGGCTGCGCTGCGCACCGTCGGATAAAAATCAGCAGTGGCATTGTAGGCCTCGTCGGGGAAGGCGTCCAGGCTGAATAGCACGTCTGGATAATGATTATAAACGAGGAACCACGGGTCGATTCCATACTGTATTAAGAAGTGGGTACCATCGGCATCCGTGCCAAGGCGATCCGTCCAAATATTGTCCGCAAATTCTTTGCCAGCAGTAGTATAGTTGCTTTGGCCCGATAGGGCGCCATAAGTTGCCAGACCCACGGCGGCCTTGACGGCCAGATTGGTCTGGTTGCCCAATTCGCCCAGCGCGTCGTTGAGAGACAACTGCGATGCCGGATATAGTCCATTTTGATAGAGATAGTCGGCATATTGTTTCAACTGGGCCGAATATGTAGTGGCCAGGTCTGTGTTGCCCGTGGCCGCCTGGTAAGCGTAAGTGAGAATGATGACGTTCCCGCTCTCCTCAATTGGCATCTCCTCGCCGTCGGATGGGTGGCCTGTCGCATTGGGGTAGTTGGCACCAATTTCATGCACGGCATACGACTTGGTGTAGGCACTCGTACCCATGTACTCGAACACGGGGGCGATGAGGAGTTTAATAATCTCGGGGCTCAATACGTAGAATATCGGAAACGCCGCGTATATGACATCGACAGTGTTGATATTGCCATCACTAGAGATCTCTTTGATGAAGGCACGCACTTCACTCGTGTCGAGCGAGTCATTCGGAATAGTCACTTCGATGCCTCCGTAGACTTGTCGCACTGAAAGCGCCAGGATGTCCGAGTAGTTGGTACCATAGCTGGAAGTACCCGTATCCTGTATCAACTTGTCCAGCTGAGTCGACTCGGCATTGGCATCGTCGTAGTCGTCCAAGAAATGTACCACCGCATCGACCGTGTCGGAGTAAGTGGCACGGTAGTAGCCCGTTTGGGCATTGCCCAAAAAGTTGATTGACTCCTCTCGCACGTGACCGATCGCAAAGGTCACGGCTGACTCGTCCACTGTCGTCCCCAAATCATGCGCGAGTGCGACGACACCCGTAGTACTCCAGTCGGCGTGATTGCCAGTGAGGCTGCCATTGTTGACAAACGACTCCCGCACGCTCAGGGACGGGCCGGAGGCAGTGGAGAGCGAAGAGGAATTT